CATGCGGTTTATTCTAGTGCCCTTGATGTGCTTCCATACGCTGATCTTTTAGCAGTCTTTGGCTATGGGGGGTTTTGGTGGTCGAACAGGGGTTTCAGCATCTGGGTATCTTGTGGACATTCCTAGTCTTCTGTGGTTCTGTGTGCCCTTGGGGCATGTTTTGCATCCATTGGGCTATTTTTGTCATGATACTTGTGGTGGTTCCTCCTTCCTGGTGTGTTGCTTTTCTTCCTTCTCCATGAGTAGATAGCTACAGGAAGCCACAAGACACTTCCCCCAGTAAACCTGTGTTGAATGTAATGAAACACCTATTTCTAGGCGAGTCCCAGTGGCTCCCTGACACCTTACCTCCCCCAGGGCATCAGGGTGGTTTCTATCATAAGAACTGGTGGTCGAGCAACAGGCTGACCCAGTCTGCCTCAATCCTCCCACCAAACGAGCTGGAGGGAAGGTGAGGCGAGCTAGCTCACGTTAGTTTCACAAATTTTTTATTGCTGGGAGAGTTCTTTGGTGGTTTTGAGGCTGTGGTCTCATTCTAACCATGTTTTGCTGACTTTCTAGGATCCTTGGTGGTGGCAGACATAAATTACATTACATAACAGGGCTTTCATAGTGCCACCACTCCTTGCGTCCTCTCTGAGGGGTCCAGGTTCTGGCTTGTGCTCCCCGGTAGGCTAATAAGAACTCCATGAATGATGACATCTAGTATTATGGCACTATATTAGTGTAGTAGCTTCAGAGAGCCACTGGGGCTCGTCCAGAAATTGGCATTTCATTACATTCAATGCTGGTTTTTTCCTAAGCACAAGGTATTCAAAAGGCACTGAACCAATAAATTAATAAGAAACTTTTTCATAAATAATATACATGTTTTACATAAAGTTCTTAGCACTAGGGTAACAAATGTTTGATGAGCATTACAATACATGATGACATGAGGAACAATGAATTCCAGGTACTGTCTACACTGCTACAAGCATCTGAAGATACATCCTTACCGCTGAAAATTACATCAGTGGGTGGTGGCATTTTATCTTCCAGGTTGGCACCCCCCAATATAGAGTGTTTTTTGCTTTCGTGAGAGGAATTTCCTCATACAGACTTGTGTTGCTGAGAGTCAGTGTATATCCTATTCCATGCTCAGACTTGAGGGACAGAGGAGAGCCAACGCACAAAAGTCTTCCCTGGAATACATTACAGACCTTATGTTATACTGTAGTTATACTATTACAATTATTAATGCTATAATTGTATTAGTCCCTTATTGATATTAGAAACTTGTATGTCACATATTTATAAAATATCTATTGAAGAAATTAATGTAATATAAGCAGGTGGGGAAGAGTAATCATGTATGGAAAAAGGCAAATGTAAGAGAGGGACAGAGTAAAATAAGAGAGTAAAATGAGACAAAATAAATATTCTTCAATGGTTTGGATAAATGCAATGGATTCTGGATGCAATGGTTTGGAGCTGGAGAAATTGACTGATGACTGTCAGCTTTACTTATTTATTTATTTATTTATATATATACAAGAAGGTACAATGGGATTGTGAAGATACACAGCATAGTAATTACATTCTTGTAAAGCCACTAGTACGCGCAGCATTTCGGGCAGAGTATATCTTTGTATATCTTTGCAGCTTGTATATCTTTAAGAAGATATACAATAATTAAATACAGGGGGGATGTCTTCAGTGGTGGTTGAATCTGACTGTTCATTGTGTGTGATGCAGGAGTACAGCACTATCACAGAAAGCACAAAGTTTTGTCAGATAACATTAGTTACATACTTACAGCTTTGGATATTAGAGATTTGAACCGCATCACAACAAACTATAGTACTGTATATAGTGATGGATCTGATTTACCAATGCAAAATGTGGATAAAATATCAAGATTTTAGATATACTATATCTAAAGTTTAGATATACAATAATATCTATTTACTATCACTATAGTATATTGTGTATATACTATATACTAACTATAGTTATACTATCACTAACACTTAGCATTTTGATGGCACTAAAATGCATCATCCGTACTCAAGAGTAAATGTTCCATTGACACTAAAACATGTCATCCATCTCCAAACTCACAGAAATCACTTTTTTTTTTTTTTTAAGGGGAGGAAGCACATTGTAGACATAGCTCCTAAGGGGACAAAACAAACTATCAGGGAACCATGCAGGGATTACTTTGGCCAACTAATGAATTTGAATTTGAAATTGAATTTTGAATTTGAATTTGAAGCTACTTATTACTCAAGATGATAATTACAGTACTCTACTTGTGAGGACTTTCACAAAGCCTTGCAAATTACTTGTCATTAAAGTGTGAAAGTTGTTTTTCTTTTTACAGCCATATAGACCAATCATGTGCATACATTTCCATATTTTTATTTTTATGTTGAAAAATAAATGAGGAATGTTGAAACATTCATAAACATTCATATATATTCAGCACTGTTCTGCATTATCTATTATCAAAACATATTTTGTTTTGCACCCATACTCTAGGTAATTCAACTGCAAACATTTTGACAAATAACTTAGTTGTTACCCAAAAAATGAGAAATGTAAGAAAAGAGTTTAAAAATTTTAGGCATTACCGAGCAGGACCTTGAGGTGCTCGGAATGATTACAGTTACATTACCCAATGGTCGGAAGGTTAAAGTGCTAACATAAAATTATTTACCCACTAGAATGAAGCAATTTATAACATTCACTGATGGATTTTTTGGTTAAAAACACTAAAAAAAATTAAACAATAACTAATAAAGATTCATTTCAGATTATTGAGCTATGGATAAACTTTTAACAAAAAGAAATGCTATCATTATACAAATCAAATGAATTTACCTGGTTCAAGATAGCGACACGGTCAGCCAAAGTTTCTGCCTCGTCCAGATGATGCGTTGTCAGTAAGATGGTTCGACCAGCTCGGTTATTGCTAATAATCTACCAGATATGCAGCTCATTAGGGTGAGGCATTAACATATGGAATATGTAAAATAAATAAATTGTTCACTATATTATAAACATAGCCAGAGACCAGTTATCACACCCTACTAAAACAAGTGATGTTTTGTCTGAGAGGACTTAATAAATTTTAAGATATACACAAAGTTAGTAATGAGTGTACTAGCACATAATAATGAATGTGTGGTCAGGGAAGCTGAAGGTGGGGCCGAGGTCAGGGGAGCTGAAGGTGGGGGTGCAGTCGAGGAGCTGAAAGTGGGTCAGAGCTGAGAGGAAATAAGGTCAAATATGTAAAGTATTGTGTAACAAATTATATTTGTGCTAGTACTAATCTAGCTAAAGGAGAAATAGAGTTAATTATTTGTCGATTTTTAATGGAGTTGTAGTGTTTGACTGCTACAGGTTCTACACTCACTTTCACTTTTAATACTTTATTCATTACTGATGGCGAGAATAACACTAATGGTGTTTCTGTGATTAGCCCGTACAGCTTCCTACAGGATATGTATTAGACCGTGGCATAAGTCGATTGGAGTTCTTGCCTACCGGGGACCACGAGCCAGAACCTGGCCTCCCTCAGAGACACACAAGGAGCAAAGGCCTATGGAACCCCCCCCCCATGTATTTGGAAGCATTCCATAACCTGCCATGCACACCACCAAACAGTAAAACCACACCGCAAGGCACAGCACTGCTCAAAATATTTGAAGCCAGACTCGAATGACCACCATGGAACACAACAGCCTCAGAACTGAGGTTGGGTAGCCAGTGCGAGGGGGTCTGGGGCTCCCCCTTTCCCTCCCTGGGAGGGGAGAGCTGCGCAGACAGCAGTGCAGTGGCTGTAGTGACGTCATGCTTGTTTGCTTGTTTTCTGATTGTGAAGTTCTGCTTGCTAGTTTGGCTTTCAGTGTGCAATTTTCACCAGTAGTTTGTTTTGGAATTCCTACCTTTCTGGGTTCCTGACCTGGCAGATGGAAAACACAGCTTTCAACCACACAGGGGTGTCTATAGGCCATTGGTCCTCGAGCCTCTCTGGGAGGGGGGAGGCCAGGTTCTGGCTTGTGGTCCCCGGTAGGCTAGAACTCCAACCAAATTGACTGTTACCACGGTCTAATATATACATATCAGCCCAGTAAGCTCCGAGGGAGCCGAAGGGGCTCTCCACAGAAAAATTGTGATACAGTAGGGACTGTTTATAGTCCCTCACTATTGTAACCTTACAGCATCTTCACCATGTATGTTGTTTTAATGAGGATTTCCCAAACCTTAATGACACCCTACCTTTATAAGCACAAGCCCCATTAGATTAAAAAAAATTGCCAAGGTGAAAATACTTAACTTGTAAGTACAGTAGTATTTTACCTCAGTGGTTTTTTAACAATAAATTTTATTGAAAAGAAGGACAAGTAATTTTCTGATTATTAGCTTACCACCTAACTTTTGAAATACCAAGAACTGTTTTAGAAGAAAGAAATTGTCTGTTTTCAGTTAAGATATTCTTCTTTTATATTTCATCATCTTAAATTTCAATCTCATCCTTCTTATCTGACCATATTGGCTATGTTGTCACTGTTTATAGCTAGTAATCCTACTCACTTCATATTCTTAATATATAATGTTCCTTCTCTTAGTGTCAACTTTTTGTCATGAAACATTTTATTTACAGCTTACTAAAATTTCATAAATTAAACAAATTTGTATCTATAAGATTAATATTTTAAAGACGAGAAGAAATGGAAGTGTTTGAATACAATTTTAATTTTATTCTTAATATGACTAATGTACTAATTAAATTTTTTTATGAAAAATATAAAATAAATTTCCTATAAATCACACTCATTCATTCTAGAGGATAATTCAAAACTCTGTGAGGTGAGTACTTATGCAGGGTATACGCACCCACTGAATGTTACATATACTACAACCTCTACATTTTTACAGTATATTGTATTGCTGTTATCCCTATAGGTCATCACTCTTCCCTGTCCAGCCACCATACTGTACTGGTGCTGTCCCTGTAGAAGGTCACTCTTCCCTGTCCAGCCACCATACTGTACTGGTGCTGTCCCTGTAGAAGGTCACTCTTCCCTGTCCAGCCACCATACTGTACTGGTGCTGTCCCTGTAGAAGGTCACTCTTCCCTGCCCAGCCACCATACTGTACTGGTGTTGTCCCTGTAGAAGGTCACTCCTCCCTGCCCAGCCACCATACTGTACTGGTGTTGTCCCTGTAGGTCACTCCTCCCTGTCCAGCCACCATACTGTACTGGTGCTGTCCCTGTAGGTCACTCCTCCCTGTCCAGCCACCATACTGTACTGGTGTTGTCCCTGTAGGTCACTCCTCCCTGTCCAGCCACCATACTGTACTGGTGTTGTCCCTGTAGGTCACTCTTCCCTGTCCAGCCACCATACTGTACTGGTGTTGTCCCTGTAGGTCACTCCTCCCTGTCCAGCCACCATACTGTACTGGTGTTGTCCCTGTAGAAGGTCACTCTTCCCTGGTCCCTGTAGAAGGTCACTCTTCCCTGTCCAGCCACCATACTGTACTGGTGTTGTCCCTGTAGGTCACTCTTCCCTGTCCAGCCACCATACTGTACTGGTGTTGTCCCTGTAGGTCACTCTTCCCTGTCCAGCCACCATACTGTACTGGTGTTGTCCCTGTAGGTCACTCTTCCCTGTCCAGCCACCATATTGTATTGCTGTTATCCCTATAGGTCATCACTCTTCCCTGTCCAGCCACCATACTGTACTGGTGTTGTCCCTGTAGAAGGTCACTCTTCCCTGTCCAGCCACCATACTGTACTGGTGTTGTCCCTGTAGGTCACTCCTCCCTGTCCAGCCACCATACTGTACTGGTGTTGTCCCTGTAGGTCACTCCTCCCTGTCCAGCCACCATACTGTACTGGTGTTGTCCCTGTAGGTCACTCTTCCCTGTCCAGCCACCATACTGTACTGGTGTTGTCCCTGTAGGTCACTCCTCCCTGTCCAGCCACCATACTGTACTGGTGTTGTCCCTGTAGAAGGTCACTCTTCCCTGTCCAGCCACCATACTGTACTGGTGTTGTCCCTGTAGAAGGTCACTTTTCCCTCTCCTCGTCCAACCTTCCTCCATAAACTTACCTCCCAAATTGCATTTCTTGCTGTTGGGTCAATGCCTGAAGTAGGCTCATCTAGGATGACTAGCTTGGAGTTACCAATAAAAGCTATAGCCATACATAATCTTCGCCGCATGCCCTCTGACAACCGACTTACAAGATAGTCCCGATGGTTGAAAAGTGCCATGTTAAGCAGCACTCTGTCAGAAAATTAAAGCTTTAATTTACTTACAACATTAAATGTTCCTTAATTTATATTCTACTTAAGAACCACTGTGCATTAACTACAATTAAATTCTAATATAAATCTGATAACAGGTGGGTAAAAGATTAACTATATTATGAACATTATATAGAAATATTCATTATAGTGTATGTACTAATTATTATACACATAACAGGGTGGCCAGTGAGTCTACAGACTCTATATTTTGTTTCATTCATGATACTACTTTCATTGTGGATCATTTAAAAAACCAGTGTTGAATGTAATGAAACGCCATTGTCTGGGTGAACCCTAGAGGCTCCCTGGAGCTTATCAGGCTAATGTGTTTTATATTAGACCGGTACATTAGCTATGGAGTTCAGACCTACCAGGGACCAGCACCAGAACCTGGCCCCTTCAGAGAGGTTTCAGGAAGCAATGACCCTGGAAAAAAACCCTGTGGTTGGGGGTTTTCCTTATCTGCCATCGACAGCGGTTAGACACTCAGAAAGGTAGGCATAACAAAACAAACCCCACATGGTTAGAAACTAACAACAAAAACCAAGCAGAGAGGTAGAACTCCCTTCAATCCCAAGGAAACAAGGAAACAAGCAATTGTCACATTCTACTACTGCGCCGCTCATCCGCACAGCTCTCCTCTCCCCGAAAGGGGGTGGGGGGAGACCCCGGACCTCACCGTGCTGGCTACATAGCATTTCAGTTCGGAAGCCAAGCCTCAAACAAAGCGATAAACTGCCGACCAGTGCGAGGGAGGGTTGCTAGGGTGCCTCTGGGGCTCACCCAAAATATGGCGTTTCATTACATTCAACGCCTGGTATTTTGTGGGGAGCCCCTTTGGCTCCCTGGAGCTACATACTCAAAAATAAGGAAAAAAGGGACCTACCCAGGAGGCGGCCGCCACAAACTCCTCAATGGGAAGTCGAGACAACTGGTCGCAACCTGCGACCCAAAGCAACACCGGATCGTCCAGGAGCAGGCACACACCAAAACGGACAGCCAGGACCCTGTCCAACCCCCAAAAGCCTGCGCCCAAATAACAGCCCAGGACATGTAGCCAAATGGGGCCACAATGGCAACAAACCTTCTAACTACATGGGCACGAGGATAGACCACAGGCTGGCTAGGTTTAAGAACCCTGCAGACAACCTGGGAGACCCGAGTCCAGGAACAGGGAACAAGGGAACCCGGATCAACCCAAAGCGTGACCCCAGTCATCCAGAGCCAAAGTGCGCAGAGAATGGCCAAGAGCCGAAAGTGGACACAACACAAGACGCACCCCCAGCCCAACCAACCACACAACAAACGACCAAAGGATTCCACCAGAGAGCAGCCTCCTCGTCCATCACCAGACAAGAAGGAAAGGGCTGCAAACAAACAAAACCGACCACCAGAACCAAGAGAGCAGAAACCCCTGCTCCGGAGGAGAGCATGAAACTCACCGGCCCAACCTCCAGAGGCCAACGCCAACAAAAACAGAGCCTCGGAAAATCCTGAACTGAAGGGGCCACCACAAACCGAGGCGAAGGAAGACAGGAGAGCCCCCAGTCCAAAGACCAGGATAGCTCAGGTAGTGCATGAGCAGGCCGAAGGTGAAACAAAACACGAGAAAGCGTACGGAACAGGGTAGAGGAGATGGCCAGCTAGAGAGGCTCCGCCAGTGCCGCACGATACGAGGCGACAGTAGTGGATAGTAAATGACAGTCCTGAAAAAACTAAGAAAGAAAGGACAAGACAACCTAATCCGAAAGAGAAGACAACCTACGAAGAGAGAAAAAAGGTGAAAGCCAAGAAACTGCATACTGTCACCGAGACGAAGCTCTCAGGTGGGACACCAACACCCGCTCAGTTTACTAAGCGGGCAGCTGTAGTAAACTGAGGCAGGTCGGCCCGCTTGACCGGGAACCACGCGCTCGGTCGACCCAAATGTGTACCAACAAATATCGTTAGTCGACGACGCCATCGTATGTCGAGTCGCATTTTTCAATCAAATTTACATCGTAACTCGAAATTATCGTAAGTCGGGGCAATCGTAAGTCGGACAATCGTAAGTCGAGGTGCCACTGTACATTTTGTTTGTTTTTACGTGCTAATCCTATGTATAATGAACACGTACACTACATTATGGCAGTAAAACATCCATACTGTCCGAAGACACTATGTTATGTGCATGACACTTGTGTACACGTATGTTGCACATATTTACCATGTATCATGCTAATTTATGTATATATACAATCTATTTACACTCTATGCACTGTCACACACATTCACCATCAACACATTCAGAACACCGCGAGTGTGAGCCGTCACACCCAGTCAGCCCTCCGTCACTCCTCCCATCATACAGTTATTCACACCAATGTTTCATGTTCATTTATGTATATTTACAACATATGTACACACTATACACTGTCATACACTATACACATTCACCATCAACACATTCAGAATACCGCAAGTGTGAGCAGCCACACCCAGCCAGCCCTCCCTCACTCCAACATCTTACTCGCCAACATTGCTCCTCCCACCATACTGTTATTGTTTTTATTACACTGTTTACACATGTTACATATACCTATCTACATGTTTTATTTATCAGAACTATGCAAGTAAGCTGGTATTGTGTCCAAACAGTACAGTGGCCACCATACACTGCATGAGAACTCACACAGCAGACAGCAGACGACGCTACGTTTACGACATCACCTCCCTCACCAAAATAGCTCCTCTCAACAACATACTTCTGTTGCTGTTATTACACTATACACACACACACTGTATATACCCATATACATATGTATTCCCCATAGCGAACCATGAAGCTAGTATGGTGAGTAAAACAAGAGTGGCTGCCACACACAGTGAGGCTACCTCAATTCTCTCCCTTCCTCCCTCACCAAAATTCCTCCTTCCACAATACTACGCACAATGCTAATTATAACCACAATCCTGGTCACTAATTCCTGTAAATGAATAATTGACCACAAGTTTATTTTGAAAAGGAACCTAAGAAGTCGTTTGAAGATTCCTAGATGGACGAAATAATGCTGTGGTGCTGTGACTACCGCTATGAACATTGAGAACAGCATGGAATCACTGATATTTGAACATTGTACCCAGTCATTATCACACTCAGGCTCTTCTATAATACTATCATGGCTAAATAATACAGGTTATATATATATTTTGACATTATTAGGCGATGCTGCGGTCACACGCTGAACAGCAGTGCTGTGCGCTCATTCTGCAAGCGCCAGCCTTGGTTGCTCACTCACTACTGAGGCTCTCACATCTGGGAATGTGGACCACAACTTTTTTTAAAGATGGCGTCTGTTTACAAGAGCCCTGAGGAAGCTGATGTGAACCCCATGTAGCTGCGTGAGTTTTGAATGGAAAGTGAAAAATACAAATACCCGGAGGCGCGTAGCGCACCCCAGACGTGGGCCTGCAGGCGCGTTGCGCAGTTAAAGGGTTAAACTAATAAATAAAATAAAAAATAAATAATGGACAAAATACAGTAGGCTGCATTTGAATACACCAGAAAACAGTTGATTGGATAGACAATATTAACATGCATTACTCAACAATGACCAAGTACCACTGAGGGCTCCAGTCAATGGAAATAATGCACATGAAACGCCTAAAGCATGGGTACCAAGCAATCAGCTCTTGATTCCCAGCACAAACATGCAGTCTAGACTTGAGGCACGTGCCCAAAGTATGCTCACTCAATCCCATTCACACAACACACACACTACCTAAAAATTATGTGAAAAAGCTTTAAAAGAATTCTGATAAAGAAATATCTAGAATTGATTCCAGATAGAACTCACCAGAGGACCACATAAAGAACATTGTGTGAGTAGTCTATGCTATGCTTTACAACTTCAGAATTGCTTTTAAATACAGTATACAGTATGGATGGCAAAATATTAAAGAAAATGTTTATGACCTTTGTGAGACCAAAATTAGAATATGCAGCAGTTTTAGGGTGCCATATTTCAAGAAGCACATCAATAAATTGAAGAAGGTTCTAAAATATGCAACTAAATGGCTTCCAGAACTGAAAGAGCTACGAGAAGAGGCTAGAGGTGTTAACTATACCAAAGCTAGAAGACAAGAAAAAGAGGATATTTAATCACTATGTACAAAACAGTAACAAAATTGACAATTTTGTTTGAAAACTGGAACTTCAACAACAAGAGGACATAGGTTCAACCTAAGGAAACAAAGCTGCCTAAAAAACAATAAAAAGTTTACTTTTGCAACCAGTGGTAGAAGGTTGGAGAAGCTTATGTGAGAAATTGATGAATGGCAAAACTGTCAGTTATTTCAAAGCGTCATATGACAGAGTACTGGAACGACAGGACTCCACAGGCATAGCTCTCATCCTGTAACTACGCTTAGGTAATTACAATATCAGGAGAAGGATGTGGGTAGCTTTGTCTGAACAAAAAGAAAACAAAAATCAAGGTAAATCATTCCTATCCCAAAACATTAAGCTTTTTTTATTCCTACCATAGACGTGGCCACACACATTCAGCTATTGAGTGCCAACAAGCAAGAGATTCGATGCAGTCTCAGTGTGTAATGTATAGTACAGTAATGATAAAGTACAGTACAGAGGCTAGCACTGAGGCTCAAGCCAGAGACAGGGGGTCCCAGAAAGCACAGCTGAGGCTAGACTAAATACAAATGAGACCACGCTGAAGCCATAGAGATGATAACTCTGAGGAACCTAAGTTTTCAAACAATCATTGCAAATACAAAAATAAACTCATTAGTGTTATGATTTCAAACACACATACTAACATTAGCTTTACGGGGTTAATATTCACATGCTAACATTAGCTTTATGGGCTGATACTGGCATGCTAACATTAGCTTTATGGGCTGATACTCGCATGCTAACATTAGCTTTATGGGCTGATACTCGCATGCTAACATTAGCTTTATGGGCTGGTATTCGCATGCTAACATTAGCTTTATGGGCTGATACTCGCATGCTAACATTAGCTTTATGGGCTGATACTCGCATGCTAACATTAGCTTTATGGGCTGGTACTCGCATGCTAACATTAGCTTTATGGGCTGATACTCGCATGCTAACATTAGCTTTATGGGCTGATACTCGCATGCTAACATTAGCTTTATGGGCTGATACTCGCATGCTAACATTAGCTTTATGGGCTGGTACTCGCATGCTAACATTAGCTTTATGGGCTGGTACTCGCATGCTAACATTAGCTTTATGGGCTGATACTCGCATGCTAACATTAGCTTTATGGGCTGATACTCGCATGCTAACATTAGCTTTATGGGCTGATACTGGCATGCTAACATTAGCTTTATGGGCTGATACTGGCATGCTAACATTAGCTTTATGGGCTGATACTCGCATGCTAACATTAGCTTTATGGGCTGGTACTGGCATGCTAACATTAGCTTTATGGGCTGATACTCGCATGCTAACATTAGCTTTATGGGCTGATACTGCATGCTAACATTAGCTTTATGGGCTGATACTCGCATGCTAACATTAGCTTTATGGGCTGGTACTCGCATGCTAACATTAGCTTTATGGGCTGGTACTCGCATGCTAACATTAGCTTTATGGGCTGACACTCGCATGCTAACATTAGCTTTATGGGCTGATACTCGCATGCTAACATTAGCTTTGTGGGCTGATACTCGCATGCTAACATTAGCTTTATGGGCTGATACTCGCATGCTAACATTAGCTTTGTGGGCTGATACTCGCATGCTAACATTAGCTTTATGGGCTGATACTCGCATGCTAACATTAGCTTTATGGGCTGATACTCACATGCAAACATTAGCTTTATAGACTGATACTCACGTGTTAATATCTGTTTGTTCTTCATTTGAGGCAGAGTCCTTGAGGATGGCATAATAATGAAGTACCTCTTGCACCGTCATGAAAGGAAAAAGCACTGACTGCTGAGGACAGAGACCCATGAGCCTGCGAGCCTTGTCCCATGCACTATGGATATCGTGGCCATAAACCTGTATGCTGCCAGCTGTAGGTATTAGCTCTCTTGTTAACATAGAGCTAATATTGGCAGAAGTAAAATATAAGTTATTTAGATACGGTAAATATACACTGTATTCAAAATGCACTCCTTACAATACTACCAAAACATAATCTTTGATCTAAGTATAGCACATACTGTACTGCACTTTACTACATGTATATATGACAAGTAAGTTTCTCTTCGTAAATAATTAACTGATACTTGAAGGGTTCCATATGCATCGTTACATTATTAGTAGTGTAAATCAGTATTACAGTTATAACATTCATCATGATAACTAATGCAGACGGTGAGTCACAATAACGTGGCTGATGGCTAAACAACACATCAGAAAATGGAGAAACGTCACCGTTTCTCCATTCTCTAATGTGCGGTTTGGTCATCATGACCACATTATGACCATCATGACCATGAAAGAACACATGGGGGTTTTCTCCCGAGACACCCATCATTCACTTACATAATAGTGGTCTTTCCAGCTCCATTGTGTCCAAGCAGAACTAGCACTTGTCCTTCATACAACTCCAAGTTAAGGTTGTCAACAGCAACTTTGGATCTTCCTCGGTGTTCAAAGATCCGACGTAGCCCAACAACACTCAGACCTTTCTTTAGGCTCTGTTTGAGGCCTGGATCCAAGTCCAAGATATGGACAGCATCTTCTGTACAGAGAATAGGAGTGACTAATGTGATAAAGGAACAGCAAATATGAAAAAGTAGAGACTTAACAAGGACATTTACAGACATAAGATACTGAGCATGTTACTTTCTAATGTCACTTTATAAACTTTATAAAGCATCTATGAGCTGTGTATAAGAAAAATGATGTTTGATTATTATAAGAAATATAATATTCATGTAAGCAAACAAAGAACTTGCTCAATGACTAGATGATACAAAACCGACAAAAATATAAATTAATAAATTTAATAAACTACAAAATATTTCATCTTTACTTTTGTGTTCTAAATAGGTACATTTTATCTGAAGGATGACAAGTGACAATATCCAATGCAAATCTACCTTGTTATGCTCTCATTAGCCTTTGGTGTCAAAACAAGGTTAATCCTATATGATGACGGTTAATATTTGGGTTGTGGGCACTGTAATGAAGTGGTTAATATGCTCCGCTAGCAAAATACTTGTATGAAAAATGTTTCTTTATCACAGCTACTTGCATATTGTTTTGAGTGGATTATTATTATTATTATTATTATAACTGTACAGTACAGGATTATTAAGATTATATGGCACTTCACAAGAGACTGATGAAATGAATTATATATTAGTTTTATTTAATTACACTTTAGTTTGCAGGTAAAACCTTTAAAGAAACATCTTAATTTTAACAATAATCTTACTTGCAAACACTAAGTCACAATAATGTGGCTCAAAATTTGACATCCAATCCACAAATTTTATCAATATGAAGAAATAGCATGATGCATCATTTTGAATAATAATTTAGTTTGTTAAATATAGTACTGTACAAGGAATATTTGAGTTGATTCTCAGAACTGCTGATCTCTCCTGCCAAACTATCTAGTTGCTTGAGGTCTATCATATAAATTGCACTAAAAACTCTCACATAGGCAAGACAAAAAATAGTCAAAGGTAGAGAAATTATAGTCAAATGATACTAGAGCTCTGTCTTACCATTTATGTGGTTACTGTTGACAAAGCTTGGAAATACTTTGATGGCAGTCATGTTGATCATCCGGCAGCGTGCTGGTATGAGATGCACATTAGTGGGGGATGAAGGTCAGCGAACTACATACAGTTAGTACGTGAGAAGGGGAGTGTAAATTCCAAGAATATTAGCCATGCAGATTTAAATTTTGGCTTATGGTTAACCCTCAATAATGATATTTAGATACAGTTTTAAAGAACTCTGATAGGGTAGAAGTGTTCCATTCTAGTTGAAACCTCCCCAGTGTAACCACATTGCACAAAATGAAATGTACCTTTCAGAGAGTTCTGGAGGCAAGAAAATAATATAAAAATGCCATCAGAACTCTCTATGAAACTTTACTTACTTTACTACTATTTGTTTGATTTAATAATAAGTGCCAGTTCCATTACTACAATCCACAACCATCCTCCTTATTTCCCAGACATGACCACTTTTTCTATACCAGTTTAATATTTTTATCAACATTAACCCTTAAGCTGTGTCCTGTGCCCTCTAATGATAAGGTGTCACTGCACAACTGCCTGTGGGATACTAGATATGCCTCATTTTATCCAAAAGCTCCATCAATTCTCTGTAAACACCAATTGACAGTAGAGACCTCTGGCAATTGTTTGCCGTATTGAAAAACAAATAGCCATCCAATGAGTGACACTCATGCTAGGATCCTTTAATGTCATGCACTTCATTTCTTCACTTTACAATGGGCAAACTAAAATGAGTAGGATTTTTTCATATTTTTTCCTGGCATCAGTAGGCCATGTTTTATGAAACAGATTTTTTTTATGTGCAACAGGTAATCAACCTAATTTTAGGTTCTCAGAGGGTTAAGATAATTGATTGGTACAGCAATGGCCTTGCTTCTTGTACTGTCTGTATTCAAATCCCAATGATTCCCAGCTCTTAATCTGTCCTCACATCCAGTCCAAGTGTCCTACTGTAGCCATACTGGCTTAGCATTTTATCTTGAGTAATTTTGTGTGTTCCTATCTTTGTCACACAATTTACACTTTATCATATCACCTAGAACCCCATACAAGCTGAAGTGCCGGAGGTACTATGTAGTCAAGTCGTATTCAAGTTGTGATAACATATCAATCTACTGATTTTGTTACTTGCCCCATATAAGTGTTTTGTTTGATACATTTCATTGTGACAAACAATGGATCTGCCAGTGCCTGTTTGCACCCATCTGCTTTCCTCAAATTCATATTAAGAGTTTTAATAATATTACTTCTTTTTATAATTGTATTCGAGTCCAAGATAATGTTCAGCCATGTAATTTTTTACTGCAAGCTTGGTAAGGGCATCAACTTTATTGTGTTTTTGCAGTCCAATATGTCCAATAATAAAGATTGTAATTTCTGGCAAAACCAAAGATGGATCCCATCGATGCAAGAGAACCTTCCTGCTGCTGCTGCTGAGGCACCCCAGAACAAATTCTTCCATTCAAGTGGGGTTGTACTGTACTAGTTTGTTTCATAAATAATAATAAGAATAAGTCACTGTGTTAGGGGACAGGAAGCCAGAGTGTATTCGTACGTATTAGGCTTATATCGTTGTCTCCCCCCCATGGAGTCGAATTACTGACTCCACCCAGGATGCAACCCCACAACAAGCTGACTAACTCCTGAGTACCTACTTACTGCTAGGTGAACAGATGCATTAGGTGAAGGGAAATGTGCCTAACAATTTCTGTCCCACCCGGGATTCGACCCCGGAATTCTCGATTGTGTGTCAAGAATAAATCCAATTGTACTACCAGGGCTAGTAAAGTTTTAGTACAAGCAAGAGAAGTTGATATTTAAAGCATTAGTAGGCTTTTGTTACATAGTATTTTGTGATACTATGCTCAAAGAGATGCAGTACTATATTAGTTTGAATTAAAGAAAATGGGAAGACATTTAAACTGTAATAATTATTAGCATCATCTATGCAAGCTGAGCAGTCAGTCAGTAGAGAGAGTTCACGACCATGCCTTAGTCTCTTTATAATACCCTGAAAAATGTTGACGGTAAATTCGTTGGATCTTTTGAGAGATGTTGGCTTGGGGTTTACATCTGACTTTCCAGAAGTTGATAAATGTTGGGGACCATCTGAGGAAAAGTTATTCTGCTTACGAACAAAGTGGTCTTATGTTTTAAACAATTTAATAAGGAAAAATTGCATGATTAATTGACTAATCATCATTACTTTAATTTCAATATGACATTTTCTTTTCCATCTCTTAAAATTTATTAAAATAAGTCTAACAAAAACAAACCTTAATTAAAAAATATTCATTTCCCTTACCTAAACAACTTCATGTATATTTCCCCCATTTAAACAATTATATGATATTTTTTTTTTTTTTTTTGAGATATATACAAGAGTTGTTACATTCTTGTACAGCCACTAGTACGCGTAGCGTTTCGGGCAAGTCCTTAATCCTATGGTCCCTGGAATACGATCCCCTGCCGCGAAGAATCGTTTTTTCATCCAAGTACACATTTTACTGTTGCGTTAAACAGAGGCTACAGTTAAGGAATTGCGCCCAGTAAATCCTCCCCGGCCAGGATACGAACCCATGACATAGCGCTCGCGGAACGCCAGGCGAGTGTCTTACCACTACACCACGGAGACTGCATATGACAAGAAAATTAATAAAAAAAAAACAGCGTTGAATGTAATGAAACGCCATTTTCTGGGTGAGCCCGTGGGGCTCCCTGGAACTATATTAGTTGGCTGCTTCAGTCAATTGGAGTTCTGCCTACCGGGGACCACGAGCCAGAACCTGGCCCCCTCTCAGAGAGGCACATGGAGCAATGGCACAAGGAAACCCCACTGTTTGGGGAGTATTCCATTCTGCTATTGACCAGGGTCAGGCACCTAGAAAGATAGGGACCCCAAAACAAACCTCACCTGGTAGAAAATTGCAACCCAACACCAAACAGAGACCCAGAACTCCCCCTCAAAGAAACAAGCAAATGTCATCAGCCCGGTGTGCCGCTTGTTCACATAGCTCCTTGAAGAGGGGCCCCTCCGGGTGGGGGAGAGGGGGAAGCTCCCGAACCCTCGCACCGGCAGCCCACTCCCCTGTTTGGAGGCCAAGTTAACAAAAGCAAAACCACTAACTGGAAAGAGGGAGGAAGGGAGGGTGACAGGAAGCCTCTGGGGCTCACCGAGAAAATGGTGTTTTATTACATTCAACACTGGTTTTGTGTGGGGAACCCCATCAGCTCCCTGGAGCTACATATCCAAAGAGAAGTAAAAGAGGGACTTACCCAGGAAGCAGCAGCTTTGCGTGCCTCAACTCGAAGACAAGACATGTTGGCTGCAACTGACGGCCCAAGGCCACACAAGAATGACTAGGACCCCAAAACATTCACCAAATAACGGGCAGCCAGCACTGTTTGACCTCCAAAACCCCCGCATCTAAATGTCAGCCCAGGACCTGTTCCCAAACACAGCGGCAAGAGCAGCATACCTACGAACATCATGGACACGAGGGTAGACTGCAGGCTGGATAAACTTAATGACCCCCGTGGACATCCTGAGAGACCCGAGCCCTGGAACAGAGAATGAGGCAAATCGGATCAACCCAAAGGCCTGAAAATGGTCCTGAAAAAGCCAAGAATGAAAGGACAAAACAACCTGAATGGAAACAGAAGACAACTTAGGAAGAGAGAGGAAATAGCAAAAAGAACGCCAAGAGACTTCATATTGCTACCGAGATGAAGACTGCAGGTGGGACACCATTAATGAAGCCACCTGATCATCATACAAGTGGTGATACACCCATGTCAAAAGAGCAGGCTCGAAGAGCAGAGGAGTAGCTCGAACCAGCAAGGAACCGTACCGGCCGATCTGCAGGAAGAGGAGGAGCCTCTTATAATGTCCAAAAGCCCAGCGTGACTCCCCACAGCAAAGCCTAAAGTCGGCAAAGCCTAAAGACGTTCTGGCTACTAGGTACAACATACATACATACATACATACATACATACATACATACATACATAACACACACACACACACACACACACACAAATTTACCTTTCTTCAGACTGCTAATGATGACAGAGAGAATGATGAAGATGCCAGAATCCACCAGCAGCATGGTGATGGCCAGGCCAAGAGTCATGTCTGAGTCTATAGGGAAGCAAGCAAATGTTGTAATGGTTAAAGCATGTCAATCTCACAAAAATGATACACAGTAGTGTAGTCATGTTTGTAACACATTAGAATTTTTTTTCCTGGGAAATAAAAGTAAAAAGTTGACTTTTTAAACTCTAAGGAATATAGCCCTATTTTCCCATTTGACTTAAGATTAATTTGCATATCCACAGGTGCCTGAATATGGTAATAATACACTCCTAATATTTCTGAAGTCTTCTTTCTAATGGCTTTAGCAAAAAATATCAACAAACATTTATCATACAATAAATTCTTAGTTAATAATCCACCCACCTCTGACAGGTTCTATCCACAGGTTCTTATAATCCAGACTTTCTTGGAGCAATTCATACTGACAGATAACTCGAAATCCAAACCCAAAGGCTGTTGATGGTAGCAGAGACTGTAAGTATGAAAGAATTTCCCAAGTGAAGCAGAGACTGATAATTATACTGATGGCACCTAATGTTACACAGGGGGAGGGGTAGAAATAGCCTAAGCTACGCTATCCCTTTGAGATGTATTTCTGTCTTGTCTCAATAAATGTACTTGAACTTGAACTGTTACACATGTGAGATGTTAGGGTGTAGAGGAGATATATAGCAAGGTTGATTATGTGGAGAAGCTGTGCAGGAAGGTTTATGATGTAGAGAAGCTGTGCAGGAAGGTTTATGATGTGGAGAAGCTGTGCAGGAAGGTATATGATGTGGAGAAGCTGTGCAGGAAGGTATATGATGTGGAGAAGCTGTGCAGGAAGGTATATGATGTGGAGAAGCTGTGCAGGAAGGTTTATGATGTGGAGAAGCTGTGCAGGAAGGTATATGATGTGGAGAAGCTGTGCAGGAAGGTATATGATGTGGAGAAGCTGTGCAGGAAGGTATATGATGTGGAGAAGCTGTGCAGGAAGGTATATGATGTGGAGAAGCTGTGCAGGAAGGTTTATGATGTGGAGAAGCTGTGCAGGAAGGTTTATGATGTAGAGAAGCTGTGCAGGAAGGTATATGATGTGGAGAAGCTGTGCAGGAAGGTATATGATGTAGAGAAGCTGTGCAGGAAGGTATATGATGTGGAGAAGCTGTGCAGGAAGGTATATGATGTGGAGAAGCTGTGCAGGAAGGTACATGATGTGGAGAAGCTGTGCAGGAAGGTTTATGATGTGGAGAAGCTGTGCAGGAAGGTTTATGATGTGGAGAAGCTGTGCAGGAAGGTTTATGATGTGGAGAAGCTGTGCAGGAAGGTATATGATGTGGAGAAGCTGTGCAGGAAGGTATATGATGTGGAGAAGCTGTGCAGGAAGGTACATGATGTGGAGAAGCTGTGCAGGAAGGTTTATGATGTAGAGAAGCTGTGCAGGAAGGTATATGATGTGGAGAAGCTGTGCAGGAAGGTACATGATGTGGATAAGCTGTGCAGGAAGGTACATGATGTGGAGAAGCTGTGCAGGAAGGTTTATGATGTAGAGAAGCTGTGCAGGAAGGTATATGATGTGGAGAAGCTGTGCAGGAAGGTACATGATGTGGAGAAGCTGTGCAGGAAGGTATATGATGTGGAGAAGCTGTGCAGGAAGGTACATGATGTGGAGAAGCTGTGCAGGAAGGTATATGATGTGGAGAAGCTGTGCAGGAAGGTACATGATGTGGAGAAGCTGTGCAGGAAGGTTTATGATGTAGAGAAGCTGTGCAGGAAGGTATATGATGTGGAGAAGCTGTGCAGGAAGGTACATGATGTGGAGAAGCTGTGCAGGAAGGTATATGATGTGGAGAAGCTGTGCAGGAAGGTATATGATGTGGAGAAGCTGTGCAGGAAGGTATATGATGTGGAGAAGCTGTGCAGGAAGGTATATGATGTGGAGAAGCTGTGCAGGAAGGTATATGATGTGGAGAAGCTGTGCAGGAAGGAATATGATGTGGAGAAGCTGTGCAGGAAGGTACATGATGTGGAGAAGCTGTGCAGGAAGGTATATGATGTGGAGAAGCTGTGCAGGAAGGTATATGATGTGGAGAAGCTGTGCAGGAAGGTATATGATGTGGAGAAGCTGTGCAGGAAGGTATATGATGTGGAGAAGCTGTGCAGGAAGGTATATGATGTGGAGAAGCTGTGCAGGAAGGTATATGATGTGGAGAAGCTGTGCAGGAAGGTATATGATGTGGAGAAGCTGTGCAGGAAGGTATATGATGTGGAGAAGGTATTCAAAGAGGTACAAAATTTGAGTTTTATACAAGTCACTTAAGCTGAAGAATTTCTTTATTACAGTCAGCCCCGTGCTTTCCGAACCCCTCAGGACTGAGACTGAACAGATAACCTAGTGTGTTTGGATAAGTACTTCGTCAGCCTGAAAAGCTGGGAGAATTTTTTTTTTTTAATTTTGTTGCAGAAACTCGACAGTGTTTTGTTTGTACTCACTAATATGAGAAGCTCTGATTCGTTTGTTAACCTAAAGATTGTAGTTGATGGAGCATTGTAATTTAGATAGAAAAGGTGATGGAGGATGATGATAATGTTGGGTTGACTGAAGTGGAGATTAATGGTGATGAGGTAACCTCAGCAAACTACCTTTCACCATGTACTCTAATGTACCTAACACCATGGCAGAGTTTAAAGCTTCTGAACCATCCATTAGTGTATGAACACTGTTCAAGTGTGCTGTGTACAGTCACTGGGCAAACTAGTTTCATCTTTACTGCACATTTTAAATCAGAATATCTGCCCCACCAATTATCCAAATCTTTTTATCAGAACAAACCCAAATCGGATAACAGGCATTTTCGGGAAAAAGGCATTCGTAAAGCACTCGACCGACTGTATTCCCTAACACCACTATCACCTTGTGACTAGATTTAAAAAATTTCCCACAGGGCCAGTGCTGTACCCCAAATATTGCCATGCCTGCTTGTCTTGTACATTCTTCAAATAACATTGGAATCTTACTATAGCTTGCAGCCAAGTAGGATGTATAACAAATATGTTTTCCCTAATACCTTAAAAGTAAAACTCTTTACAATTTAAGATTTGTATTTATATAAGGGAATGAACAGTCAACACTCACTGTTAGGATGATAATGGAGAATGGTATTTTTGCTTGTATTACAGAGATTGAGATGTAAGGGACGTTGAACACCAACAAACCCATCAGCCCAACAAATGTGGCCAGGACTGTTGAAGGCACCAGGCATGATACTAAATAACTGTTGAGAGAGCAATGATAATTAAAAAACTACAAAAGCATATGCATAAACAATTTTTTTTATTTAGTTTTAAGAAAATTAAATGAAGTTCTAAATAAAAAGGTTTTGATTCAATTTGAAAAACATCGTTATGAGCAGAATCATTTGGTGCCTCACTGAGATAAGATTTGCATTGTCCTTGAGCATAACCATACTACAGTCAGGCTATGACATACTTGTATTGGTGCTGCAGGGAAGCTTTTCAACAGTTCCTACAGGATCATTATAATTACTAGTGTCAATGGAGAAAACTTAATCCAGCTCAAAATGATAGAGTTCAAGTAAACTCAAGGTACCTCAGAACCCTCCCCTTATTTTCACAGGTAATTGCTGAAAGAGGTTTCTTGCTAACAACCAGCGGTCATGCTTGGTCACCTACATTGACCACCATCAGCAGCACTATGCCCATCTTTGAGGACCCTGACCCTTGTCTCCCCACTTAATTCCCAATGCAAGAAATGGGCTCTGCATGAAAGAGATGCAGACCAACAAAATAAAGACTTGGAACAGCTAAATGATTCTGCACAGAAATATGTATAAATTTTTATTCAAAACCTTATTTCAGAGCATTCACATTCTGCAGATTCATAAGGTAAGACTAAAATACTGTAGATGAAAAAAGTATTGAAGTTAATGAAACACTTCTTTCTGGTGAATCCTTGGTGATTCCTTCTTACTAGCTACTTGGATAGTTTCACTCGGTTCAATCCATGCCTGGCCCTTGAAAGTCATTGTAAGCATACCAGGGGCCAAAGGCCAAAACCTAGGTCCTCTCTATAGAGGCACAATAAGCAGAGGATACTAAATCATCCTTGTCAAGAGAAGACTACCAGAAAGATGGACAAGATAAAACAACCTGCTAGGTAACAAAACAAAGAAAATGAGACATGAGACACCAACCCAGGTGAACAACCAGGTTGTGAAGTTGTTCACTCGTTAATTACACATGTCCACCACTAGGTGGCCACACACATAGCTTGTCAATCCAACCAGCTAAACAATCTCAATCATTTAGCCATGAAGATAGAAAACCAAAGCCCCTAAAAGGTTAAGGAAAGAGCCAGGGACCAATTAACACTTTCGCCCGGTGACAACTCAGCATCGAGTCCTCCGTAAAACAGGGGCAAGTCCAGTGAGGACTCGGCATTGAGTCCTCCGTGCGGCAACAGTAGCGGCATTTTCAGAAATTTCTTGCTGCAGTTTTGGACATTATATGCATATACTCTTGTAGTGAATTTCATTGCGAATACATTGATACCAAAATGAAAGTCCTAGGATCAGAATTGAGGTAACAAAGATGAAAACAGAATAGCCATTTTATTGCTCTTTATTAGCGCTCACGGGGGTAACGCTCTGTCACTTTCCCTGCTTGTTGTGGATGGTATGCCTGGCTTTTGGACTTTATATTTGCATACTCCTGTAGGGAATTCGATTGCGAACACAATGATACCGAAATGAAAGACTTACGACGAGAATTGAGATGTCCAAAGTGAAGAGAGTGTACACATTTTATTGCTCTTTATAGTACCTAGTTTTTATAGTACCAAGAACATTCACAAAGTAATTAGTGGTTAGTAATCTGTTGGGTCTCCAAAATATCCAAGCCCAGGACATATTAATAATTAAATGGGCAGAGCTGCAACATAACCCTGGCTGGGAAGAGGCAACACAGTTAACACCTAGAAATGGTTACTCTAGGTACAAGCAGCTTTAGGTGAAAAGTTAATCTGGTCCCTACTAGACACACAAGAAGTGAGGCAGAAGGTATTTTCTTCATATGAGTTGCCTCTCATATGAAGAAAATACTAAAATACAGAATAAGTATGCAAGAAAAATAGCTCCTGCAGGATAAAATCTTTGACGGCCATCACTTATCCGAGTAATCGTCACTTAAGCAGCACTAGCAAGAGTAAGAAGCGTAATCATGATGTCTTCATGTATTGCACCAAACAAAATGACTGAGAACTGGGACATTGACAAGCTAGGCATGCAGCCACCTAGTGGCATACTGGTGTAATTAATGAGCGAATTGCATCACAATCTGGTGAGTCCCCTGATTTAGTGTCTTGTTTTCTTTGTCCTATTTATCTTGCTGATCACTTGTTTTGGTTCATCCAATTTCTGGTGGCCTTTCCTTAGCTAGACTGATCTTTATTATCTTCTGTTTGTGTCTATAGAGGGGGCCAGATTTTGATTTCTGGTCTTTTACAGTGACTCACAAGGGCCTAGTGTGATTGAATTGAGTGGAGCTATCCAGACAGCTAACAACAGGGAGCTAGCTACCTTAGGAGGTAGCATGCTGCTTGGCCTGAGATTCTGGAAGGTGAAAACACAGTACAGCTGCCACCAGCGAAGAGGCTCAGCATAATGAAAATGCCTATTGCCACATACTGGAGGTCCAGGTGGAGAATTCTTAGAAAGATAGCATTCCACAAATGTGTGGCTATTCCTCCAGAAACCGAACTCTGATCTCCATTCAGGACATGATGGAGGAGGCTTTGTAAGGCATGAACTTCCTGAAATCATGCCAAAAAATATTAGAAAAGTTTTCTTTTGCAAACAGAGTGGTAGATGGTTGGAACAAGCCAAGTGGGTGATGGAGGTCAAAACCGTCAGTAGTTTCAAAGCGTTATATAACAAAGAGTTCTGGGAAGAAGGGACACAACGAGTGTAGCTCTCATCCTGTAACTACACTTGGGTAATTACACCAAAATACTGATTTAACTTAAGCTACATGCCAAGTAGCTAGGATATGTGATCCTTGGTACAAGGGAGCCTAATCCACAAGTTTAGGAATAATTTGTATGAAGACATATCTAAGTACCACTTCATGCTCTCCTCCGGCGCAGAGGTTTCTGCTCCTTCGGTCAGGGAGATCAGTTTGTTCGTCTGCAGTGAAGAATATTCGTCCTTCTATTCTGGCAAAGAATGAGACTGCTGCTTTTCGGAGGGGTCCCTGGGTTGTTGATGCTTGGTTGGTTAGGCCAGGGGGTGCATCATGTTTTGTGTCCGGTTGTGACTCTCCGCCGTTATTTGCGCGTGCCATGGCTTCTGTGTCCGTGGACACGCTTTGGGTTGATCCAGTTTCCCTTCTTTCCTGTTCGAGGGTGCGGGTCTCCCAGGTTCTCCGCAGGGTTATTAAAGCTAGCCAATCTGCGGTCTATCCCCGTGCCCATGACGTCCGCAAGTTCGCGGCTCTTGCCGATGTCTTTGGCAATATGTCTTGGGCTGACATTCGAGCGCGGGGATTTTGGCGGTTGAACACTGTCCTGGCTGCTCATTACCTAATTAACGTTCCTGGGTCCAGTCGGGCCTGTGTCACTTTGGGTCAGTGGATGCAGCCAGTTGTCTCGGCTTCGGGTTGAGGAGTGAGCAGCAATGCCTTCCGGGTAAATCACTATTTTTTCCTCTGTGGATAGTTAGCCCTGGGGAGTCGTAGGGGCTCCCCACAGAAAACCAGCATTGAATGTAATGAAACGCCATTTTCTGGGTGAGTCCCGGAGACTTCCCGGCATCCCTTGCTCCCTCCCTCCCTCCGGTCAGCGGTTTTTCGCGTGTTTTGATATCCAGCCTCAGAACTGGGGTGTGGATCGCCGGCGCAGTGGGTCTGGGGCTCCCCTTTCCCCCTCCCAGGGAGGGGGGAGCTGCACAGACAGGGGCGTGATGACGGGTGACGTCATACTAGTTTGCTCATTTTTGTTTGGGGAGTTCTATCCACTCGTTCGGGTTTTGGTTGCAATTTTCACCAGAATACGGGTTTGTTTTGGGACGCTTACCTTTCTGGGTGCCTAACCCGGTCGATGGCAGACATAAAATGCTTTCAATCACATGGGGGATTCTATAGGCCATTGCTCCCCTTGCCCCTCTAGAGGGGGCCAGGTTCTGGCTCGTGGTCCCCAGTAGGCCCAAAGAACTCCATACACATGACTGATGCCAAAGTCTGACATTAGCATATCAGCCTAGTAAGCTCCGGGGAGCCTCTGGGACTCACCCAGAAAATGGCATTTCATCACATTCAATGCTGGTTTTTTTGACAATGCAAGAACTGAATGATTTGTTTTCTCTCCTTCATTCCTCAGCTATCTTGTGTAAGGGACTACAAATACCACCTTACGTTTTCCCAAACATCTTTGATTTTCAATCCTTCAAAAACCATCTATATAGTTTTTTTTTTTTTTTTTTTTTTTTTTTTTTTTGAGATATATACAAGAGTTGTTACATTCATGTACAGCCACTAGTACGCGTAGTGTTTCGGGCAGGTCCCTGGAATACGATCCCCTGCCGCGAAGAATCGTTTTTTCATCCAAGTACACATTTTACTGTTGCGTTAAACAGAGGCTACAGTTAAGGAATTGCGCCCAGTAAATCCTCCCCGGCCAGGATACGAACCCATGACATAGCGCTCGCGGAACGCCAGGCGAGTGTCTTACCACTACACCACGGAGACTGTACCACTACACCACGGAGACTACTAGTTGTTGACTTCTGATTTGGTTTTCATTTCCTAAGGCTTTAGGAGGGCAATTTTTGCTCTTTTATATATCTGTTCTAAAAAAAATGTGGGCTGATCCCACATTTTTAGTGATTTGCAATTTTGCTGATCCGAGCAAAATCAAAACTTTTCAAGAAGTACAAAAAGTGAAAGTTAAATTATTCAATACCAATTTTGTGCTTGGCATTGCTAAATGCCATCTTGTTCCTCTATGACGATGTTTCTTAACATATCCTTCATGTGCCATTTCCTTCTAGTTTTGAATGATGAGATGCATGAGTCTGTCATGATGGGCAATGCATATTGGTACAATGATAGCATTATGAGTTTTACATGTGCACTTATAGTCTTCAGTTTTTCTGTGGATATTGCATGATAGATCATACTCAACAGTACATAATGAATTTTATAATCATTTTAAGAATACTATAAATTCACAAAATAACTTACCAAAAAGAAATAATGCTCAGTCCATAACAGAAGAGGAAAGTGAAGAGTATCCCAAAATTGATGTTTGCCTGAAGACCTCCAAATTTGTCAATGAGAGCCACTAGGAGCACAATGACCAGGAGAAACACCAGTGAGAAAAACAGCCACACTAGACGATCCAGCCACAGCCTTAAGCCCATCACTTCCTGAAGCTGTAAAAATGCACAGATAAGGATTTTCCATTTTATGAATCACCCAATGCAGCATACAGATGGAAAAGTCACTTGTAAATCATATTATAACAAAGTTTATTTAATTAAGACCTAATGTAAAAATTCAGTGTTAAAGTATGCATGAAACACTGTGGTCTACATACTATAGGCTTTTATATAAGTGGATCCTCAAAAATCTAAACTAATGCAGATTGGACCAATTCCAAATTCTGTTTCTGAATTTTCAAGAATTTAGCCAGTTTTTTAAATCTTACAACAAATGATAGGAAACTATTTTGTGCATGTAGACATGCACAAATCAAATATGAATTTGTTTATATAAAAACAATATAATATAAAATGTTAAGTGCAGATAAATTGCTCCTGTTTATGCCAATCATTCAGTCACTTCCCAACACATTTTATTTTATGTAGAAACTGAATGAACCTGATAAGTTTAGCTAGAACTTCCATGTCCTGGGACAAAGTACCAAAGACCCATGATTAATGTGGTAAACTCAAACAAATTACATGGAAAAGGCATTAAAGAACTCTTTACAAAGAAAGATCTAGGAGTGATTCTGGAGAGTAAACTCACCAGAGGAACACATAATAAACATTGTGCAAAGAGCATATGCTACACTTTCCAACATCAAAATTCGTTGTAAATACATGGATGGTGAAATATTATAGAAACCGTTCACGACTTTTTGTAAGACCGAACTTGGAATAATTTTTAATGACCGAAATTATCAAGGCTAACAGGGGGAACCTTCGACTAGCTGCCGGCTTCCTGTCCTCGTTGAGGCCACTAGGAATAGTGGCCTTCCTGTAAAAGTAATTCTGAAATTGGAATGTGTAGCATTTTATAATGTTCGAATCCAAAAAATTATATTCATAGTGTGAGATGATCTGTATAACTTTGATTGAACTTTCATAACCAAGTCTCACCTGCCTGTTCCTTGACTCCGACTCCTGCACCAGTTGGCGGATTAGGAACACAACAAAGATGATGAAGGTAATCAAGGAGAACAACAAACTCATCATGGGAGATAAATTCAGCATCTTTGTAAAACTGCAAAAATAATGAAATAAATCCTTTGAACATTATGTAATATGGCTTAACATATATCTGATAATGTATATACAATAACTATAGAATAATTTGTACCTTTCATACTATTCTTACCTTCTTCTAGGAATTACCTATTTCTCTTACCTTTTCCGCACCTTACACCTTACCTCATTTTTGTGATTATTCTTACACCTTACACCTAGAAATTACCTTCTTCTTTTACCTGTTCCTCACCTCACTCTTCCCTTACTTATTGGTCCCTTCCTTCCTCCCTCTCTCCCTAACACACTACTGTACTTGATAATGGTCCAAGATGGACCAAAACGTTGTCGTTTCTTTATCTTCTGATGTGTGGTTTAGTCATCATATAGAATAGTCAATATTTTGTTAATTAAACTATTAAACTTTGCACAGATATTAAGTAGTAATAAACTTTGTATGAATATTGAATGGAATGAAACTTTGTATGGATATTTGCTAATTCCCCACTATAGTGTAAGGTCAAATAAGTAATGGAGAGATGAAGTACAGGAGTTTGCCATGTTTACACATTCACTAACTCAGGGTGTCTCACACTCTGCTCTTGACAAGTACTGTTTGAGCTCACTTATCTGAACTATATGGGTAAGACCCCCCCCCAACCTGATCAGCAGAATTCTTACTACGAAAGTATGAAAGTAATAAATAATTCGCAAATTAGTCCAAACATGAACATATTCAATTTTTTGTACCACAACAACATAATTTGAATTTACACACACACACACACACACACACACACACACTATAATTAAACCTAACACAACACTACTATACAGTACATGAGCTTGGCAAGGTCACTTCTGACTGCCAGCTGCTGAAGCATCACTGGTTGAAGGCTCTTGGCTTTCTGGTGAGGCTTCAATTTTCCTATTCACAATACTGTGCCTCACTTTAAACCTGGAAATCCAATCATCACTTGCCCTGAAATCCAGTATTCCAAGGCTGGCTGCAAACCTGCTTGCGGCTTTTCTTATTTCTAAACTGAAAATTGTTACACCAACTGTGCGGTGCTGTGCAAACCACTTATACACAGCCTCATCCAACTGTGCATAGTGTGCTGGCTTCAAAGTTTTTTCTATTACACCCTCTACTAGAGAAAACTCCCTCACTGTCACTAGTAGCTATGAATTTCATGTAGTCATCTATATGACTACATGTTTCTATATCTATATGTTTCCTTATATCAGAGATAATACTAATGCCCTTACCAATATCTTTTGCAACACTCACAGCCGACTGCCCATTTTCACAGAGTTCAATGAAACTTGGGCAAGTTTCCCGAGTATAAGGGGCTAAGTTAAGAAGACATGCTAAGAAAATTCAATCTAATAACTCTAGAGGAAATATGCATGTATGATATACCAGTGTCAGGGAAAGGAAGCCTGTTAACAATTTGGCGTTGTGATCACGTTCGCGCAATCACGAACGTCATTCAAACATCTGTTGTCATTCAAACAATAGACATAGTTTGGGACATGATGTTAATGCCATCAACACTTAATTTATAAATATTAAAAAACCCCAAGTACATATCGACCCACATGAACCTTAGATGCTGCAAGTTTTAGGAAACTGCTGTCAAGTACAGTATCAATGTTGAGCTATTTTTTTGTTTAACATTTAAGTGACAAAAACAAAAAATACTTAAGATTTATAAACTTGAAATTAGTGTTAAGGTGAATGATAATTATCGTCTGTGCCTGTAAGAAACTTACTCATCTTTGTTGTAGCATGGGTAAGGTTGTTGCTTCGTATAAATAGGTAAGCTGAGAAGCATGTTCTCCTCTTCTTCTGTTAACACTGCTGATGCTTGCCGCTTTCTTCGCCCAGACTCTAAAGACGGGGCTTCGATGGCTTTTGATAACTCGCTGACTCCAGGTGATTGTTTCTGATGGTCAAAATTGTTCATGGGTGTAGCTTTCAAGCTGTGGGATGGGTTGTCATTCACATATTGAAATTTGATAATGGCTCTTTCCATAACATCTTGCAGCTGAATAAACCCCTGATGATATTTCATGTCAAGAGCCATGTCTGCATATGGTCCAGGATTCCAGAACCTGAAAAAGCAGGGATTTAAATTTTTGTTATAAAAGATAAACTGCAAAATTAGACCTGCTAACAGAACAGAATTCACTAACAGACTATTTCTCTCTCACTGTCAGTATAATTTGTGTTAGGTGTATACATTATAGCATGTAAGTGGTAATCTCTGGCACTCTGCTCAAGCTGGTACTGTAACTAATTTTTCCATGGGAGTAAGTTTTCGGTGCTGCATAACTCATTCTGATAGTGAACATACCAGAATATACATCACCCAGTGTAAAGAAAAATCTGCCAAGTTGTTCATTTTTTCCATGTACTACTAAGATGCAGCTGGGACTCACTTAACTGTCAAAAATATTTGAAAACTAATCTACAAGCAGCTTTACTCTTATCTAGCCAAACACAATATACTAAGCTCTTGTCAACATGGCTTCAGACCCAAAAAACCAGCGTTGAATATAATGAAACGCCATTTTCTGGGCGAGTCCCTTTCCCTAGATCCAACCTCGCAACAACTGACAAACTCCCAGGTACAAGCTTACTGCTAAGTGAACAGAGGCACTAGATGAAAGGAAACTTGCCCAATCATTTCTATCCCACCCGGGGATTCGAGTCCAGGATTCCCGATTGTGAGTCAAGAACAAACCAAACTGTACTACCAAGAACCTAGAGAATAACTCGCCTATTCTCTTTGAGTAAAAGGCAACTGTTTTGTTGCTCACAAGCGTTCTAGTGAATGGACAATTTTGAACCAGTTTCAGGAAGGCTGCCTGGCTTATTATTCAGTTTATTATCTTTCCTTCACACACTCGGTTTTCTGCTCTTCTTTTCCCTCAAGATGAGGCTCAGAAGGTGCTGTCAGCCACCAAGTCTTCCTTCCAGCCTTAGGCCCGGGTTTTCTAGTTAAAAGACAAATATTCACTTTATTTTACCTTGGTTTTAGATAAAATGTTGAGGGACTCTTCTCCGAGTCTACCCGTATGGTATATGTCAGGTTGTGTGGAAGGTTTCCTCCAGTATCACCTGTTTCACCAACTCCAGCAAACACAATGCCTAAAAATTAAAAGAAAAAGGAGGATCATAATTTGTATTCCTTATATGCTATAAGAAAAAGAAACTTAAATAAAACAATAATTTCAGTTCACTTTATTAACCTTAAGCATGAAGATATTTTTTCTCGTCTACTGTGAAATCTTCACAGTTACCCAGACATAAACAACACACAACTTTTAAATATTCTGAGTGCTATACACTTTCAATTTTCACACGGTCATTTACCACACACCTTTTCATGTCATACTGTATAAGTGATAAAAGTTTTAACCACATAAATTTTATCAGAGATTTACCATCAATGTGACGGCAAATGCCCCTAATGGAGAGTGCAAAAGAAATAATATGAACACAGAGATATAATTCAGAAAACACACAGAATAAAGAATGAACAATGATTCCTACAATTCTCATTAAAAGAAATTGCAAATTATTTTTACTAATCTAATTTAAATGAAATCTGAAATTTAGATGAAACAAATCCATCATCACAAGGGCATGCCAAAATTAGTAAATTTAATTTACCATCATTATATTCTTATCTGTCTGAACACTAAAAATTCATGTCATTCTCACAGAAACTGGATAAATGAGAAATGAAACTGAAGCTTGTGTTCACCTAGTTGTGTTTTGCGGGGGTTGAGCTTTGCTCTTTCGGCCCGCCTCTCAACTGTCAATCAACTGTTTACTAACTACTTTTTTTTTTCCAAACCACACACACACACACCAGGAAGCAGCCCGTGACAGCTGACTAACTCCCAGGTACCTATTTACTGCTAGGTAACAGGGGCATTCAGGATGAAAGAAACTTTGCCCATTTGTTTCTGCCTCGTGTGTACTTACCTAGTAGTGTCTACTGAGGGTGAGACCCATCTCTTGAGCCCCATATCATAGATAATGTATCTCCCATATTTCAGATGATATAAGTTATTTATTTGTAATCCAGCATATATATATATATATATATATATATATATATTCCAGTATAATATCTCCATTTTAATCAAAATAAAAGATTTATTTTCACAGTCTTTAACCCTTAGAGATCGGTTATCATCAGCTATTGATTCAGAGGGTAATGAGGTTACCATCATATGAAGATTTAAACAATTATTGTCTAGGTTTTACATATATGATGCAAATATGGATAAAATAGGTCTATGTGGATATAATGGAGTTTACCTTGACCCATGAAAAAATCCTGCTACCATTTCATGGTACACTGTATGAATGCAGTTATGAATGTTACTAGGGGAATGCGGTCGTCGTCATATGGTGATTTTAACAATTATTATCTGGGTTTTTATATGTATGATGCAAATATGGATATAAAAGACCGTGGATTTAAACAAAGAAAAACAAGCGATAAACCAATTGATGAAACATCGGAGGATAAAACAGGAATCATCATCAAAGTCGAGCACCAGGCTTGACAAGTATCAGACACAGCCTTACAGAGCGCCTCCACCCAGTGAAACGATAAATATTTACTTATTTTCATGTTAATTTCTTACATTCTGCATACAAATCAATAATTCTATAATGAAAAATTATTTGGGGGATTTGTTTTTGTTTTTTGTGCATAGGCGGGTATGACCATTTCTACATAGCCACTGTCTAAGGGTAGAAAAGTGTATTATTTTTCAAGTGATCATTATTTATTCAACAAATACAAATACAAATATTTATTCAGGTAAAGTACATACATACAAGGTAAGATACAAAAGTTGATGAATTTATAGATAGAGCTAGTACATACAATGCCTAAAGCCACTATTACACAAAGCGTTTCGGGCAGGAACTATTTAAAATCATAATGACTTTTTCAAGCGAGTGCTACACCCCCCCCCCCCCCCCCCCATGTGGTTTTTGGTAGCACAGAAAACTTACCTGCCAGAAATTCCTTCTTTTTTGCAGTATGTCTAGCCTTTTTTAGTAGTTTTTCCTCGTTGTTAACAGGAATAAATCTCTGCAAGTCCATGCAGGAAACGAGATTTACTCCCAACTCAATAACATCCGAGAATTCCTAGAAGGACAATAAATATGATTATTAGAAGAAACAATATTCAATATTTTTGTGAAAGGAAATCATAACTGCTGGTGCCCACCCATAAGAACACTTTGTAAGAGAAAGACGCTTGGGAAGGGAGAAATAGCAGTGTTAAATGTTGAAAAACAGTCTGGAACTTTTACAGTTCAAATCCCCCGCCAGTACAATACATGCATGTACATGTTCTGTACATGCGCACAGCATTGTCTTAACAGGAAAAAGGTACTACATAGCCTTCCTGGCTTGGTGCTTTCTTTGATAATTACTTAAGAGGAAGCATTTGAAGATGTTGAAATTTTGTTATTAATTTGGATACACAACAAGGAGTCAGGAGGTGATAGCATTTCAGAGGGAATCATTTGTGAGAAAGCAAGACAATTGCATGAAGACCTTTTAAAGAAAAACCCCTGGAATGAGTGCTACAGATACAAAAGTGTTTAAGGCAAGTAGGGGATGGTTTGAGAAATTTAGAAAAAGAAGTGGTATTCATAGTGTTGTGAGGCACAGGGAGTCTGCCAGCTCAAACCAGCGGCTGAAAGATTTATTGATGAATTTAAAGATTTTGTAGAGAGTGAGGGATACCTACCACAACGTGTGTTTATTTGTGAGAAAATCAAGCAGTGAGCCACAAGCAGGTCTTAGTGGTAAGCATGCAAAATGTTGGAGAGAGAGAGTACCCCAGAAAAGTCATCACTTCCTGAAGTTATAATGGAAGGGGACTCCCCCTTCCAAACACTAACACCTCTCCTCCTCCCCCCTCCTCACCGTCTTCCATACCCCAACATGAGTCATCAATAAAGATAAGTAATACCTTGTAAATACTTTAGTACTGAAGATTTGGGTGAATTAGATATAGAATTTATTTTGAAGTTAGTTTTTTGGGGAGTCTGGAATGGATTATTTCAATTTCCATTATTTCTTACGGGGAAATTCGCTTCAGTTTACGAATATTTGGCTTACAAGCCGTTTCTGGGAACGGATTAAATTTATAAGCTGAGACACCACTGTACTGGGTAATGTGTATGACATGTGTATGGATGTAACATTATTGGAACCGGATGGTTAGAAACATGTGCAAGTTCTCTCATTCACTTGGTGTGGAGCATTCAAGGAAAAGACCATCGTCACGTGTGCGACTTGTGATGGTCTACAATAATGATAAGTGCATTGTATCAGAGTATAGCAGTGCTCCCTCTTTGTATGAGTTAGGAATAGGAAGTATTAAGAATTAAGGTTATTCATAGAACCTTGTGTGTAGGTGTTGTTTTGGTGTTATTAATTAATTTACTCAGATCTCTGTGCACGTGGTCTTATCCCCATTTACTTTTCTACCCCTTTGGGGTATTGTGGTCAGAACAGTGTATTGACAAAAAGCCATGCCCTTTGTAGTCACCTTTTGTAGGAGGAGTGGAGTAAAGTAATGACCTTAAGTCCCAGTTTGTGAAGACTTTGCCTGTGGTGGGGATCCACTTGTCAACTCACCCTTAAAGCTTGTGTTTGCTTGAAGGAATCACTCCCTTGTCCTTAACAGTCCTGTGTGAGATCCAACCTCCCAACCCCCTTTACATCTAGTCAGTGTTAGATAATCTTGTGTTAAATAAAAACCTTTGTGAAATTGTACCCCAAGGTGTATTTCTTGTCCCATGTAGAATACACTTCATTGTTGCTGTTACCAGTATATACATCCCCCCCACAATATTTATCAGAGAGTAGGAGCAGATGTCGTTAGCAATACTCTTAGAATACGACTTTCAATCCCATACCTTACAACTTTGTCTGGTAAGAAGGCATTAGAATAGTGGGGCTACAGACTAAAGGGAGAAACGTAACAGAAAAAGTCAAGATCACAAACAACAATACCTGAGAAAACTGCAATTAGATATTGACAAAATCAAAGCAATAATATCCAACAATTTATCACCCATGATTTTGAATTCATAACTACAGTATATCTAGGAATTTTTGTCCTGCCATTAGAAATAGAATTTTAAAAATTTGTATTACAACAACTTAACATAAATTAACAACTTTGTTTCAGGAATTTTATGAGTAGAATATACAGTAACAGTTCTTGGTGAGTATGCTTATTGGTTGTATTTACAATCTAGATATATATGATATATATTCTAAGTGTTGTATAATAAAATTCTATGACTTGGGAACACTTATGGTGTTCTTATCCAAAATTTATGGTGAAGTTATGCAAAACACTTATCCAAAACTTTATCTTTAACCAACCTTAGCAAATTTAGATGCCTCTTGTAGCTTGGGCGAGGCATCCTTGAGCTGTTCACCCACTGAGGTGACCAAGGAAGCTGGGAATACCTGCTGCATGAAGCCCTGCACCCATGGCATCTGCAGTGAGCTCTGTAGTTTCTATGTTTAAAATACATAATTAAGACAAGGTTCAAATAACAATATTAAAAGATTTCATGAAAATGATAAAACTATGCATTAAATTATTTCATTACTACAAACAAATGAAAAAACCAGCGTTGAATGTAATGAAACACCATTTTCTGGGCGAGCCCCAGAGGCTCCCTGGAGCTATCAGGCTAATGTGTGATATATTAGACTGGGGCATTAGTCTGTGGAGTTTGACCTACTGGGGACCACGAGCCAGAACTTGGCCCTCTCAGAGAGGTTGCAGAGCACAATGGCCTGGAAAAAAAACCTGTGGTTGGGCGTTATCCTTATCTGGGGGTTATCGACCAGGGTTAGGCACCCAGAAAAGTAGGCATAACAAAACATACCCCACATGGTAAGAAAAGTACAAAGAAAAACTGAACAGAGAGGTAAAACTCCCTCCAATCCCAAGGAAACAAGCCAACGTCACACTCCACTGCAGCGCTGCTCGTCCACGCAGCCATCCCTTTCCCGAGAGGGGGAGGGAGGTGCAGCGAACCTTCCCGCGCCGGTTACCTAGCACTCCAGTTCGGAGGCTTACCCTTAAACTGCACAACACATCATATGATGTGTTGAGTATTTTGCCCAAAAGTGCGCATCAAGTCATATGACTGTTGGAGTACTACGCAAGATTTAAACGGCCCACAGATACACGAGGTTCACCTCACCTCACGTCAGTAATTTCAAAGCATTATATGACAAGAGTGCTGGGTAGACGGGACACCACGAGCGTAGCTCTCATCTTATAACTACACTTAGGTAATTACCTCCATCAAGGCTCTTGTAAACAGACACCATGTTTAAAAAAAATCGTGGGCAACATTCCCGGGTGTGAGGGGCTCAGTACTGAGTGAGCCACCAAGGCTGGTGCACACAGCATGAGCTCACAGCACTGCTGTTAAGCTTGTGACCACAGCATCTCCTAAAAATGTCAAAATATATATGTACATACTGAACATACTATTATTTAGCGATAATAGTATTACAGAAGATCCCTGATTGTGATAAAAATTACCAGAATTCTGATAATAGCAGGATTCTTGTGATAATTAGCACTGTAGTGGGAGGACTAATCTTGGTGGGGAGGGAGGTAGCGTTGTCTGCTGACTCTCTGTGACCACCTTTTACTGTCTGGACTCACTATACTAGCTTAGTGGTTCACTATGGTGAATAAAACATGCAGATACTTATATATAACGTCTGTATATAGTGAATACGAGCAAAAACAGTATGGTGGAAGGAGAATGTTGGCAAGTCAGGTGAGGTGAGGGAGTGAGTGGCAGCCAGTGGCGGGCTGCCACTGCCACTGCCACTCAGCATACCAACTTAGTGGCTCATTATGGTGAACACAAATGTAGATACTTACATATAATGTGTACATATAGTGAAATAACAGCAAAAGGAATGTTGGGAGAAGCCATTTTGGTGAGGGAGGTGGCCACATCTGCATGACTTGTCATGCTGGGTAAGGGTGGTTACTATGCTCTTTGGGCACTATACCAGCTTAGTTGAACAGTTATGGTGAACAGAACATGTAGATACTTATATTAACGTCTGTATATAGTGAATAAAAGCAAAAACAGTATGGTGGGAGGAGGATGTGGGCGAGTGAGGAGTCATTGAGGGAGGGAGTGGCTGGCTGGCTGGCTGGCCACTCCAATAAAAATAAAAAGCACAAACTATAACTTTACTCAAGTTATAATTCCCAGCATGACATAACTAGCATCAAGTACCTGCAAGCCTGAGTATCTGGTGGATACCGAGACCAGCTGACGGGTGCTCTCTTGCAGCAGCTTCAGCGTTCCCACCTGCTTCTCAACCATCTCAAATGTTTCGTTAGCCTGTACACATATACAGTAATTGAATTACAAAACATGAATAAGTAAATGTTACAGATAGCCTTTTGTTTATAAAATATTTTAATGTACATGAATTCATATATCAAATATAATTCATTGTGTAGAGGAACAGGCAGCCAGAGCCTGTCCCTGAATAAATGTGTGTATTCATACACGTTAGGCTCATATCGGGGCCTCCCTCCAGGATCGAATTGCTGAGCCCCCATCCCCAGGACGCAACCTCACAATTAGTTGACTAACTCCTGTCAGCAAGTACGTACTACTTACTGCTAGGTGAACAGGTCCATTAGGTGGAATGAAATGCACCCAACGATTTCTGTTCCGTCCGGGATTTGAGCCCAGAATTCTCGACTGTGAGTCGAAAATGAACCCTACTGTACTTTTAAAACATTTTGGATATGTCCTGGCCAGTCATTCGAGCTTGGTAGTTTTGGCTGTTGAACAGTACTATCTGCTTGGCTCTTAGTGAGCATGCCTGGTCCGTACTGCGCTTGTGGTGTGAGTTTCGGCAAGTTATTCTTTCCCCACTATGGGGTTACTGTCTGTGGTTCTTCTCTGTCCCTGGTGAGTTCCCTTTCTTTTTCAGTCTCCATGGTGACTGAGCACCAGGTAGCACTCCAGAGCAGCCCTCCCAGAAATCTGCATTGAATATAATGAAATGCCACTTTCTGGTGGGCCCTTGAAGGTTCCTGGGGTCCTCTTCCCATTTTCATGAGCTGTAGGTTTTCCTTCATCCTGACTAAATGATAAAAGTTAACACTTTCGCGCATGGAGCATGAACGCCGCAGACTTTGATGTCATATTCCCGGCGATGCGGGTGAGCGTGCGGTCGAGAGTGTGACACCAAAATGTGTATACTCATTTCAGTTTTCTCATCTTAATTTTCATGCTACGTCATTCGTTTTGGTATCATTGTGTTCACAATAGAAGTCCCTACAGGTGTATATGCATATAATATCCAAAAGACTCCCCACAGCAAAGCCTAAATTCAGCAAAAGTTACCCGTGAGTGCACAAAATCAGTAAAATGTGTATACTCATTTCAGTTTTCTCACCTTAATTCTCGTGCTACGTTGTTGGTTTTGGTATCATTGTGTTTACAATTAAACTCCCTGAAGGTGTATATGCATATAATGTCCAAAAGCCTGGCGTGACTCCCCGCAGCAAACCCTAAAGTTACCCATGAACGAGCACCAATTGGCACATCACAACCTGTGTATACTCATTCCGTTTGATAACATTAATTTTCGTGTTACGTCTTTAATTTTAGTATCAAATTGTTTGTAATGTAAAGGAGCAAATTTTAAAACTCGTCCCATAATAATAGAGCAATAAATGGAATTTTAACAAATATTTTAAAATTTGGACACTCATAATCACAAAATTATTTATATCTTTCCAGTGTTCTGACATCAATTTTTGTGTTACATCTTTCATTTTGGTATCAATGTAAAGGCGCTCATTTTAAAACCACTCCCAGATTGATCGGATAAAAGTTAAAATTTTAATCAATATTTTAATATGATGGACGTCGCTCGCGTCCACGACTCAGACACAAGGGAAATATTTTGGACCCCAGGGGTATTCGAAGAGTGCGATAGTATTAAGATCAAGGCTGGGAATTGAGTAGCACGATGCATGGCCACCTGGCAGCACACACATTAACTAGCGAATGAACTGTTACACAAGGTGGTTTGTCTCAATGTCTCATTTTCCATGTTCAGTTTACCTTACCTCGCTGATTATCTGCATTGTCTCACTCACCTTTCTAGTATTTTTTCTTAGTCTGAGTGATCTAGTATTCTCAAGCCCCCTAAACCTCCTTCGGAGGAGGGGGGGGGCAGGATTAGGCCTCTGGTCCCTGGTAGTTTTATAATGATTTGCAAGAGTCTGGGGGGAGGATTCAGCTGGGTGGAGCTATCCGAGTAGCTAGCACCAGGGAAGTTTTAAGGACTTCCCAGAAAGTTCTTGTTGGTTTATTTACTTGTTTAATAAAAAAAATTCTTCTTGATGAACTAAGGCAAGTAGAAGTCATAATATAGACACAACAAATAATTTAGTTGAGTATTTAAATGTTGATGAATATTTGTATTTAAATTAAAATAAAAGACTACTATATTATAATGATGTAAGGCATACTGAAGAGACACTGAAGCTCAAACCAAATATAAGCCTTTAAAGAAATAATTTGTACAAAAATCTTGGCACAAGTTTCCACATAATGTGAACATTTTGGCAGAAATGGAACCACAAAACTGGAAATTAATACCGTAGAGGCATAATTATCACATCATACAAATGAATGACATAACACATGAATAAATGGTTCCCCTACATGTAGAGCCAGGCTTTATATGAAGTGCTAATTGACTCAGCAATTTGAATGACTGCACATTGTGAAATAAATTAATATTAAAAAATATTTTGTTATTTGTATTTATACAGTGAAAGAAATGATGTTATACTTGCATAAGCAATAATCCCTTGGGTAATGTTATTGTATGGAGTATAGAAGATTTTGCCCATCATTAGTGGCTTGATGTAGTGAAGAAGAACACCTCCCCCAGGCAGTGATCTGATATTATTGTAGAGGGCATCACAAATGTTCTTATTATCTGGAAAATTAAGGAAATAAGTTAGCAAGGAGCTGAAATAAAATTAAGTTGAACAGCTGCAGATGGTCAAATGAATATAACAAATCCTAGAATCTCAGAGACTTTAAAACTACAAAACAGCTAAAAATTTAACAAATTTAAATCTCCTCATGAATATCTACAATCAAACTACGGGGACTGTAACAGAACCCGTGGGTACCACATGATAAACTAATGCCCATATCTATTTGATACTCCTAATGTGTGACTTAACCAAAGCAGAAATGCAATGCAAGTTAAGGGCCCAAGCTGTAGAATGACCTCCAAAATTAAATTAAAAGCTGTACTTCTCTTAACCAGTTTAAAAGAAAATATAAACAATTTATAATTAATATCATGCAGGAAATTTCACTAACATTTCTTTATCCAAAATAATGCAATTTTGCATTCTGCTTTTATTGTAAATGTTAAATATTATATCTGTACCGTTACTAATACTAAAGATTCCATAATAAAAAGTGTGACTTGAATCATTATCCCCCACTCTATATATTGTATATCATTTTTCTACACTTCTGGAACAATTCATATAAATTAGCTTACTTCTCATTTACAACATAATATTCACCCCTTTAAACCTATAAATAATTTAACTGAATTAGTTTAAATTATGCCCAAAATGCTTAGTGTATTAGTAGCTTTAATATGCAACCTCTGTGCATACAAATAAACCAATGTAATATGTTCTTATGTATATTTTGTGAATAAAATTATTATTATTATTATTATTATTATTATTATTATTATTATTATTATTATTAATATTACTATTATTACATCACATAACATGAGGCCATGCAGGTACCAGCAGGTGCTCTACTCCCCATGACACCTAAGACACTACATTATGCCAACAGATTTCAATTTTAAATAGGCAGTAAAATCATTTAGGAAACTACAAATAATGTATTCAAATGGAAAAGAAACAAATAAAACTATACTGACAATGCATATTTAAGGTCATAATGAATGTGTAAGGAGCTGTATCATGCTCTTTTACATACCAACAAGGCATTTTAAAGGCCACTGACAGCATATCTTAACATTACTGAACATTGGAAAACAATCTGTTGTTGAAATCTTACAGGGATCGTGTTGAAGAACATTTTCCTTGTGATTCTCAAGAAGGACACCAAGACTATCTGGCACCAGAAGAAGTGGCTGCCCACACAAGGCATGTCCAGCACGCTCAAGGAAAGCAGGCGCTGTAATATGAACCATTAGTATAAGCCTATTTGCTATACAATAGTTATCAAAATAATACATGCAAAAAAAAATGCTGCATAAAGAAATTATTATTAATTTCGCTTACATGATTAATGAATAACTGAACACGTACAGTTGCCGTGTGTTGCACAATAATATCTACTCTTCATTAGCTCGTGCTGCACCAACTACAGTCCTTTAATTTGTCAATATTCTAAATTTTGTTAATGTATTGCTTGTTACTCTTTTTGTGCCACAAATATTTCATTTCTAATTGGTATTATCCTCAGATTATTTTAAGTTCTTGCATCCATACACCTTCACAGTGGAGATTGTTGAGAAAGATGTACAACTATGTAAAAATGTTTGAGCCAGGGCTACTGAACAAGACCTAAAGAAATACAAAAGAAGACAGATGGGACAGGATTATTGTCAGTGGATACAACAAGGGTCATAAATTCTGAAGGTTTCACTAAGAAAGAAATTGAAAGTTTTCTTTGCAGGATAGTGATGAATGAGGATCTGCTAATGATTTATGAAGGAAAATGCCCTAAATTATAGCAAGAAAATGAAGGTCTCATGAATAAAATTAATATTTTAAGAAATATGGCCTGTCACCCAAACCCCATGTGTCTTTCATGAAGTTGGAAATGAAATCGGGGCTGTGTCGTCCATTTACCTGAGCATTTCTGTGGAGAGCCCCTTCGGCTCCCTGGAGCTATACCAGACTGATGTGTATATATATTAGACCATGGAAACAGTCAATCGAAGGAGTTCTAAGCCTACCGGGGACCAGAGCCAGAACCTGGCCCTTCCCAAGAGAGGCACGAGGAGCAATGGCCTAAAGACACCCCTGTGTAATTGGAAGCAACTGGAGGTCTGGGACCCCCCGTCCCCCTCCTAGGGAGGGTGACGGGGGGTTTCAGACCTCCACGGCGGCAACTCTCCCCAGTTCAAGGGCTGTTGTGATGGTGAACAATCGATCGCTCTTGCTCCACTCTTTGGGCAGTGCTGCAATACGGTGTTGTTGCTCTGTATTGGTGGTGTATGAGCCAGGAGTAACACAAGAGTACCGGGGCTGCATGCACCTAGGGCTACCTTCCCTAGGGGCCCCGTAAGTACTGCCTTTGCGGCTTCAGGGTTATCTTCCATGAGCTGTTCAGGAGCAGCTACCTACGTGTGGTTCTGTCGCTGCTCGGTGATTGCCCGCCCTTGGAGGTTCAGCTGGGGTGGTTCTTACTCCTGTTTTTCCTTCGGCAGGAGGTAGTTTTGTCGCTGGCTGGGGCGCGAGGTACTGTGCAGCTAGCTGTTTGATATATGTATAGTGACCAGTTCTGTTCACCTGGAGACGTTGTGCTTTTGCGGGGGTTTTCTTTTGTTCTTGTTTTGTTTTGCCTGGCAGGGGTCTGCCAGGTGTGGCAGTAGGACCACTATTAGGTTTTTGGTGGCCCTCCACTAGGTGCCCATGCTTGCACCCTTTGCAAGGATTCAGCTGCAAAGGGGGGTCTGCTGGTGGGACCCAGAAGCCTCGGCAGGAGGAACCGGCTCAAATGCCTCCGTCCCCGACCCGGATGGGGCAGCCCCCGAGGCAGCCCGAGTCTCACTACCAACTAAACCCTGTGCCGAGGCCAAAACCCTCAGACGTTTTGGAGTCAGACACAGGGGGGGAGGTACAGGAAGACCCAGGGGGCACGGCAGGAGCCAAAGACAGAGCGACTAACACCCCCATGTCAGGGTCCCTAAAACCAAAACGAGGCAGCTTCAGGGCATCCGGGTGGGAAACCAACCTATCGCGTTGCAATAACCTAAACCTAACATGCAACGCTGATGCTGCCTGTACCTAACAAGAACATCCTCAGCATAAAACTGGAGCACAAGCAGAGAACACGACTCGCAAGACTCTGGGTCAAAGGTGACATTGACGCAACAGGCAGCATGACGGAGGCAAAACAGGTGACTGTCACCCTGAGACATGGGTACACTGCAACCTTCAAACCCACACAAGGCAGGTTGGAACTCGGGAGACACATCCATGGGTTCCCGAGCCCCGACAGGGGGTTTCCAGGGCCCGTAGGTTAGCAACTATGGGAAGCCCAGGCAAGGTGTTGCTTACCAGTTAAGAAACCCAAACAAAACAAGGGGTAAATGATTATACTGAAAACCCCTGGGACGTGTACAAGCACGGGGGCCTAGCAGAGGGCCACCAAAACAATACCAGGGAAACTATAGACCCACGAGGCAGAACCTCCACCAGGCAAACAAAAACAAAACAAAAGAAAAACCCCACAAAAGTACACCGTCGCCAGAGGCAACAGGAACTGGTCGCCGCTTAGGTGGCAGGCTGTGCAACAACTTGACGCCCTAACCAGCACAATACCACTCCCTACCCAAGGCCAAACAAGGACCCCAAGCCCCAGCTGGCCCCAAGGGCGAGGCAAATGCCGAGCAGCAAGAACCTCTACGGGAGCGGTTCCCGAACGCCTCAGAGAAGATAACCCTGACACGCAAGGGCAGTACTCACAGGGCGCCTAGGGAAGGAAGCCCCTAGGCGCATGCAGCCCCGGCATTGATGAAGTACTCCTGGCCACCGCACACCACACAAAAACAGCAGAGAACGCCACACGAGGCAAACACCGCCCAGGAATTTGAGGCCAGAGAAGCGTCTATCCCGGTTGACACTAGCTTGCGAACTGAAGGCAGCCGGCATGGTGAGGTCCGGGCCCCCCCTCCCCCTCCCCCTCCCGGGGAGGGGAGGGCCGCGCGGACGACCGGCGCGACAGTAAATTGATTGTTTGATTGTTTTCCTTGGGATTGTAGGGAGTTTTCTACCTCTCTGTTCGGTTTTTGTTGTAGTTTCTTACCATGTGGGGTTTGTTTTGTTACGCCTACTTTTCTGGGTGCCTAACCCTGGTCGATGGCAGATAAGGAAAACCCCCAACCATATGGGGTTTTCCAAGGCCATTGCTCTCTGAAACCTCTCTGAAGGGGCCAGGTTCTGGCGCTGGTCCCTGGTAGGTCTGAACTCCATAGCTAATGTCCCGGTCTAACATAACATACATTAGCCCAATAAGCTCCAGGGAGCCGTAGGGGCTCCCCACAGAAAAGAAGGATGGAATAGAAGGGATGGTGGGAGAGACTGACTATCCCTGGCACTGCCAGGTACCCCTCTTAATGTAAAAATAAATATATACTGTATATACAGTATATACAGTATATAACTGATGAAAAGAATCTTGAATAATTTAAATAATGAATAATAATGCAACTAAAACTATTAATCTGAACTTACATGATATTGCCTTCAAAACAGTGTGTGTGTCATTCTTGACCATTTTCTCTGATGCATCATGCTCCTTTAAGACGTTCATGAGATCAGAGAGAGCACTAAATGAGGAAGTAAGGGAAGGCAACATACTGGAAGACTCAACCAAGATGTTGACTGCCTCTGTCACCTGTTCTAGGGTCATTCCGTGGGACGAAAGGCTTGAATTTAGTCCATATTTCACCAGCTGCATGGAAAAGAAAAGTGAACTTCAAATATTTGCACATTTTACACTTCTAACGATATTTTCTTTTGTGAAGCATAGCAGATTTAAACTTGACTTCTCATTTGGTCTACTGTTAGAGTAATGTAATAAATGAAAGTACAAAACTATGGTACAGTATGTTAAACAAACAAACCTGAATAGTTTTGCAGTTTCTGACCCAAAATGTTTCTGACCAACATTATATTTTTCCACAAAATAAAATGCCTTTAAAAATAACTCTCTATAAAATAGAAGATAAAGTTTATATGAAAAGCTCCTTTCTGAGCTTATCACTTGACTGAACCTTAATTTACCAGAATTTATTTGAGGGCCACCATCTCTCTAGTGGCCTCAATGGAGACAGGAAACTAGCAGTTTACCAAATGCTCCCCCCATTCATCCTGAGGATTTTATCCAACTGAATTTTAAACTGATGACTTGGCATTTACAGCTTTGGCGGGTACGAAATTCCATAATAACTGTATGGGAGAAAAAGCATCTCCTGTTTTCTGTCCTGCATTGTAGTTTGTTGAGCACGAAGCTGTTGCCCTTTTGTATGTGTATTTACCCTATTAAAGAAGGGGTCTGGATTAATATCCTCCAACTTGTCTACTGGGGCAGAACTGTAATTAGTCAGACAGGTCCCTACAGAGTCATACTTGTGTTTAGGAGCACATAAATAGCACAAGAGATTGTGTGGAGCGAGTGTGGAGCTTGTGTATGTTAAGTATGTTTAGGGACCTTAACAGGGCCTGTATATTGTCTGAAGACAGAATTTGTTATAGTTCTGGTAGCAGATTTTTGCTGGGTGATGATGGACAGTATGTAAGATAGGGATAGATTATAGTGAGTAGTATAGTGGAAGAAGAGCAGTGGGGGGAACACAATATCTGATTTTTTAGAATATATCAACAGTTTTAGAGACTTTTCTAACTGTGTGATGTGGGTACTTAAGTTAAACATTGAATATAGATTACATGCTTATTTCCAAGCTGATCACTCGGTCGATCCCTCAGGCTACACCCTGCTTGCCAAAAGACATCGTGAACACTAATGTGACTTCCCATCCCAAACTGCAGTGGGGATCTTTTCTAAATACCTCTGCCAGAATATACAATTTCAGTGACACATTTTTTAAATTAATTACAAAACCACAATAATTAATTCATAATAACGAATCATTCATTCATAATTATTCATAATAATGAATAATATTGAATAAAATATAGATTTTATTGAACAAGACCACCAGACATAAAGCATTCTAGATAATAAAGGAATATGGAGAACTTACTGTTACAATTAATGGAGCAAGATCAAGGTGCTGCAAAAAGGTAGCTGCTAGGCCTTGAGAGTCACTGGAGTTACAAAGGTACTTGCTAAGGGTGGCAAAGGTCACCTGGGTATCCTGCGGGAGGGTTACCACGCGCTCTACTTGAGATTCTCCACAGATAACTTCTTCTAGGGTCACATCTTCAAGAGACAGTAACTGAAAAAGAATATATTTTAAGTGATAAGAATAAATGATGCAAGAGCTCTAGTGACTTGTGCAAACCCCCAAAGATGGCCAGATTTCTTCTTGAATGTCTTGAAGCTCTTACAAGATCATAAAATGCTAATTAAAAAAAAATCAAAGATCCTAAAACTAAGATCCAGAAACAAATAGTACTAAAAAATATCGAATACCTGAAATGTAAAAGAACAGCATTGAATGTAATAAAACTCCATTTTCTGGGTGAGCCCCAGAGGCTCCCTGGAGCTATCGGACTGATATTTGTTATATTAGTCTGGGGCATCAGTCAACTGGACTTCAGCCTACTGAGGTTGAGGACCATGAGCTAGAACCTGGCCCCCTCAGAGAGGCAAAGGGAGCAATGGCCTATGGAAACTCCCTTGTACTTGGGGGCATTCCGAGTCAGCCATCGACTGGGGTTAGGCACCCAGAAAGTTAGGCATAACAAAATAGACCCCACAAGGTAAGAAAAAAGAAACAAGCAAACATCACATGCTACCACAGCACCGCTTGTCTGCACAACCCCTCCACCCCGCGCCTGCTACTCACACCTCAAGTTCAGAGGCTGAGCATCAAAACAAAAAGTAAACTGCCAACCGGAGAGAGAGAGGATGCCAGGGAGCCTCTGGGGCTCACCCAGAAAATGCCATTCATTATGTTTAACACTATTTTCTGTTGGGAGCCCGTCTGGCTCCCTAACCAAAGACAAGTAAAAGAGGGACTTACCTGGGAGGTGGCCGCCATTTACTCCTTAACTCGAAGTCGAGACAACTGGCTGGAACCTGTGACCCAAAAGAAAAATCCAGCAAAAATACGTTCCCAGAAGGAACAGGAACAGGTCGTCACATAGGTAGGCAAGCTGCGCAGTACCTTGCGCCCTTACCAGCAACAATACCACTTCCTACCCAAGGCCAAACAAAGGCCTCGAAAACCCCAGCTGGCCCCAAGGGCGGGGTAAATGCCGAGCAGCAAAGACCCCTACAGGAGCGACTCCCAAAAGCTCAATGTAAGATAACCCTAAAACCCAAGAGTAGTACTTATAGGGTGCTTAGGGAAGGTAGCCCCAAGTGCATGCAGCCCCAGTACACTTAAATTTCTCCTGGCCACCATACCACAAATGACAGGACACCCAACTAAGGTACAAATACTGCTAAGAAATCGAGGCCAGCATCAACGACCGCCCCAGATCACACAAGCCAATGAACTGGAGGTGTGAGTAGCCATTGTGGGGATGGGGGTTCCTGACTTCTCCCCCCTCCCCTCCAATGGAGGAGAGGGCTATGCAGACAAGCGGCATGACGGAGGTGTGTGACGTTTGATTGTTTGTTTATTATTTTAGGTTGGGGGAGTTCTGCCTCTCTGTTTGGTCTCCAGTTGCAATTTGTTCTTACCATGTGGAGTCTGTTTTGGTATGCCTACCTTTCTGGGTGCCTAACCCCAGTCGATGGTTGACATGGAATGCCCCCAAGTACAAGGGGGCTTCCATAGGCCATTGCTCCCTTTGCCTCTCTGAGGGGGTCCAGGTTCTGGCTCGTGGTCCCTGGTAGACTGAACTCCAATTGACTGATGCCTCAGACTAATATAATGTATATCAGTCTGATAGCTCCAGGGAGCCGGGGAGGCTCTCCACAGAAAAGTATCTAAAGAATGAAATTTGCAAAAAAATTAAATTTAAGAAAACCAGAAAACATTCGCTAATATACCAGTACTGTACTGTACTGTACTGTACTTGCAAAGTTCGAACACCACCTTAATGTGTTTGAATTATTGCCATGCACTTTACAGGCCATCCAGACCACAAAACACACCAGGTCCTATTAACTTGTTCTCTCATTATTACAGGTATCTTTATTAATTGTATAGCCTTGTAAAATGTAAAAGACAAGTGGGAAATAAGAAGAACATAACAATTAAAGAAACTGCAGAAGACTTTGTCCCATACAAGGCAATGCCTATTTATATCCACCCAAACTTATTCATTCTGATGTCTAACCTACACATGAAACAAGCAAGTGATCCCATGTCTTTATTTTACCTTGCATCCTGTTCTACAAATCAACAACTCTGTTTCCAAATCAGTATTTACTCAGTTCTTTCCTAAATCTAAACTTATCCTATTTATATCCCATACTTCTTGTTCTATTTTGTGGAATAATTAATACCATATTACTATCCCCATTGTTATGTCCTTTCATACACTTCTACACTTCAATTATCCCAGATCTAACTTTTCACTTTCCTAGAGAATGTAAATTAAGCTTTATTAGTCACTCTTCATATAGAAGATCTCCAATTCCTGGGATTAACTTTGTCATCTTTTGCTGAATGATGACAAAGAATGTCATCATACAGTAAATAATGACAGTCTAACAAGAGCAAGATAGAGCTGAAGAATAATATAATTGTTTTATTGCAAACCCTTTTAGGAATTTATTCCCGCATCCTTTTTACTGTATTCCAAAAATTTATGCATCGAGACAAAGAGTGACAGACAGATGGGATACAAAATAGAATACAAATCTCATTCCCACCCACACACCCAGAGTAGCGCCGACTCCCACCTACACCCATACACATCTCAGTGCCGACTCCCACCTACACACCCCACACCCCCAGAGTAGCGCCGACTCCCCCCTACACACCCAGAGTAATGCCAACTCCCACCCACACATCCAGAGTAGCACCGACTCCCACCCCACACATCCAGAGTAATGCCGACTCCTACCCATAAACCCAGAGTAATGCCGACTCCTACCCATACACCCAGAACACTGCTGACTCCCACCCAACACAAAAAGTGCTCAACAGATTTACCGTACATAAATATAGTAATTTTTTGAACGTGAGGAGAAACAGTGCTATAAAGAATGATCATAGTGCATTGCAACACTTAACAAAGTTCTTATGCTTGTAGACAGTACAGTATATTCACTAGACTATGTTCATTTCAAAGACACATCATGAATGAAAGTTATTTGTATTTCTTGTCAATATTATACACTTTCTTTTACTAGGGTGGCAAGTGGCAAGTCTCTGCTTACCGCCATTAGATTAAGTTCCGAGTTCTTGAGGGCCTCAATAACCTCAGAGTCCATCATGAGGACATTTTTCAGGTACTGCTGCATTTCTGTCCAGTTTGAGATGAGTGCTGTTGTTGGCACTGTCCAGAAGGTTGTAAATAATTTGATTAAATTCTCAGGAAACAAACTTCTAATTAAAAGGAATATACAAGTATACAAAGCATGCACATTACATACAGAACTTTCCTTAAGTATCATTATCTTAAAGCTCTATATACAGTAATTCTCAAATATTAAAATTTATATTAGTAATGGCCGTAAATTCTTAACAAGATCAGTATGATAATTAGCTAAGAACTTTCTAATCTGTTAATACAAGGTTCCTGCATTTCAGTCCTATTTAAAATAATATAGCATGAAAATCCATATAGTAATCTACAGAGTATAATAAAAGACAATAAAAATTAATAAATAAAACAGACTTGTAAAATCCACAATGCCAAGGTTCTTGGCTGCCTGGAGAGTGCCGATGCCATCCACCACCCGCTGAAGGTCATCCCCGAGTTCTGACCCAGTAATGACTGGCACCGCTTCCCCCAAAATGCCTCCAAAACTGAAAGGTTAACACAAGGTGTACAAAATTATAACAAAAGAACATTATTAAATACAGATCCCATCAGAAATGTATGGAAGATTGAATATCGAATAAATTGTTTACCATTACAGGACTTCCAGAGGTTTGTAACTAGGGACAAAACTATTACAGTGATAAATACCAGTTGTGTGAAAGACAGCAATATCTGTATGTTACATGTACGTGTCATATAATTACCGAGCTATCGTGTTGTATATAATAACACCCATCTTACCTCAGAGCCAAGTCGGTCCATAATTTCATCTGTAGAAGCTGCACTGACCCTGTGAGGAAGGTCACTGGGTCAACATCCCCTGTAACGATCTAAATAACAATTAATATAAGTAAGGAAGGTTGCTTATAAGTGTAAAAACATACATACTAAGGAGGTACCTGGGTCAGACCATCTGTCTTCCTTCTCTCTCTCTCTCGCTATTTCTCTCTCTCGCTATCTCTCTATCTTGCTCTCTCTCTCTCTCTCTCTCTCTATCTAGCTCTCTTTTTATCTAGCTCTCTATCTAGCTCTCTCTCTATCTAGCTCTTTCTCTATCTAGCTCTCTCTCTATCTCACTTCTCCCTCCTCAGTTTCTCCTCCCCTTTTCCTCCTTCAAGAAGCAATTAAACAGCTGTAATTACCTAAGTGTAGTTTCAGGATGAGAGCTATGCTCGTGGCGTCCAGTCTTCCCAGCACTCTTTGTCATATAACGCTTTGAAAGTACCTTGTCTCAGATATTTTCTTTTCTTTTCTCTTCTCTTCCTTTTTCATTATTTTTTCCTATCAATAATAACTCCACACTAATCACAACATATTTCAGTGTAAATTCATAAATTTGGTATATTAATGAGAATTAGACCGGGACATTAGCTAAGGAGTTCAGACCTACCAGGGACCAGCGCCAGAACCTGGCCCCTTCAGAGAGGTTTCAGGGAGCAATGGCCCTGGAAAACCCCCTTGTGGATGGGGGTTTTCCTTATCTGCCATCGACCGGGGTCCAACAGCCGCGTCCAACAGCCTGGTTGATCAGTCCAGCAACCAGGAGGCCTGGTCGACAACCGGGCCGCGGGGACGCTAAGCCCCAGAAGCACCTCAAGGTATACGCTTTGTTCCTCAAGGTATACTGTTGGGGTTAGGCACCCAGAAAGGTAGGCATTACAAAACAAACCCCCACATGGTAAGAAGCTAAAACAAAAAATGAACACAGAGGTAGAAACTCCCTACAATCCCAAGGAAACAAGCAAACATCACACTTTACTGCCGCGCCGCTCGTCTGCGCAGCCCTCCCCGCACCCAAGAGGGGGAAGGGGTGGGGCCCGGGATCTCACCTCACCGGCTGCCTAGCAACAGTTCAGAAGCTAAGCTTCAACCAATGTGAAAAACTGCCGACCGGTGGGAGGGTTGCCAGGGAGCCTTCGGGGCTCACCCAGAAAATGGCGTTTCATCACATTTAACGCGGGTTTTCTGTGGGGAGCCCCTACGGCTCCCTGGAGCTACATACCTACCTTGAGGTTACCATGAGGTGCTTCCGGGGCTTAGCGTCCCCACGGCCCGGTCGTCGACCAGGCCTCCTGGTTGCAAACAAGCAAACATCACACTTTACTGCTGCACATATATATACCTAAAGCTTCAACCAATGTGAAAAACCGCCGACCGGTGGGAGGGTTGCCAGGGAGCCTATACCAAATATACCTAAAGAGAAGGAAAAGAAAGGGCTGACCCAGGAGGCGGCTGCCACAAACTCAGTAACCCGAAGTCGAGGCAACAGGCAGCAACCTGCAACCCAAAGCAACACAAGAACGCACAGGAGCAGACACGCTCACAAAAACCAGGCGGCCAGGAACCTGTGCTACCCTAAAATCCCTGTGCCCAAAATGAGCCCAAGACGTCACCGAACACGGCAGCAAAAGCTGCAAATGTCCGAACAGCACGGCCGGCCGGCCTGGTGAGCACTGGTCACAAAGCCCCAGCCGAGAGACAGCCCGTCCGTGAACACATCGAGCAAAGGCTCGGGAAGGCGCCAAAGCACGTAACCCCGAAAACCTCAAAGAGGAAGCCGGTGACACAGCAAAGACCAAAGTTAGACCAAAGCTGGCATGTGCAGCGGTTGTATGGTGCCCATATCTTAAGAAGCACATCAACAAACTGGAAAAGGTGCAACGACATGCCACTAAGTGGCTCCCGGAACTGAAGGACATAGATTTCATAGGTTTAAACTAACGAAACAAAGCTGCCAAAGAAATATACGAAATTCACTTTTGTAAACAGAGTGGTAGACGGTTGGAACAAGTTAGGTGAGAAGGTGGTGGAGGCCAAAACTGTCAGTAATTTCAAAGCGTTATATGACAAAGAGTGCTGGGAAGACAGGACACCACGAGCGTAGCTCTCATCCTGTAACTACACTTCGGTTATTACACTTAGGTAATTACAGCAACCAACGAACCCGCACAAGACGGGATGGAACCCGGAAGTTACATCCAGTGGTCCACCAAGCCCTGTCAGGGTTATTCAGGGCCCATAGGCTGACTGCTACAGGAATCCCGGGCAAGATGTTGCTAACCGGTTAACACCGAAGATAACAAGGGGTAGATGTAACACTGAAAACCCCTGCGACGTGTACAATAACGGGGGCCTAACAGAGGGCCACCAAACACTACCAGTGGAACTATAGCCACACTAAGCAGAGCTCCCACCAGGCAAATGAAAATAAAAACAAAAGAAAAACCCTGCAAAAGTACACCGTTCCCAGAGGCAACAGGAACGGGTCCCCACATAGATAGCAGGTCACGCAACACCTTGACGCCCTAACCAGCACAATACCAGTCCCTACCAAGATCATACAAGGGCCCCAAACCCCAGCTGGCCCCAAGGGCGAGGCAAATGCCGAGCAGCAAAAACCTCCACAGGAATGATTCCCGAACTCTTCAGGGAAGATACCCCTGTCAGGCAGGGGCAGCACTCACAGGGCGGTTAGGGAAGGAAGCCCCTAAGCGCATGCAGCCCCGGTACTGATGAGGAACACCTGGCCACCACACAACACTAAAACACAGCAGTGAGCACCATGAAGGCAAATACCGCCTTCCCCAACCGTCCTTCCCGGTTGACATTAGCTAACGAACTGGAGTGCTATGCAGCTAGCACGGTGAGGTCCGGGGCCCCACTCCCCCTCTAGGGGAGGGGAGGGCTGCGCGGACGATTAGCGTGGCAGTAAAGTGTGATGTTTGCTTGGTTGCTTGTTTCCTTGGGATTGTAGGGAGTTTCTACCTCTCTGTTTGGTTTTTAGTTTTAGTTTCTTACCATGTGGGGTTTGTTTTGTTATGCCTACCTTTCTGGGTACTTAACCTCAGTCGATGGCAGATAAGGAATACCCCCAACCACAAGGGGGTTTTCCAGGGCCATTGCTCCCGGAAACCTCTCTGAAGGGGCCAGGTTCTGGCGCTGGTCCCTGATAGGTCTGAACTCCATAGCTAATGTCCCAGTCTAATATAACATACATTAGCCTGATAAGCTCCAGGGAACAGTAGGGGCTCCCCACAGAAAGGTGACTTAAACCAGCATTCTGGTGATTCCCAGACACTTGTCTAAATGTCGGTTCAAGTCACATTATTGCCTCAAAATGATTTTCTCACTGATATACCAGAATTATGAAGTTACACTTCAAGATACCACATAAGAAAAATATTTTAACTGAGGTAATGCAGTAAGAAACTGAAAACTCACTTTGTTAAGATCCATGACAGCACCCAATTTGCTGAGCTCTGACAGGCTGGTAACAGCAAAATTCATGTGTATCAACACAGGGTCTAGCCAATCAGAAGAAAGAATCGCTTGCATCCTCATGTTCTCAATCTGAAAGAAAAACAAATTATATTGTGAATAGTTTACATAATTTTACCCGTTTTTAAATTTTCATGGAGATAGAAGCATTTCATGGAGATAGAATAATCTACAGTATTAATCCCCTGCTCCCCCTCACTTTGTCACACAAGCTGATTCTGGTTGTGGCCCCTGGTAGATGACAGTTGGGTTTCAGAGGCCTGTTGGTGTGTTGCTCGACTATTGTCATGTTTATTGCCAGTCACTAGTGAGGCTTGGAAGAGACAGCGCACTTATTAATCCCTGCAATAAACTTTTCCATGGAGCCCTGGATGCTTACATAGAATAGAAACTTGGACCATAACCATAACTATGGAGGCTCAAGTTCTATTCAATAAAAAAACAAACAGCATTGACTATAATGAAATGCCATTTACTGGGTGAGTCCCAGAGGCTACCTGGAGCTTACTGGGCTCATATGTATGTATTAGACCATGGCATCAGACAATTCGATGGAGTTCTAGCTTACAGCGGACCACAAGCCAGAACCTGGCCCCCTCAGAGAGGTGCGAGGAGCAACGGCCTATAGAAACTCCCATGTGGTTGGAAGCATTCTATGTATGCTATCTATCAAGTTAGACAACCAGAAATGAAGGCATCCCAAAACAAACTACAGCTGGTTAAAAATTGCAACTGAAAGCCCAACTCACCAATCTGAAAACAAACAAACAAGCATGATGTCACCATAGCCGCCGTGCCACTGTCTGCGCAGCTCCCCCCTCCCCGAAAGCAAGAAAGGGGAGCCCAAGACCCTTTGCGCCTTCTATTTAACCATCAGTTTATAGGCCAAATGTCAAAAAGACGCAAAAAACCACTGACAGGAGAGAAGGAGGGTTGCTGGGGGAGCCTCTGGGACTCACCAGAAAATGGTGTTTTATTATATTCAATGCTGGTTTTCTGTGGAGAATCCCTCCAGCTTCCTGGAGCAACCTAACCAAAGATACAGGAAAGAAGGAGTCATTCTCATTCGGAAGGCAGCCATGACTCGCTCCTCAACTTGAAGTTGAGACAACTGGCTGCAACCTGCGACCCATGCCCGAGCTGGACCTGGAACAGTAATAATGTACCGTGCGACTAGGACCCTGTTCGACCTCCAAAAGCTCTGCGCCCCAGGACATGTTACCAAAAACAGCAGCCAACGCCACAAACCTGCGAACGTCGTGGGCACGTGGGATAGACCGCAGTCCCGTTTCGGGATCAGAAACAGGCGGGAAATGCATCTGAGGGACGAGAGCTTTTCAACCATGCCCAAGCGAACCCACTCTGAGATGACCCCGACACAGCACAGGAGAAAGGCCTGCCCTGCCAGCTTCGATCCCCCAGATGGAGGAGGAGCCACCCAACGCCACCGCAGGCCGCACGAAATGACCGGAAAGGCCCATAAATCATGGGACCAGGCACAAGCAAACAGAGCGAGCCTTCCTCCCACCGCCCTGTCAGTGGGATGAACCACGAAAGGGCTGACGCACTTTACAAGCACCTAACAGCTCACGGGAAGATCCCCGCGCCGATCTCGCGGGAAGCAGAAAGCCTCCAGAAGGACGGAACCGAAGAGCTGTTCGGGTCACAGAACCAAACCCGGGGAGGGGTAAACACCAAATCCAACTCGTACGAAAAGGGAGCGAAAAGAACCCCACTCCTTATAAGACCATGCCCCGCTCCAAGGGTACAAAAACCCAGGCGGAGTCCAATGTGGCCCAAGGCCCCCCAAACAACCCCTCTCCCCTCGAGGACCCAGGGCCAAGCCATTCTAAAGAAAGAAAAGAGTTTCTTGCCCCTAAAGAAAAGTCAAAAGCTGCCGAAAAAGCAGGAACGAAGCAGGCCCACTGGTCAGACCCAGAAGCTCCGGCTGGAGGACTAGGCTTGAGTGCTTCCACCACCACTCCGGAAGGGGAGTTCCCTGAGACTGCCCGAGTCTCAACATCAACTAGACCCTACCCCAACTCTGAAACCCTCAGACATTTCAGAACCAGAAGCAAAGGGGAGGAATCGGACGTACAACAAAAGGGAAAGGACAAGGAGGGGCAGACAGAGCCAAAGTCAAAGCAACTCCCACCCCTATGTCTGGGTCCCTAAAACCAAAATGGGGCGGTCTCAGGGCATCCGGGAAAGCAACCAACCTATTGCGTGGCATCAACCTGAACCTACCCTGCAATGCAGCTGCTGCCTGCACCTTATATCATGATCAGCATCTTGGGTGAACTGGAGCACGTACAAACAACAAACGTCACACGACTCTTGGTCAAAAGAATCACCGACCCTACAAGTAGCATGGCAGAGAAGCAACCAGTGATTATCACCCTGAGACAAGGGGACAGAGCAACCATCAACCTCGCATGAAGCGAGAGGGGACTCAAGGGGTCACATTCATCAGACCACAAAGCCCCCGCAGAGTTTCCCAGGGCCCTTAGCCTTGGTAACATGCTAAGGGAAGCCCAGGCAGGGTACTGCAAACCGGCGCCCAAGACTATCAAGCAACAGGGTATCAAGCAACGTGGGCTTAACAGGGGATACCACCAAGAACAGAGATACTTATATAAATATACCCGAAATATAGATGGGGGCAACCAACCAAAGGCAGACCCTCCCCACCAAGCAGGGAAAACAAAAACAAAAACAAAAGAAAAACCCCACAAGAGGACAACATATCCAGGCGGAACAGAGCCGGCCATTATAATAGGTGATAACTAGCTGTGCAGAACCCCGCGCCCCTACCAGTAACGAAAACTACCCCCTACCCAGCGGCAAGCAAGGGCAACAAAAACCCCAGCTGACTCCAAGGGCGGCCAAGTACCGAGCAGTAAAAGACACAGCAGAGGTAGATCAAAAGGCAACTTGTGGAAGGTGGCCCGAAGTCCCAAGGGCAGTACAGTACTTACTGGGCACCTAGGAAAGGATACCCTAGGCGCATGCATCCCAAGTACCATAGAATATTACTCCTGGCTTACACACCACCTGTAGAGACAGACCTCTACCCTGGCTGGTAGGGCACAAGGCACAGAAACTGACACCAAATAAGGAGCCAGTGGTACAAGAATTTGCCAGTATCACATCAGCCAAGAACTGCGCTGACAGCGGCACTGCAACGTGATGATGTCATGCTCGTTTGCAAATTTTCGTTTTGGGGAAGTTCTGTCCACTCGTTCAGCTTTCAGTAGCAATCTTTTCAACAGAATATGGGTTTATTTTGGGGCACCTACCTTTCTGGGTGCCAGACCCGGTCAATGGCAGACATAGCATGCTCCCAACCACACGGGGGGTTTCTATAGGCCATTGCTCCTCGTGCCTCTCTGAGGGGGGCCCAGGTTCTGGCTCATGGTCCCCGGTAGGCAAGAACTCCATGCCCATTGATGCCAGAAAGCAAATACTGTATATTCACATCAGCTCCTGGGAGTCGACGGGGCTCCTCCCAGAAAAAGTGTTTTTTATTTACAAATACTGAAGTTTAAAAAGATTTATGGCAAAGGAGTATGAATGTACTTATAATAATTAAGTGGGATGATATTAGAGACACAGAGATCTCTTTAATACATTATATATTATGATGGTCTCTAATCAGCACTAATAATATTACCTCATTTATGGTTGTAAGGTAATTTAATGATTTACCTCAGAAAGTAGGTATGTGTAATTAACATTTGCTAAAAGATTTTCAGCAAAAGAATAATGCCCCATGTCTTGAGCAGCTTGATATAATATTTCAATGGGCATGTCCTGCACACTCCTCTTGAACACACTGCCAGTGTCTTTAGCTTTGTTTCTTATTCGAATCCACTTCTTCATTTTCTCAACCGTGGAAAGGAGGCCTGCAAGCCTCGATGAGTCCGCTCCATAAATCTAGAATAAAGTAACATATAAGAATTTAGTACCAGCTTACGATTTGCATGATAGTAATATATTAAACAACTGTATCTAAAGATGATTATATGCAGCAGACCCTCGTGTTGTGTGAACTCAATAGTGTGAATTTTGATGCAACATCCATGTTTATGTCTTCCCTCAAAACCCACCCACCCAGACTCTCACCTCAGTCACAATGGGTGATGGAGTGAGTTATGGGCCAAGACAGAGTTACTGGCTGATTATAATCAAACTGTATGTAACAAAACAAATGCGGCCTCGAACATCTCGGTCGAGGCCGGAACTGGAAAATAAATAAAAAGTTTGTCCACATATGGAGTGTCCTGGGAAGGAAAGTTCAGCACAAGACTTGTTCTGGAGCAAAGCAGCTAGGAACTGTGAATGTAGCTGAAACCCCTAGAGGAGAAGCCCACTGTTGAAGTATGAGCCAAACCAGAACAGAAAGGAACTCTAGGCCACTGGCCAATTAAATTACAACACATAAAAAACCAGCGCTGAATGTAATGAAATGCCATTTTCTGTGAGAGCCCTGGAGGCTCCCCGGAGCTTACCGGGCTGATATGTATGCATTAGACCATGGCATCAGTCGACTGGGTGTTTTTCCCTACCAGGGACCACGAGCCACCACAAACCGTGGTTTGTGGTGGCCCCTTTGTTTCAAGATTGTTTTTCCAAGGCTCTTTTCCTGTTGGCATTGGCTTCTGGGGGGTTGGGTTGGGCAGCTTCATGCTCTCCTCCAGCATAGAGGTTTCTGCTCTTTTGGTCCTGGCGGTAGATTTGTTCATTTGCAGCCGTCTCCTCCTTTTCTGGTGAAGAACAAGTAGGCAAATTCCGGAGGGGTCCTTTGGTTGTTGATGCTTGGTTGGTCAGATCAGGGGTGCATCATGTGCTATGTCCAGTTGCGGTTCTTTGCTGTTACTTGCGCACCACGGCTTCTGTGGCCAGGAATGTACTTTGGGTTGACCCAGTTTCCCTTGTTCCCTGTTCCAGGGCTCAGGTCTCCCAGGTCATCTGCAGGATTATTAGGTCCAGCCAGCCTGCAGATCTATCCTCGTGCCCATGATGTTCGCACGTTTGCTGCTTTAGCTGCCATCTTCGGTAACATGTCTTGGGCTGACATTCAGGCATGGGGATTTTGGAGGTCGAACAGGGATCCTGGCCGCCCGTTACCTCGTTAACATTCCTGACCCCTAGTAGGGCGTGTGTCGCTTTGGGTCACAGGTTGCATCTAGTTGTCTCGACTTCAAGTTGAGATACGAGTGGCAGCCACCTCCCGGGTAAGTCCCTCTTATCACTTTTCTTGGGTTAGGTGGCTCCGGGGAACCTTTCTGGGTTCCAGACCCCGGTCGATGGCAGACATGGAATGCTGCCAAATACATTGGGGGGGGAGGGGTTCCATACGTCATTGTTCCTCGTGCCTCTCTGAGGGGGGGCCAGGTTCTGGCTCATAGTCCTTGGTAGGCAAGAACTCCAATCGACTGATGCCACGGTCTAAAACATACAGCTTGGTAAGCTCCGGGGAGCCGTAGGGGCTCCCCACAGAAAAAAACTAGTCATACACGCACAAGAAGCATTCCAATAACATAGCCACCTCCTGCACTCAGCATCCAAGTCTTGACACCATCACACTATACTTCAACAACTTCATGTAACCTCTTATCAAATATATATCTATCTACCATTTTGTGTTTACTGTCCTACCTGTCAGGGTACATCATAAGAGTCTAGACAACATCAGTCTGTAGTAAAATCATCCACAGCACATACTCTTTAGTGGTCATCCCTTTAACTAATATCATCCTCTATTGCACGTATGTTTTTATTATTTAACTTATAATGGCACATTCCTCTCAGGGCGCCGTTGTTTTGAGGTTATGATACTCTGTAACTTATCCAACCAGCCCAGACAGCAACCATCACAAGTTCAAGTACTGTGGGACACTACTTAAAACATTGGATGATTAAGTTTATATGCTTCCATGGCAATCATTAAAGCAAGAAAGTTGTCACTTATTTACCTGTCCCAAGGAACAAGAACTTGAGGAAATGCTGAGGATTTCCTAAACTAATAAAAAGGGAATATAGATGAGACAGAGAAGATTGAATAAACAATAGAAAATAAACCAAGCTAATTTAGGATTGAGGCAAAGGAACCTCCTTTAAAAAAAAATTCTCTTACTGTATTTACACTCCATAAGCAGTGCTGCCTCATGCACACGAGTCACCAAGTTAAAAGAGTTGCAACTACATGCTTTCATTTTTCTAAACAAAACTACAACAATCCATATATGTAATAAATTCATCACATCTTAATACTCTATTATAGTAAGAGGTTGGAAGTTGTAGCACCAATACTTGTACTCCTGTCTGCATTTCCTAATTTGACTCATGACCAGTAGAAGTCAGAAGTAATTTTTCTATATGTTTATATTGAACTAGTTACTCTCATCCATATTATACTAATACTTGTAACTTTAAATTGTGCTTAGAGGAAACGCTCATCTCCATCAAATTCAGAAGTAAATGTTGCAGACACATGATCATTAACTTACACGATTGACATCCACCATTAAGTCATTCCTAATGATGTCTATAACCTTGGTAGTGAAATTTAAAGTTGTTTCATAGTGTTTTACAAGAATATCTTCAAAGGGAACCAGCACTGCCACCCTAGAGCCAAGTGTTCGGAGAGCTGATGATGCCCCAGGCAAGGATGTGGTGGCCGCTGAGAGAGCCTCTCCTATATTCTTGCTCGAGGCTAAACCAAACAAATCTCCAGCTGCTTTCAAAATTCTGCAACAAATATAAAAGGATTAGTATATTTTTATCAATGAAGCACCAGTTATTTATTAATATATGTATAATGAAAACACATTATTACTACAACTGTGCAGAATGTGAAGTAAACATTCATTAAAATTCCATTAACATGTGCAGTGTTTATAACATTTCTCTATGCAGAGATGAGGTAAGCATATTTTATCTAAACATAATTGTTAGGAACGATTTTCATTATACAATTTTCTCATGTGAAATACAGCGGACAAATTTATAATTTTATTTCAACTCTATAATATGTTCTATAAATATATCATTGTCCCGATAAAGGTGATACAATAGAGGCAAGTAGTGAGATATGCCCATCTGGAAAGTATTTATTTATTTATTTATTTATTTATTTATTTATTTATATATATATATACAAGAAGGTACATTGGGGGGTTAAGAGAGAACATAGAGTTTAATTTGAAATTACAACTTTGTAAAGCCACTAGCACGCATAGCGTTTCGTTAGCACAGTATTGAGTAAGTATCCCCCAAAGTGTTGGAAATTTGGCATTCAGACTATTACCTCTTCCCCTCCGTCCCCCAGGAATAATTGGGGGACCTTTCACAAGCCTTACCCCTTGCCCAAAACGCTATGCACATTAGTGGCTTTACGTATTGTATGTACTAGCTCTATCAATAAATCCAATATTAAGTTTGTAACTCTTCATCAATGTATGTACTTTTACCTGAATCAAAATTTGAATTTGAATTGAATCAAGGCCGCTAGAGATGGGGGGGTACTAAGAAAAACAAATTCAGTGGTAGAAAAGCATAACTAACAGGAGTTACTAGAAGCTATCAATATAGAAAAATGCAGAAGTAATTTTGTATTCTTCTGTAAATAGACTTAATTCCTTTAAGTTTCATACAATACAGTAGCAGCATTTCAAAGATTAAATTAATCAGTTGATCCCTTAGACAATGTCCCATTATCACAAGAGCTCAATAGACTCCCACCAGTCTGTGTGACCTTTCCATCCCTGATGCAGTAGAGATCTTTATAAACTGTCCCCACAGACATCCACAGGCAAGCGAGAGACTGGAGAATTCTCAGTCGAACCTTGAGTGACCACCGAAACTTGGACATCAAAGAAACTAACAAACATCAAGGTAAACGGGGGGGACCTTCGACAAGCCATTGGCTTCCTGTCCTCGTTGAAGCCACTAGTGTTAGTGGCCCTCAAGTAAATCAGGTACATTGCTCTATTACTACAAAGTACCAACTGCTAGCTGACTGCCTGGTTGCTACCCATACCCTCCACTAGGTGACAGCACTGGCCGAGTAAACAGATTGAGAATTTCCAAGACTCCGGCTCTCACAATGTACTGTAAATGGACAAATCATCGACCAAAACCTCGAACATCGCTAAATTTTTTGTTTGAAAACATGTCTGAAGTATCCCACTCAAAAGAAAAGTTTGAAATTTTGTCACTCACCCTCGGAACTGGACCCCAACTGTGGAGTTAACAGCAGCAATAAGGCAGGATGAAAGGTGTTTTTCAGCTACTTCATCTTGTAAATAATATGAAACTAAATCCTTAACCTAGAAGAGATAAAAATTTGGGTTTAAAGCCATTCTAATTATCAGATATACAGTACATTGCATTAATAAAAATATAGTAATAATTATTATATACAGTATATTTATTTATTTATTTATTTATTTATATACAAGAAGGTACATTGGGTTTATGAGAGTATTGAGCATTGAAGTTTTACTTCCTTGTATAGCCACTAGCAGGTATAGTGTTTCGGGCAGATATGCAATGCATATATCTCATCTTACCATAAGAAATGTGGTGAGTAAAGATGAGTGCAGATTTCAATCCCATTTGTTTTGCCACTAGACAATTAAAGACTATAATTCGTTGTACGTTAAAAGTTACCATTCTCTGTACTGTACTTTCATTTGTTCCAGTTGCAATTCAGTGCTCTGTTTTACTACATACATATGCTATACACTACACGTCTTAACTTTTGTAAAAACATGCTAAAAGCAAATTTCTAGATGAGAAAATTAATTATTATAATAAATCTTTTCTGTTCATATTATACCTGTGCTCACTGACTTCTCATCAAACACGTAACAAGTTGTCATTACAGCAATAAAATGTATTCTTTGTACCGTCTCTTTTATATTCAGTGCTGTATACAATATTTTACATTGATGGTTGAGTTTAATAAACAATTTTTTATTTATATTTAATACAGTATAGCCAATTCATTACAGATTTCTTTAATTAAAAAATAGTTTGATTAACTCCTTCACAATCAAGAAAATAAATAAGTATCTATTTATTATTAGAGAATTTATTGAATGTATATTGGAAATATTTAATAATAATTACTTGTAATTTTGAAGTTAAAGATAAGCTACATGCAGTACTACTAAAAAAATTTAAAATATTGTATTCCAATTTCATATAGAAGCAGAACATTAAGATGTTATTAATTTATAAAATCTTACCTTCTCACTTATGTACGCAGACTGGTCAAAGACAAATTCACAGGTGAAAGACTGCTGTGTACCATCATTATTATTAATCATCTGGAAAAATAAACCATTTGGTAAGAATCTAAAATACACTTTTTATAATGTTTGATAATTCAGCAGGGGCCAAACTAGCAAGGGCTCGGTGTAACAAAATTTGGGTAGTTTGTTTTCTTTATGGGAGAGTTCTTTTGGCAATTTTGAGCCTGCAGTTTCATTTTAACCATGCAGTAGTGTGTTTTGATTCTCTAATCTCTCTGGGTGCCTTCTCTTGGATGGTGACAAAGATGATAAACTTTAAATGTAAATTGTTCATAGGCCATCACTACCTGCGCCTCTCTGAGAGGGGCCAGGTTCTGGCTCGTGGTCCCCAGTAGGGCAGTAGAACTCCAAGACTGTTAACACCTAGTAGTATGGCACTTAATCAAGTGTGATAGCTTCAGGAAGCACATCTCCTGTGCCAGGTAAATACAACAGGTTCACCATAGCCCGTGCTGCTTGGAACATTTTGTTCCGAGTAGCTGAATCTAAAACAACAACAACAAGCTTCAGGGAGCCAACGAGGCCCCCCTACAGAAAGAGTTGTGAACGACTGAAATACAGTGCAAAAGTACAGAAATTTGTGTACAGGAACCTTCATAAATAAATATAATAATTATTCAAAGAAATATAGCTGCAACCTGTCAACCACAATTAGGTTATCACAGAAAAATCAAACTTCACTCACTTGCTTAATGTCCTCCTCCCAACCAAAGTGGTGTAAAAGCTTCATCACTACTTGTGTGAGGTTAGATTCGGGCACCTCACAAGTAAGGTTAACATAACTCTGCCACTGCTCCACGTGCTTCTGAACTACATCAACATATGTTGATACATGTTGCAGGGTAGAAATAAATTCCTCTCCTGATAAGACATAATAGCAAGCTGGTGTCTTCCTGCAAAATGCAAATTGCATATACTAAGATACTCTTAATGGTTGTATTGTGGTATTAAATTTGTCGAATAAAGCCAAATAATGCATTTGTATTAAATACTTGTTACAAGTATTATTACAGTATATATAATTGTATGTATTAATACATATAATCTACAAATAAAATATATATTATCTATATACATGAAACTATTCCCACAACTGTTAAAGTAACTCAGGAAAAAGCACACATAGGAAGCTCCCAAAGGAAACGTCATTTCTTGCCGGAAACGCTGTGCGTATTAGTGGCTTTAGTCATAGTATACACTAGCTGCTCTATCTAGAAATCCAACATTCTGTTTGTAACTCATTTTGTATGTACAGTATGTACTTTTACCTGAATAAACATTATCGTTATCATTATCAGGAGAACACTCCTAAAGGAAACATCAGGTGACAAGAAAACCATATTAAACAGCCATCATACATTATAAAGCACACTCATCAACATGCAATGTCCTACTCACACAACACTGAGTGCACCCTCCACATTTTGCACCAAATTTGAAAAAACTGTCATCACAAAATCACTTCCAGCCATGGCCATTTCTGATGACATATCTGGAGGTATGAGTGATCTTGTTAGGTTTAGGATAGTAGTCCTTAATTCGGAGAGCAAGTGAGCATGGGTCGTGTTCTTAGTGGTTTCCTGGGAAGCAGACGCTATTTCTTTATGCTCCATTTCTTCCAAGAGTGATGACCCTAAATAAAGCTGTAAATTTATGAAAATTTGGGATTAGTATGAATTGTTTAAAATCTATAATATGCAATATTAGTGCACATTTATTTATGCTGGCGTATTTCACAATGCAAACAATATTATGAATATTTTGTAATGCACCTCTACCATATTACATCATTCAGGTGGGTGGGTGGTGTTTGTGACAGTGTTGTGTGTGGATGGGTGGATTGTGTAGTTACCTCAGTGCGGTTACAGGATGAGAGCTATGCTTGTGGTGTTGTCTTCCCAGAACTCTTATATGATACAGTGGTGCCTCGATTAATGAATTTAATCCGTTCTGGCACCAAGCTCGTCGTGTGAAATGCTCGTCTTGCAAAACAACTACAACAATACCATCGTCGGAGGTGTCCGAGAACCAGCGGGAACGCTAGGAAGCACCATGTGGTTTGCTCGTTAATCGAGACAAGTTTTCTGCGAGTGGCTCGCTCGTTACTTGAAATGCTCGTAACTGGAGTCGCTTGTCACTCGAGGTTCCACTGTACTTTGAAACTACTGATGGTTTTGGCCTCCATCCCCTTTTCACTTTGCTTGTTCCCACTGTCTAACCTCTCTGTTTACAAAAGTGAACTTTCTAATTCTTTTTTTTTTGGCAATTGTGTTTCCTTAGTTTGAATCTATGTGCTCTTGTTCTTGAAGTTTCAGTTTTCAAGAATTCTTATTTGTCAGTTATGTTGATTTCTGTTACTAATTTGTAAATAGTGAACATGTCACCTCTTTTTCTTGTATCTTCTAGGATTAGCATATTTAACACCTCTAACCTCTCCTCATAGCACTTGTTTTTCTGTTCTGGAAGTCTTTTAGCTGCATGCCTTTGCACCTTTTCTAGTTTATTGATGTGCTTCTTGAGATTTGGGCACCATACATACAACTGCTGCATATTCAAAATTTGGTCTCACAAAAGCCATGAACAATTTCTTCAATCTTTTCCAATCTATGTATTTAAATGCATTCACATTAAATTCCATTTGTCAAGTGGTGGTCCATACATTTATTTTGTCCAGGTCTTATTGAAGGGCATGACAATCATATAAGTTACTTATCTTCCCTAGTATACCAAGTATCATTGCATCATCAGTAAACATGTTCATATAATTCTGTATTCCTTCTGGCAGATCGTTTCTATAGATATTGAACATTACTGGTGCAAGAACTGAACCCTGTGGTACTCCACTAGTAACATTTCTAAAGTCTCATACATTGCCTCTGATTACTGCCCACTTCTTTTCTGTCAGAAAATTTTGCATCCATGTTAGAAGTCTCCCTGTCACCTTTTAAATATGTTCCAGTTTCCATAGCAACCTCTTATGTGGAACTCTGTCGAAAGCCTTTTTAAGGTCCAGATAAATGCATTCTCTAACCTCCTCTTTCCTGTAAAAATTCTGTGGCTCTATTATAGAAAGTATGACACATTAGGCATGCAGGATGGTGGACAAGTTATCCAAGTTTTAAGTCGTGACAAACAGTAAAAAAATACAAAAATATAATTTATAATCTTAACATTGGGGAAAATCTTGTTAGTAAAACATAACAAACTTTAATCTGAGGACCAACAACTAGTATTAACTCACCCGATACTGAAGACTCATTTCTGCTTCCTTCTTCTGAATATCTTGAACAACATGGGAATAATCCTTCAATAATCCCTTAAATAACTGAGGGTCCAGAAGTCTTTCATATAGGCTGGGAACTCCTATTTGGAATAGGAATTTTTTTTTAATTATATATCTGTTATCTTTTGTTAAACTGTACATGAATGCCCAGTTTATACCCCAGTTCATCTGGTCATTATTTATTCTAAGGTACAAATAAATATTTTCTACACTTAGAAATAATCAACATCTTATTATCACCAGCAGAACAGTGAGGGACAAACACCACAATTATCATAGGATAAACATCTTCAAATTTAAAGCTGAAAAATGATATTGTAAGATTACTCCAAAATAACTGATAGGCTATGACATTATCTGAACACACACACACACTAAGACTTAATCTGCAGGTTACAGGACCAATCATCTTACCAGGAGAGCCCCTGTTTGAACCCTCATCACCCTTTCCAACACTGTCTTATTCCACCAAATTTGGGAGCCAGTCGGCCGAGCAGACAGCACACTGGACTTGTGATCCTGTGGTCCCAGGTTCGATCCCGGGCGCTGGCAATAAACAATGGGCAGAGTTTCTTTCACTCTATGCCCCTGTTACCTAGCAGTAAAATAGGTACCTGGGTGTTAGTCAGCTGTCACGGGCTGCTTCCTGGGGGTGGAGGCCTGTTTGAGGACCGGGCTACGAGGACACTAAAGCCCCAAAATCATCTCAAGATAACCAATGTTGTTTCTGTGGGACACTCGAAGCCCATAACCTGTATCCTTATCTACATTCAAATTACAAGTTAAATCTCATCTTTTTCTTCATTTTAAGCATTTGGCTTACCAAGTTTGGTGATGGGTGCGAGTGCTGCATTGGCCGTGATGAGTATCTGGGCAAAGATGTGCTTGAAGGACGTGTTTTCATTGCTTAAACTCCATTGCTGAAAGGCTGACACTCCAATAAATACCCCACGCACAAATCTATTATAGAAAAGAAGAAATATTTTTTATGGAAAGTCTAATAAGAATTACAGTAACAATAATAATTTGTTTAAAATTTCACAAAAATGACTGCAATATAAAATACATGAACAGATACAATATATATTGTATAATGAGTAACTCCATAGTGGTAGATTTCTGATAAACCTTAACTTAAGATTAATGGTTTTGTTATAGATAATAAAATTGAAGGTAATACTTAATACTAGATACATATTACAAATGAACTTGCAAGGAAATTTTTTTTTACACATACTGAATATATATTAAGGAGCTAATTAAGCTAATGTTAAGTAGTATTCTAGGTTGATAATGCTAAAGAGAATAAAACTACTTCATGTTAGATTCTATAGCTTTAGTGGTAAATATTTGGTTTAAAAATTGAAAACTGTTACAATATATTTACAGCCTACTTACAATATTTTAGAGCTAAAAATAACACATGTATTTGGTTTATTAGAATCATGATATTTGGTGTGGTAAGTATAGAAAATGACTACATTATATCCCAACATTTTATTGTATTTGGGAGACTATTCCACAATTTAAGACATGCAATTTATTTGCATTTCATTTCTGCTTTTATTATGTCACTCTTGCAATATAAAATTGTTTTCCATTGTTGGGACCAGGAAGTCTTCTTATATCTAGGCCAATGAAATACTTTATCCAGGATGCAACCAGAAACAGTTGCCCAACTCCCATCCCGCCAAACACACACCGAAACTAAGACGTTGGTACAACGTTCGAACAAGTTTTAACACCTCCTAACCAGTTATAACAACCAACATAGCAAGTTGTAACAACGTTCTAATTCATCATAAACATGTTAAGCCAAGATGTAACAATTTTATTACAAGTTGTAACAAGCGGAAAATAAAGACAGTTACGGTTTGTGTTTCCAGGGATAAACGTATTCAAATATAGAAACTTCCGGTTTGGAGCCAGCTGTGCCAACCTTGGCACTACACGACATGAATACTTGTTACTCGTGTTGCGCATAAGTTGTGTTGTAGCCTTCAAGAAACCTTTGAGGATGGGATTCATATTGTTCTTTCACAGTTTTGTGAATATTAAATACTGTATTAAATTTGTACTGTTCCAAAAACTACAGATTCTATACCTATGTAATCTATGCCTTTAATCATTAAATATCAGTTAAAAATTGTAATTCATAACAATTCAAATATGTTGGCTTACTTTTCATTTAGTATTGAGTATTACCCCATTAAGCTTATAAATTAATGACCTAATTATTCTAACTTATGCCCAAAGCACTCTTCATATTACTGGCTTTATATAATTTATATTGTGTTCTTAAATATGCTCCACATACCATGTTTCAAATGTATTTTATAAATATAATAATATTAATAATAACAAATTTTAAAAATAAAAATAAAAATCTATAATCATGTTTATTTTATTCTACTTTTAAGATTTATTATTATTTATTATTATTATAATATATTTATTTTATTGTTTATTTATTTATATATACAAGATTTCTTACATTCTTGTACAGTCAATAGCAGGCGTAGCATTTCGGGCAGGTCCTTAATCTTATGTTTCCTGGAATACGACCCGCCAAATCATTTAACAACCAGGTACCAATTTTATTGTAGGGTAAACTGAGGGTACGGTAAAGGAATGATGCCCAGTACTCCTCCTCGGCCCGGATACAAACCCTGGACAAAGCACTCGCGAAACGCCAGGAGAGTGTCTTAACCACTACACCACGAGGACTGTTGAAGGAAGTGTTGATGTGTAGTGTACTCTATACTTAAGTGTATAGAGTACACTTGAGAATGTGTGTAATACTTTTACATTCAGCATGTTCAAGGACTGGAATACAGGTGCTGTGTGGTGTCTGGGGCTGGACTTTGTTATTGTACTAATGTTTTAAATATTTATTAGTGAAGCTTACTTCTGCACAGTGGTCAAGTTTCTTAGCTCCGTCATGAAAGGGTTGTCAACCAAGGGCTTCTCAAACTGCTCAACACTCATGATGTTTAACCTTCCCATAAGGTTATCGAGACTTGAGAAGACTTTCATCCAGTCTATGGACTGAAAGCATAAGTGGCAGATGATGGTTTCCATGTAATATGTAATTACATTCTATATTTTGACCGATTATTTATACCGGTACATTTTTAGACACTTGATGAGTTTCAAATTTTGTTTACACTTACTGACCACAGAATAATTCATATTTAAATAACAACAGATGTTCTAAGTGATCGTAAGTTTAACAACATCAAAGAATTGCAAAATTAAATTAATTTATGTCAATTCACAGCAAGCATATTTTCAACATTGGCTACACAGATTAATTTCTTTATTTCAAATGTCTCTCTGAAAAAAAAAAACTGCTACATGCATTTGTTCTTATATCAGGTCATTTATATGCAAGCTTGTTTAAATGTGAAATAAAATCATCAGCAATGAGCAAAAAGATCAAACTATATTTGACAGAATCCTGAAACTCACTAATCCCGTCATAATTTGTGAGGTGTTAAAAAGTGGCATCACATTTGCATACTGGAGTTTATAGGAGCAAAACATCTCTTGCAAAGCTCCCCAATCCTCTTCATTAAGGCCTGGGTGAAGCAAAGTTGTATTCACTCCTGCTTTACACATCTCTTTATAGACCACAGATGGAGAAATTCCAGATGCTAAACTGTAGTACATCTGCAAAAGACACAGCTATCAGTATCTGCGACACAGATGTGCAATATCATACAATTATAAATTTAATGTTCAACTTTATATCTTATTTGACCTAATGCTGTATACCCTGCATGATGATACTGTCAGTTGATGTTTACTATCTGTCTTTCTCATCTTAATTTGTCAAATATAAAACAAGAGTCTTGTAATGTTTCCATCATACTATGATTCTGTACCTCTCTGCACATTCATCTCCAGAAGGACATAGCTGCTCTGGAGAAGGTGCAACACTGGGCAACAAAAATCATACCAGAGCTTAGTCATCTCTTGTATCAGGAACGGTTGAGGGCCACAGGATTAACAACACTGCAGACCAGGCATGACAGATTTCATAGAAACCTTCAAAATACTAAACAATTTAAGCAATGTCGGTCTGAACACATTCTTCAAGAGGTCGGATGTAACACGAATGAGGGGCATCGGGTTCAAGCTCAACAAGCCACACTGTAGGACAGAAAACAGGGACTGCTTTTTTTACTCATAGGGTTGTAAACCCGTGGAACCGCCTTCCCGTCAAAGCCGTAAACGCCAAAACTCTGCTGGGTTTTAAAATACAGATAGAAAAGATCATCCGGGCAAATGGGGGGACTTTTCACAAGCCACCAGCTTCCTGTCCTTGTTGAGGCTACTAGTATTAGTGGCCCTTCAGGTAAATTCATTTAAGTGGATGTCACTCCCACTTACTGCATTTTTCAGCTATCTTCCTTACCCTTAATGTAATCTTTAGATATGTCTCTCCCACCCACCAGTTCTATTATCACTTTACGATTTTCTAATCGAACTTTTGCTTGCTCTTTTCTACATGTATTAGCATTTAGTCTTGTAAGGGCAATGAGCTAAGCCACACAATGAAGTACAAACTATTGAAACCCATTCTTTACTGCATGAAATATAAAGGCAATACAGTCTGTTCTGTAAGTCCCTATAGTAAATAATTTATCAAATATAACCCACCAACCAGTACTCTGATTATGCAATGCAAATCTGGGTACTATACTATAGAATGAGCAAAAATTCTATGGGAAACATTCAATGATGGAAGTCAAAGTTAATTTTCATCAAGAAATTTTCGTAAGAAAGATTAAATCAATGAATTCACATTTTCTTGAAAACATAACAGATATGAATGTCGTATACAAGTACTGTAGAAACAAAACATAAACGAGGTCATATAAACAACACATATAACTATCAAATAGAGAAATTATAACATTGACATTTAAAAAGGAGAAAGTGCTAGGAATATCACTGAAGCAAATTTCTTGGTAAATTTTAAAAATAGGACACACACTAGTAAAATAACTGTATACATAAGACTTGCCTTTCATTCGAGTCTACTCCAGTACATTTACATCTTCAAAATTTAATACAAGGATTTAATTCTCCAAAGTATACTTTTGTTATAATTTTATAATGCATTCAATGTTTCATGATTTATATTTCTTTCTTAATTATGCATCCATTACCCGTCCCATGGGCGGTAGTGTAAAGGGTTACAGAGGCACATTATCGGTTCAGGAACTGAATGGACAGAAAATGGGGTTCAGGAACTGAACCCCATAGTTCATTTAGCTAAGCATATAACAATCTTTTGACACTGATGTGCATGCATTACCTACAGTACACAAATTTTGGATACTTCGTTAAGATTCCTGGCAGCACATCATTATGAATGAAGTACTCACACATTTCTTGGACTCCATTGATGGTGTTATCTCTGAATTCCAAAATTTTTTCACATTCCATTATATAATGACAAAGTATATGAATAGTTCTGCTAACATAGTTTACAGTTAGTCAAATCTACATCAGCAAACATCACAAACTACCACAGGTACTTTTAGCCAAGCCTAAGCCTAGCAGTGGTACCTAAGCCTGGCAGTGGTAGCATCTATAAGTCTGCTAACCTTATTGGATGACCCATAGACATGCAGTTCTTCCTGCATAATAGAATGATGATAGATGGAGGAATTGGTATGAATTTCACTTTGCTTTAAGTCTACGAGATTTTGTTGATGTTCCCCGAATATTACTGCCCTCAGGCTGCTCAAAGGCTTGCCAAGATGGTAATCAATTCACTCTTAATGAGCAAAAGTCTTGGCCAACTTATCAGTTCTATCATGCATTCGGAGACCAATATGAGAAAGAATCCATACCTCTTCAGTCTTCAAACTCTTCACTTTGCTGCTACCTGTAGTGGGGAAGCCTTAATTGACAAAATACCTCAAATATTAGTCAAAATTGTGAAATATGGTCAATATTGGATGTGAAAAATCCAGGAATATGAGGATCTTTAAATGGCAGCAACACACACACGCACACAAGCACTGCATCATGTGGTGAATCAATTTGATAGGTTGGAAAATTTCATACAAATTGAAATCAACTGAAAAACAATTACTGTAATAGGTTGATCTGATTAACCACCGTGCTGCACAGAGCACCTGGGATTTGTGCTATTTTTTAATTACGCTATATTTTATTGTTTTTTTAATGTTTTCATCACTCTTTGTGTTTTGAAATGAAAATGGTTGCACTTGGAAACATTTTGACATTAACTTTACCTAAACACTTATAAAAACAACAAAAATATGTCCTTGACAATTGCACTATGACATTTTGCCAAAACCAGGTGAGCAGTGAAGTGGTTAAGCAGTATCCAGTAACCAGATTGTGTATTAATTATACAAAAGGAAGATTAACCTACATCTTAGGCTTATATCGCGATCTCCCAAAGGTCAAACCACTGACCTTCACCAGGAAACAAACCTACAGAAGTTGCCTAAATAACCTATTTACTGCTAGATAAACAGACATTAGGTGAAAGGAAATGTGCCAAATCATTTCTGTCCCACCCAGGATTCTTGACCGAGTCAGGAATAAACTCATCTGTACCACTGAGACCCCATGCACATTTTTTCTGCTAAACCTTGCATTGTGCAAGAGAATGTCTGCAACCTGTTGATGGTTGAGCCCAGCCATAACATAAACATAATGCTTATATGTCCAGTTGTTTACAGAGATAGCTTGTGAAGGGTCCTCTTATTTGTTATAATGAGTTTTGCAAGGGGTATTTTAAAGTGCAGTGCTCTCCTTGCTTTGACGACTTTATAATCTCTACAATATTTATACAAACTACATATTCTAAATGCATATACAAATCAATCAACATTATCACATGTACTAAATTTTGTTGGCATACAATTTTTAAGAACTTTCTGCTGTCCATATTTCATTGTGGCTAAATGTTTTAAATTGTTGCTTCTTGCATGGTATGAAAACTCTGCATTTGCTGAGGTTTCCTGAATCTACCTTTCACTAATACTTATCTTTCAAATACTGTAATATAAACAAAACTTAATTGGCAAATATGCAGTTGGACATATAAGACTTTCCCTGCTAACACTATCTAAAAACATGGCTGAGACAAGACTTACCTCTGATTCAGGAAACCACAATATAAGAGCCACCAAGTCGGGTATTCTTGGAGCGGCCAGATGGCACAGGTCCTCCACAGGACCTAACCCTTCCACCAGTACACATGCATTAAAATTTCCCGTCAATCCTGTCAAATATATGTAACAATTATTCATTTAATTTTTGACTTAAAATAATGAAATTCCACCCCTCCATAAGATATCTAACAATACTAACATATTAATTAACAATAATAACATCAGCAATATTGGTATGCCTAAAAAAAACTGCTACTGGATATCTATATAAAGTGATTTAATGTAAGCCACCAGTAGCCCTCCCCAAACACACATGCATGCCTCTGATTAATAAGAGTACCACAGGGTTCAGTTCTTACACTGGTAATATTCATTGTCTAAATCAACGACCCATCAGAACGAATAAAAAAATTATTTGAACATGTTTGGCAATGATGCTAAGATCTAGGGAAGATAATACATGCCTAAGACAAGCAACTTCACCATTGTAGTCACTGTCATCAACTTATTTATTTATTTATTTATATACAAGAAGGTACATTGAGGGGTTAAGAGAGAACATAGCAATGAAATTGATTTTACATTCTTGTAAAGCCACTAGCACGCATAGCGTTTCGGGCAAGTCCTTAAACTAACAGATATCATAGTTATTATGTTGAATGCAAATTTTGTTACAATGAATTTTATGTTATTCATACAAATTTTACAAGAGACCAAGACAAACAGACTGATGAAAACAATTACAGTAGTAATTATAGAGAGGAAAGGCTTATACTGTACCATCAATGCTGTTCGTAAGACGTGTAGCCAAATTGTAGACCAAGCTTGCTCCAGGGGTAATATTGAGATCACCTTGATACTTTCTCACAGTGTCCAGTAGTCCAAAGCCTGTAGATGCAGCTATCATCTCCTTAACTGATCTGTAGTATTAAAAGCATTATACACAGCATCAGTACAAGACACAAGTAAATACAAGGGGTAGACAAAAGCAGATTGGAAACTATTTAATAAAGATAAGATGTATTTATAATCCCATTATATCAGTTATGTAGCACCTGGGAAATGACCGCAGCTTAGAGGAAGCCTCCATGAATACACATATATGAGTTGCAAATAAGAAATCCATAAACTGCAGTGCAAATTACAAAAGAAATTGTAGTTTTATTTATTACATAAATAAAAACCCTATTATCACACAACAAAAAGTTTAACACAAATATATTGCAATAAATAACAAAATTTTATCATAATCAACAACCACTAACCAGTTTACATACACAGAAAAGTTTGTAAATTTATATAGCACTTTCTCCCATTTCTGGCCATCCATCCAAGGTGGAACTTGAAGGTCACCCTCAAAATAGTCTCCTTGAATAATGTAAACAATATCCCACCCTATGTAATCCATGAGAAGGGCAAGCATAGCTGCATCCACATCCATCGTCACATTCTGCGGAAAAGAATGTGCTGTCAATTACAGTAGAGTACAGTTTTTTAATCACGTATAATTTTTCCCAAATTTACCTGTCAGTCACTGAGTGGCAGCCTCTTTAATGTATCTTAATGTTTAAATGACTGGTGTACTAACTGAAAATGGAATATGGAAATGATTCTGTTATTTAACTTCCTCTAAAATCTGACTGCCAGATCTTTAGGAAAAGATCTGACCTATTTCTGAGTAATGTTTGTGTAGGTACATTACTGTACTGTAATGATAAATGATGACGACACTCCAGTCAAGTTCAATCTTGACTCACAATTGGTAATTCCGGGTTCAAATCCCAGATAGGAAACCCGCCCAGTCATTTCTGTCCTATCACCTAATGGCCTGTTCACCAAGCAGTAAATAGGTACCCAAGAGTTAGTCAGCTTGTTATGGGGCTGTGTCCTGGAGATGGGGGTCAGTAGTTTGACCTTGGAGGTGGGGCTTCAATATAAGCCAAATATGTATATATATATATATACATTGGCTGTCTGTCCCACAACACAATGAATTATAATGAATTATAACCAAAATGTAATCTCCTGTTTCCAGTAATATATTGTCTATGCTTAGTAATCTGAATCATATGAGGCCCCACCCCCATTTGAGTTAGCTGGGTATTAAAGTTAGCCAAACTGTTTACCAGGAAAGTTCAAAATGAACAAATTCAAAGTTAGTCGAATTTAATTGGGCAGAAATCTCCGTAACTTGAATTTCTATTTGAGTTCAGAAGTCAATCGCTCAAATTCAAATTTATTCAGGTTTAATTTATTCATTCTGGAATGACACAAGAGGGCAGGAAAACAGAACTGAACTAGCCACATCAAACCAGCAGAATTATATGACTTGCAAAATTCTCTAACTTCAACAGAATGGCCAGCAGTATCTTAACTGATGGAAACACAAGTAAATCATCTTCCACTGGTTCCAGTTTAGGTACAGTGCATCCATCACATATGCCACCTGGTTGTAAGAGGTTGCCAAACAGACAAGAAGCTCATAGTTCCAGCCTGAGAACAGCTCCACCAGGGGAAGAATATTTGTATACATACCCATGGAACATTGCTACTGTATTTGGATATAAGCTCATGGAAAGTTCCACTATTTTAATGCAAGATAAATAAAAAAAAATGTTAGGCATCTTCCTATAGTTGATGAGTCTACTCATAGAAAACATTCAAGTTAGAATTAAAATAGAAATAAAAAGCGTATATGATATTAATGCAAGTGTGCAGAAAGCCTTAACAAATCAGACGGGTAAAGTTTTGTGTCACAAAATTAAGATGAATGTACCAGAAGCAAAAAGTTGCAAATGACCGCATTTTTGTGTAAGAAAGATAACAAAGCGGTAAATGTTGGAATATACCCAGGAAGATGAAGTATGTTCTTAAGCCCAGGGAAAATATTTTATATATTTACGAGGAAAATATACAGAAGACTGGACACACAAGTATAGCTCTACTCCTGGATCCACAAAAAGTTAATTACAGTATGAAGAGATAAACACACAGAGGCATACACACACACACACACACACACAGCTATAGTAAACTCACAGCAATGACTGGTGAGGAGTCAGGAAGAAGCTGGGTCATAAGAAGGCTCATCTGTTGCTCCTCACAAACATACTCCAACACCTCTGTCAGGATGCTGGAAGCATTATATCCCAAAAGGTCACGATGCCCGTCAAGCAAGAAAAGATGCAGGTTACAGGGAGTGTCCTGATGAAGCAGTATGTCATTGGCCACCTGCAAAGAATAAATATTAGTATGATCTTCAGCGAGCAGTTTGATCGGAAAACAACAAATTCTAGGTCAGTGAAGGCAAAAGCTGGCATATTATATATGCTAACTGTACAAAATAACAGAATTAATAAAATGTTAAACTTAATTCAAAATAACTGTTCACAATTGATGCCATCTTAATGATCTTATAGCAATATGATGGTATAACAATATGTTACAAATTAAAAACAAAGTATCTTACCACTGTAGAGTTTCCAAAAAAATTTATGTATTCCCACACAAACTCTGGCAGATTTTCAACTATATCAAGGAAACGACTCACAACTGGCTTGTCAACGTAGGCCTACAAAAACAATAACAAAAAGTTAACAAGTTAATGCTTTAAGTTTATAATTTACATTTCACAAAAATATTTGTATATATTTAACTGAACTGTCAACAACAAATTACCCTATTGAATATCAAGCAAATAACCACACAAAATCTAATTTTTATTACAAAATTTCCAGCATGCATACACGTACAGATTAAAGAGATGGAACTCCACAATTAGAGCTCTCAGCCTGTAATTATACAAAGATATGCTACTAAATGGTTTCTGGAAATGAAAAACAAGAGTTAGGTGAAGAGGCTAGAGGGGGTTAAATCGTCAAAGCTAGGAGATAGAAGCAATATGATCATTACTACATAATAGTAATAGGAATCGACAAAATAGATAGAGGTATTTTTTAAGCCTGTAACTTCAAGAACAAGAGGTCATAGATTCAAACTATCGAACCAAAGGTGCTGAAAAAATAAAAGAATGTTCTCGTTTCACAAACAGAGTGATAGACGATAGGAATAGGTTAAGTGAGAAGGCAGTGGATCCCAAAACCATCAGCAGTGTTAAAGCGTCTTATGACAAAGAGTACTGTAAAGATGGGGCACTACGAGCATAGCTTTCATCCAAAATTCAAATTCAAATGTTTATTCGGGTAAAGTACATACATACAAGGGGTGATACAAATATTGATGAATTTATAGATAGAGCTAGTACATACAATGCCTAAAGCCACTATTACGCAAAGCGTTTCGGGCAGGAAAAACACTAAAGACTAAAACTTAATACTAATTGAGATTAAAGTATAAAATGTGTTGAGAAAATATAAAAATAAAAAAGGGGGAACATGGCAGAAAAAAAGCAAAAATACAATTGGGTCGACAAACAGCATTGTTTAAAAATAACAGACATGCGTTGACATTATAGGGGTAAGGTAGGTTACAGGGAATTAGTTAGGTAGTGCTTAGTTTTTATCTTAAACTGGTTGAGAGAGGTACAGTTACATCCTGTAACTACACCATAGATAATAACACTTAGGTTTTTACATATACAAGAGGAGAATATTGTAGAAGTGAAAACAATATTGAAGACTTGCAAAGTGATCTACATGAATTCTACAAATGGTCAGAAGACTGAAAAATACTTGTTAATATTGAAAAGTGCAAGACTTTGCAAATAAGAAATAAGACAAATATAGCCATCAGGGATAACAACACTGCAAACCAGACATGACTGTGTTGGTTGATCTCATCAAGACCTATGAAATACTGATTAAATTTGAAGACATTAACCCAGAGCACTTCTGTATAAGGTCTACTGAAATGCTCACAGGGGTCAACAGCATTAAGATCAACAAGCCACAATGTATGACAGAAAACAGGAGATTCTTTTTAACCCATAAGATGTATTTGGAATTGCATACCTACCAAAGGCATAAATGTCAAGATATTTAGTTTAGTTTAAAATTCATCTGGAAAAAATCCTCAGGAATAATTGAGTACGTACCTATAATAGAAACTGCCAGCTTCCTATCCCCCACTAAGGCCACTACAGATGGTGGCCCATGGAAAAATCAAGTTAAATATGCAACAGATGGACACCATAGGATTTAACTCAAACTGTAAAACCACAAGTAGGTAAACACACACAGCGTTATATGACAAAGAGTGCTGGGAAGACGGGACACCACAAGCGTAGCTCTCATCCTGTAACTACACTTAGGTAATTACATTTACATGCAGACTTGCCTCTTTTATGCCCATCCAAATATCTCCACCACGAGACAGTGCCAGGAGGAGCCTGCCCCAACGAAGATACTTGTCAAGGCTCTGGAGAGCTGCCTTGATCACTACCCCATTATTGGTTGACTCTCGACTCAGCTCCACCAAGGGCTCCAGTAAGGTAGCAAATATCATGGTGCTGTAGGTAGACAACAATTAGTGACACAGTTAACGAAAACAAATGTAAAAACAATTGGATATTCACATTTCTTACTAAAGTATGTACTGTACGACTTTGAGTTTCCTTATGATATCAACAAACATTGTGGCTTTGAGATGTCCTTTATACTGAATAAAGTATATCTAAACTACCATTTATTTACCTGATGAATACCATCAGCTGAATACCAGCTGTGGAAAAGAAGTCTCCCCATTCTTCCTAATAGGTTTTTAAGCTGCATTTCAAACTTTATCACTGTCTTTAGACAGTATTTACAGCTTCAGCTATTACTTTCTGCAGCTGTAAATACCAGGACACTGCTACAATTCAAAATGCAGCATTAAAAAATCCTCAGAAGGAAGTGTCAAGGATTCTACAAACCACTGACTTCCTATCCGTGCTATGGCCACTAGACAGGTTGACCCCATGGTATATAAGTGGTACTTTAGACACATTTTTGTAATGTTAAAATATCAGATTGGAAAGCAAAAAATATACTGTATATATTGTAATATATAAAAATATGCTTATTAGTCAGCTTTATCAAATACACAAAAAATCAGTTTTCTACATAATCAGCTTCCACTCAAAAATTAAAATGCATTCAAAATTTCTTTTAAACAAGTAAATAACTATTGCACATAACTTAAATTATTATATACTGTACAGTATTACATGTGCATATAAATATTTCAAGAATACAATTGCACTAAAGATCCACCTGTTATCAAACATGTCTTCTGCTGTAACATTGAATATCATATTTGCCAGAAGAGTCCAATTCTGGGCACCCAAGTATTCAAGTGGCCTGTAAATCTTCTGTATAAATGAACCATCTTCAACCTGTTGAATTAGTTGTGCAGATACAGCAATACTAGAGTTGATGATATCCTCCACGGTAATATTTACACTGCTCTGTAAATAGGAAAAACACCATAATGTCAAAACAATAATTTAGAAAAGTATTCTGCATTAAGAAAAATTTTTATGGACTGCTGGTCCAGTACAGTAACCAGTCCACCCATGAACTGCTGGTCCAGTGCAGTAACCAGTCCACCCATGAACTACTGGTCCAGTACAGTAACCAGTCCACCCATGAACTGCTGGTCCAGTACAGTAACCAGTCACAGCAAGAAGCCTGTAAGATATCCAGTTCATAATATAATTCACTGCATTACTTTACATCAGTTAAAGTGGTATACTTGCTCCACTCTCCACACACATTATGCAGGACTTTCCTTATTCAACTCTCCAGCATTGTCTTGTACCACATTCTACAGTGGTGTCCTTACCCTATTCTCAATATGTATTGTACTGTACAGTACACGTACTACTTTACATATACTACAGTGGTATACTTGCTCGTGTCTCCAATAATGCACTGTAGGCCGACTACATATTCTACATATAATGTACCATACAAACTCCATATGCAATATACTACATATGCTGTGCTACATATTGTAGCAAGATGTCCTCACCGCAAACTCCAACAATGACTCTAAAAGCCTTCAGCAAGATATGATATTACTACCATAATCACTGCTTACAGTTTACTAGGTAATTTTCGATTAATATGCAGTTATCTTTAATTCAAAATTATTTATAATTTTTGTAAACACATTTTTAATTATAATACAGCATTATTATTATTTTTTAAATGCCATGCATTACCTGTCAACTCCATCACCTATCAATATTTAATATTGTACATATAAAATTATTGTTATATTTTTCTCTAAAAATTAATATTATACTGTAACACATAAGGCTTTTAACTAATAAATATCATATTAGAAAGCATTTACTCTTCAGAAGATATTCTAAATTTTACTAACTGGTATCAAACGTATGATCAAAATTCAAAGGCTGAAATGCATGGAAAGCTTTCTACACAAGTAACAAATGTTATGAGACATACAAAACAAAAAAAATGGAAATGATAAAACTACTTATGAGAATAATAAAAGTACTTGCAATAATCTTTAGTTCACACACCAAGACAACAACAGAGAACGCTACAGTAAATTTGCCAGCAAACCTGCAGAATGTCAAGTTTAATAAGCACTCGTATCTCCTGAATGAGTTCCTCAGGAATCACTTGACAAAGTCTGGTCACAAATGTGTGGAAGTCATCTCCCACTTCTTGAAAGTCAAAGCCACACATAGAGCTCCAGTCATCAAGCTTCTGGGGGGATGACAACAGTTCAGCAACCTGTTGACATCGTATAATGAAGTACAAGTGTGCAATGTGTGGGGGGAGGGGGTGCTGGTTTTAACATCTCTGCTACATCATCTTTTTTTCAGTTCTTTTCTTACTAAGTATCTAAATGCAGCCCAAACTTGGTCTAAGTAACAAAATTAGGTTGTGTCCTCAAGACAAAAGATTATAAATACAACTAATAACCAATGGTTTTCGCATTTGTATTATATTTTTAATAAGAACTTATCTTTACATATACTATAATACAGTACTATCAAAAATCGTTCATTTGTTTTATTTATAGTAGAAATAAAAAATAATTGACAAGTTGGCTCCCTCAGCGACTCCTGAAAGATTACTTATTGATACCCCTGGGCCAGATCCAACACACCAGACAGATGAAACATCTCATGGCTTTCCAGGCATATGCACTAGAACTCTTTCATAACACACCAAACATGAGAAAACCCGACCAAAATGGATGACATTAGCCACAAAAACTCAAAATGCAAAGAGTAATGTTTGGCACAAATGAATACAAACAAAACTCAAAATTACTGTATCACAAAAGAAATGCAGATGATTATCACGCCCTTCAAGAAGACCCGGACAAATTAAGTGTCAGGAATAACACTCGGTAAATGAAATTAATGTGAATAAATGTCATGTTATGGAATGTAAATATGAGGAAATAGGCCACACACACAATCTACAAATTATGTGAAAAGGCTTTAAAGAGCTCTGATATAGAGAGAGATCTAGGGGTGGTTCTGGATAGAGCACTCTCACCCAAGAACCACAGAGAACAGTGTGTGAGGAGCCTATGCTATACTTTCCAACTTCAGAATTATTTTTAAATGCATGGATGGTGAAATATTAAAGAAATTGTTCACAATCTTTGAGTTAGTTTAGTTCATTCATTATGCACCCCATACCCATCCTGTGGGCAATAGTTGAAAGTATTACAGAGGCAGATAATGGGCTCAGGAATATAACCCCACAATTCATTTAGCTAAGCAAGTTACAATATTGATGAGCTAGTTACAAAATTCAATGCACATCATCATGTCATCAATGGGTTCGAGACCAACCACAAGTACAGTTTCTAAAATAAGCAACTGACATATGTGGAGAACTAGTGTCACAATTGATATATTTGTGAGAAAATTGAAATGAGTAGAAGCTGTATACTGCCTGTATCTCAAGGACATCAATATAGTGGATAAAGTGCAAAGACATGCAAATAAATGGCTTCTGGAACTGAAAAACAAGAGCTATGAGCTACAAGTTAAATATACCAAAGCTAGAAGATAAAAGAAAAAGAGGAGATATGATCACTATATACAAAATAGTAACAGGAATCTACAAAATTCAGAAAGAAGAATTCTCAAAATCTGCAACTTCAAGAAAAAAAAGAGATCACAGACTTTAGCTAAAGAAAGAAAGCTGCCAAATAAATTAGAAAGTTCTCTACTGCAGCGTGGAAGACAGTTGGAACAAATTAAGTGAAGTGATGGATGCCAAAAACCATCAGTAGTTTCAAAGTGCCATATGACATAGGGTGCTAGGAAGATGAAACACCATGAGCATAGTTCTCATCATGTAACTACACTCGAGTAATTACCAGTATGACCCGACAGATATGCGTGAAAACATATCTGTTGTCCTGGTGCAGGATGTTGACCTGCCTTACTATGTACTGTCCTGTTCCCTGATAGAGCAAGACCTTTCATGTAGAAACAACTGAATGGAAAAGGTCAAATAAAACATATCCTCTCATGTCATCACTCACCACGTGTGGTCTTCCCGATGCTGTGGTAATAACATCCTTGAGTGCAGCAGGCAGGTACTGTATTACTGTCTCTGCCAGTTGCCATAATGCAGGAGAGTCTACCAGCAGCTCCTGTAGGTTATGTGCTAAGCACCAATGATTAACAAATTCAATATCTTCATAAAGAAAACTATATACAGTACTTATACTCTACTATGCTTTATAATCTGAAAAACTAGTCTAAACTATAATTAGAAGAATAGTATAATGCTCACAAAATATTATGCTTCAGAGTAATAAAATGCAGCTAATTTGATGACATCTTGTATTGTAATGACTTGTGTACAAAGTCTAGCTTTTATTCTTATTATTCTAAATGTTTTCTTTCAGTTAAAATATAAGTTTGTTATATGTTTGTTGTTATGTTTTATTTGTCATTGTTTGCAAGTATGCTAAATTGTGTATGAGAGAATGTTTGTCTCTGTGTATAAGCTTTCCCACGTGTTTTCATGAGGGTATCATTCCTGTACCTCCACCGACAGAGAGGATCCATACTTAACCGACGGAAGGTGTGTTGGGTGCGTTTGTAAGGCACCCATCTCACTATTGTGAGGTTGTTTACCATAGTTTTCTCAGTGTGACTGACTTTAGTAGTCCCTTGTTTCATTGGTGAGTGAAACTAGGGGAAGGTGGGATAAATGGCCTCCCACTAGTTTCATGAATTTTTATCATTTTCCCTCCTTGTTGGGAAAGTCCTTTTGGCGGTTTTCAAGGCCGTAATCTTGTTTGAACCCAGCAGTGGTTGAAAGCCAGTTTTGTTTGACTTTCTGGGGGCCTTTCTCGGTGGTGGGAAACATAATATAATTTGTAGAAATTTATCCATATAAGTGAGGGGAAGCCAGGTTCTGGTTCATGGTCCCCAATAGGAGAACAGAACTCTGTAATTGATGGGACTTAGAAATATAGCACACTATCAGATATTAGCTGCAGGGACCCACAAGGAGCTCCCCTTCCCCAGAAACTATGATATTTTGTCCACCATTTAAGCAATGATGCTACTTTTGTTCTAGATTTAAATGAAGAAATTGCTACTTTCTCATACTATTATTATTTATTTTATTTATTTATATATACACGAGTTCTTGCATTCTTGTAAAACCATTAGCATGGTTTTACAGGGCAGGTCCTTAATCAAAATTTTTCCCGGAATATGACCCGCCAAATCGTTAAACAACAAGGTACCCATTCACTGCTGGGTAAACAGAGGCTACAGTTAAAGATTGGCCCCCAGTCAATTCTTCACAGCCAGAATATGAACCCATGCCAAAGAGCTCGCGAAGCACCAGGCGAGTGATTTACCACTGTGCCACGGGGGCTACAGAAATTATGGAAACCATAATAGATGAAAAAGCCAATAATCTTTATACCAGTATATACAAAGGAAAATAAAGAGAAAATGAAGCAGAACAATAGCATTGGCACAAATAACAATCATTTCAAAGAGAATAGAGAGATTTAGGTAACAAAGCAAATCAGATAATATAATTCAAAGATAATAGTAACCACATCATTAATAAATTCCTACTATAGGAAATATTTATTATTTATATATTTATATACAGAAAGGTACTCAGGGATGTGAAAGTACGTACACTGGAGTTCGAGTGTAACATTCTTGCAAAGCCACTAACATGCATATAATTTTGGGCAGGTCCTTATATTTAATACTCATGTTCTAGATTTTAAAAGCAAAACAACATTTTTTAACTAATATCTAATTTTTGTATATTCTTCAGTTCCTACTTATTAGAAAACTTAAATACCTTCAAAATAGGGAAAATGTTTTGGCAATTTAATTTGGCTGTCTACGTGTACAATCATCACTAACTTGATGAATTATTTACACGTACCATCATTATCTAGTGCATTTCAACACAGAACTCGAAACATATGTAATTAGCGCTTACTTTAACCATCTTACCACTCTTAACAAATATGGAAGTTGATTATCCCTGGTACAATCTAATGTAAAATCAGTCGTTTATCATTTGTCACTCTCCTAATTAAAGTAACATTGCTGCAATTAATAAATATGTATCACGCTTTTCAATAGCTTCCACAAAGCTTTCATACTATCCAAGCCTAAAACACTGTGGTGTAAAACAGACATTTATTAACTCTTTACATTCTTACATTTGGCTGCAGTATAAGCATTTCTCTAAAACAGTTTCATAATGTGGTGCTGATTAATGATTTACTGTTAAAAGGCTTACCCTGAAAGCTCTTCAAGTTAAAGATTTGAAATGCAGAGAACTTCAAGAATGTGTCAAGATGGTTCTGATCAACCCCCAGCCACTCTAGGACCATCTTTATGGCAGGTTCCACACTTTTCAGGCTGCTGCAGAGAAACAAATATAATTAAACAGGTAAATAAATATCTTACCCCTAATATAAAAAACCAGTGTTGAATGTAATGAAATTCCATTTTCTGGGCGAGTTGGAGGCTCCCCAGAGCTATCAATGAATGGATATGTATAACTTTCTGGCATCAGTCAATGTGCTTGGAGTTCTTGCCTATTGGGGACCACGAGCCAGAACCTGGCCCCCCTCAGAGAGGCATGAGAAGCAATGGCCTATAGAAACCCCCCCCTGTCGTTGGGAGCATTCTATGTCTGCCTTCGACCAGGACAGGCACCCACAAGGTAGGTACCCTGAAAGGTAGGCACCCCAAAACAAACCCTTATTCTGGTAAAACTATTGCTACCAAAAGCCAAACAAGTGGACAAGTTAAGTGAGAAGGTGGTGGAGGCCAAGACCGTCAGTAGTTTCAAAGCGTTATATGACAAAGAGAGCTGGGAAGACGGGACACCACGAGCGTAGCTCTCATCCTGTAACTACACTTGGGTAATTACACACAAGGGCAAGAAAATCCCAGCAATCATGATTGCCATCATGGTGATGATGGCACTGCCATCATGGTGATGATAGCACTGCCATCATCACTGCCATCACTGATGATGGCAGTGATTACAACGGTGAAGTTATATGACTTAGGCACATATTTTGGGGTAGCACACTATACAGTGCGAGTGTGAAGCACTAGGTAGAAAACTATGAGGATGAAATTAGGTACTTTTTGGTTTTACTTTTGAATAAGGAGTTGGGTGGACAGCATTTTAATTAGTTTGGGAGTGAGTTTCATAGACTAGGTTTCGTTATTTGCGTATGTAATGTGTTTACACAGAAGTTAATTTGACTGGGGATATCAAAGAGATATTTATTTCTGGTATGGTAATTATGGGTTCTATTACATCTGTCAAGGAAGAGTTTCAGACCAGGGTTTGCATCTAGGAACAAGGTTTTGTACATGTAAATGGCGCAAGAGAATGTTTTGAGTGAGTTTATCTTTAGCATGTTGAGGGATTTAAACAGAAGGGCTGTGTGGTTGTCTGAAAGCAGAATTTGTTATTGTTCTGATAGCAGATTATTGCTGAGTGATGATGGGCTTGAGGTAGTTTGCAGTGGTTGAACCCCATGCACAGATACCATATGTAAGATAGGGATAGATTAATGCATAGTATAGTGAGAGGAGAGCAGAGTGGGGAACATAATATCTGATTTTAGAAAGTATACCGACCATTTTTTAAATTTTCTTGGTTATATGTTGTATGTAGGTGGTGAAGTTAAGTCTCTTGTCTATGTATAGGTCAAGGAACTTTCCATCCTTTTCATTGCTAATGTTAACATTGTCTATCTGAAGCCGAATTGTAATTGTTGATTTGCTTGAAAATAACATGTAGTAGGTCTTTTCTATATTTAGTGTAAGTTTGTTGGTTGCCATCCATGAGTGGACTTCTTTTAATTCATTATTTACAACATTACAGTATTTAGTGTGTGTGGGTTAGTGTTTGAGTAGATGAAGGTAGTATCATCAACAAATAATATAGGTTTAAAAATGTTAGAGACATTAGGCAGATCATAGAGGTAAATAAAAAATAAGAGAGGTCCTAGGATGCTGCCTTGTGGCACTCCTATGGTTAATGGTAGAGTGGGGGAAGATTATATCATTGATGGCTACATATTGGTGTCTGTCACTAAGATAAGATTGAATATAATTCAGGGCATGGCCTCAGATTCCATAATGGTGAAGTTTAAGCAAGAGGTATTTATGGTCAACAGTATCAAAGGTCTTTCTCAGGTCAATGAAGAGTCCAATTGGGAACTCATTTTTGTCAATGGCTGAATAAATGATATCAAGCAATACTAATAATTGAACATCGACAATGTTCAATACAAAAATTATTACAATACAAAATACAATGCTCAATACAAAATCTAATATTTTTAAGCAAATTAATAAACATTAGAAAATGTAAGTTTCTTACCTGTCTTGGTATCTTTTACCAATCCTTCTTAACAAAATATTCCAGTTTTCTTCAAGTAAGTAGGAAGGCAGTGTCAGCGAGTAGGATGCAGAAGACAAGTCAGAGGCAGAGACTGAATTCGCAGGTTGCACATTAAGAAAACCATGGATCAGGGTGTTAGTCTGGTTGACAACACCACTCACTAAGCTCTTAAACTTGAAAGATGAAAATGTCAATGTCTTGTTATTCTGTAAGTGATAAAATAATTCATGTAAAATACCATAACAGTCACATCACATTTTAAAATACAGTACTAACAAAATAATCATACCAAATAATAAAATACCACCCAAATACTATCAAGTAATAAAATAACAAAATACCTTATTCACACTACATAAAATATTGTACAATCATTATTACTTTAAGTATTATCACTTTTGGATGACAAGATGATGAGGCACTGTGAAGGTTAGACACCAGTGAAGTATAGTTCATCGGAGTTTACCAGAGAGCCACTAACACTAGTGGCCACGATGAGGACAGGAAGCTGTCCTGTAAAAGGGTTGGCCCCAAAATAGACCTATGCGGTACCCCCACTTACCACATTTTTCCAATCAGATTCATTCACATTTAGCACCACTCATTGTTTTGTTTATTCCAGTATTCTTCCATTTATTCCATGTGCCTCTAATTTCCTTGCCAGTGTTTCATGTGGTACCTTATCAACGGCTTTAGCAAAATCCATGTACTGTATACTACATCAACTGGAAATTCTTTGTCCGAATGGCTGATTACCATTTCAAAAAATATGAGCAAGTTTGTAAAGCAGGAAATAGTCATATTGAACCCATATTGAAGCACTGGTAGTCCAAACCAGCCAGTCGTCGAGGTTGGCCAGAATGCAGATCTCCAGCAGACAGGGATGTTTTTTTTTTATACTTTAACAATTACAGAAAAGCTTACCAAGTCATTTATCATCTGTTCGTATTGGAGCCACATGTTGAGGTTTACTGGAGTGAACTGTGAGAGTTGATCACAAACTGCACCCACAGCCTTCTGGAACTGGCCATTGCTTGCAGGTGGCTCCTCAAGGCTGGAAGCTGATGAACAGAATTCTGGGAGAGTAAGGTTGATGAATGATGAGTTCAGTAGAAGATTGTAGTCTAGACCATCCAGTAGGTCAATCCAAGTTGAATTGATGATAGAATGAAAGTTGATGATGTAAGACGGTATGCTTTCAGTTAGGTTACCTGTGGGAAACAAAAAATATTAAGTACCATACAGTATGATAAAGTACATGTATATTGGTTTTGACTTTCCTGCATACCTATATAGCACAATTTACAGTACAATACCGTATAAACAAAGTTCTGATTTCCAAAACGTGAAAAAAGTCATGTTAACTTGTTTGCCATTTCAGTATTTTCAAATTATAACTAAGAAATTGAATGAACAAGAGGCACTATTTATACTGTATATTTGCAATGAACTATTTCTGGTCTCGGTAGTACAGACGAGTTCGCTCTAAACTTAAAATTGGGAATTCTGGGTTCAAATCCAGGGCAAAACAGAAATAGTTGGGTGTGTTTCCTATCACCTTGTGTCCCTGTCCACCTAGCCATAAATAGGTACCCAGGAGTGAGTTAGCTAGTTGTGGGATTGCATCTTGGGGAGAGTCAGTAGTTTGACCTCGGGGGGATGAGGAACCTAACATGAACCTAGGGTGAGAACCTCAGAAAAAAGTCTATCATGTATAAATTATATACATTGGCTGCCTGTCCCCCTGACACAATGAATTAAATAATTATTATTATTATTTCTGTCATATTCAATACTTTTTCTACTATGAAACACTTTATAAATTGTAACATAATTAATGTAGCTAAATAATGGATAAAATCCCCAAAATGAACAGAAACTGACAGTTAATGAAACAAAATACTGCTTTGTATATAAACACTTCATAAGTCTTTGACTGAAATCTACCTCAAGTAGACATGAAAAATCATGGCAAACATTCATTCATTCTTCAGGAACTGCTGCTCTCTGTCTGTCTTGTTCAAAACACTTTCCATGCATTATTTACAGTATCCTCACCTTATCACACAAGTACTCACTATGTCTGGCCATCTATTTGGCTTCCTCTGCTCCTTCTACACTTGGCTTCATTTAACCAACCAACTTTGAAACATTTCATCAACCTTATAAGTCAATGACTTTTACACACGTGGTTTGCAGTGGTAGACCCCCATGCACAGATACCATAATTAAGATAGGGGTAGATTAGTGCATAATATAGTGAGAGGAGAGCAGAGTTAGGAACATAATATCTGATTTTGGAGAGTATACCAACTGTCTTAGAGACTTTCTTAGTTATGTGTTGAATGTGGGTGCTGAAGTTGAGTCTCTTGTCTAGGAATAGGCCAAGAAACTTGCCATCATTTTTATTACTGATGTTAATGTTGTCTATCTGTAGCTGAATTGCATTTGATGATTGCTTCCAAATAAGATGTAGTAAGTCTTTTCGATGTTTAATGTTAGTTTGTTCGTTGACATCCATAAGTGGACTTTTTTTAATTCATTATTCACAACATTATTTAGTGTATGTGGGTTGAGGTTCGAGTAGATAAGGGTAGTATCGTCAGCAAACAATATAGGTTTGAGAATATTAGAGACATTAGGCAGATCGTTTATATATATAAGAAATAGAAGAGGTCCTAAGATGCCTTGTACATCTTTATTTGGTTATGTGAGTGTTGTTTAGTTCCTAGGATAGAGATAATACTGTAGAGTATTACTACTCATTATTTTATATAAACTCTCAACAATTAATGCTTCTCATTGTGTTTTGTGTTTTATTACTATAAAAAGCTACAGAAGGTGAAGTATTCCAATGCTTATTTCCAGGGTTAAGGCCGCCACTTTCCTTCTCTGACTCACTAAATTTTGTACTCAATTTGCAGAAATTCCTCTGATCCCACCACATATACCAGATATTTAATCTACAGATTTCATATTCTCAAATTCAAATTTGTATTCAACAGAATGTGTGTTCCAAAACACAAGAGGGACAATTGTAGGGACAGGAGTAACACATACAAATCAACCAGGTATACTCACGAAGCCACTATTATGCAAAGGGTTTTGAGTAAAGTAAGAATAGTTTAGATACAAAAATTAATTAAAGATGTTTGTCGACCTAATTGTATTTGTGCTGCTTTTTCAGCCATTTTCCCCTCTTTTTATCTCTATTTTTATTTGTTCTCAACACATTTTATTCTTTATGCTCAATTAGTATTAAGCTTTAGTCATTTAAGTTTTTCATGCCCGAAACGCTTTGCTTTAGGGCATGAAATATAGTGGCTTTAGGCTACAATAAAAATAGTGGCTTTAGGCATTGTATGTACTAGCCCTATCTATAAATCCATCATTCTTTGTAAAATCTCTTGTATGTATGTACCTTACCTAAATAAACATTTATTATTTATTATTATTATTATTATTATTATTATTATTATTATTATTATTATGTGAAGGGGTAAACACTTAATACTAAAACAGAAGCAAGCTAGCAAAATTGAGGAAGTTCAAGGAAAAATAAAAAACGTAAACAATAAAATGTTGATACATAAGGATGACAGGCAAAGGTTATTACAGTAAGGAGACTAGTTCTTGCAAAAGTATAGTAGTTAGTAACATGAATAACAGAATGGAAATTCAAAGTGTAAGTGAGAAAAGCGATTGGAATATAACATAAGAGTAAAATAATATAATCGAAGTTTAATGGGGCCAATACTAAAAAATACACGAAGAACATAAAGGACATGGGTAAGCAAATTTATAAATGAGATGCAATACTTAAATGACAGGTAATGAAGGAGAAAATTACTAATACATCAAATTTAAGATAAGAGTAACAAATATTTTATTACAAGGGGAAATGTAAGTGAAATTAGTTACATGATATTAAGTAAATTTTTGTTAGTCTCTTTTTAAAATTATTATTATTATTATTATTATTATTCCTACCTTGATCTAACTTACATACATTATATATAGTACTGTATTGGACAACCATGAGGCTATTACACAGCACAGATATATTCTTCAATTATTATTCAAACCTCTTATATACTATGTGGTCTAGTCCCTGAATAAAAGCTCTTCACAGCATTTAAACTTTTCTATATTTAGAATTAATACTTCCCTTATCTTAGGTTTACATCAAGGTCCCCCCAAAGTTGATCTACTAACCCTTCCCAAGATGCAACCCCCAAAAGAAGCTGACTTAACTCCTGGGTACCCCTATTTACTGCTTGGTGAACAGGCACATTAGGTGATAGGCAACGCACCCAACCATTTCTCTCCCACCTGGGATTCGAACCTGAAATTCCTGATTGGGAGTCAAGAGGGAACCTGACCGTACTACTGGGACCCTAACTGAAAATTCTGAGGCAATAACTTTTGAGGCAGACAGAATAATTTGCTTAATATATATAGTACATGTGGGTTCTTAGAGAATGTAATTTAAAGCATTGTTTGAAAGCCATGGGACATAAATGAGAGGAAGCACATTTTAGATACCTTAAAAATGTGAGTGAAGGACAAACCTGGATTAACTTGCAGCAGCCTTTCATGGAGCCAGGTCAAAAAAGTATAGGATTTCGTCAACACCTGCAGGAGGTCTTGACTACGATCAACCAGAGCATCCACCACCAACCATGGCCTGATTTAAAAATGATGTCTCATATGTTCTCATCAACAAAATAATTAATGGAAAAGACAAATTTAACATCATATTTTGAGTAATGCACTGAATTACTTTCCATTATAGTCCTCAACACATAATGTAATTTTTAATATAAACTATATTGCACAATCAGGAAATTCTTCACATCCTTGAATTCTTGCAAAAGGTTGTAGTATTAAAGTAAAGTTTACCCAAGTTTACCTGAACAACTTCAGTTACACTTCTTACATACTGTTGTTCTGTAAGATTTATGTCATCTGCAAAAACTAATTTTAATTACAGTAACAAGAATCAGAAAGCATATAATGCTACATACAGTACTGTATATATACTGTACTCTACTAAGGCATGTTGTTTCATATCAAAAGTGACTTTACAAAAATAGATTAATATGGTTTCATGCAAAGTATCAACCATTGCAAACATTAAACCCACACATTTCAGTACAAACATTAAACCCACATATTGGAAACACCAACCACACTCATTACATCACATGTTCGTATCTGTGTGGGTTTAGTGTGCATGTGTGTTGTAGCTAAGGTATTATGACCCCTTATCTCCAATTTTCCTTACTTCAAGATACCCTTACCCTAAGACTTGCAACTTCCTTCACCAGTGTAATCTTTTCAAACAATTTATATTGTAGTTATTATGTTGAACTTAAATTTTGCTACAATATACCTCTTATTAAACTTATCTGTTAGATCAAGGACTTGTTCAAAACGCTATGCGTATTAGTGGCTTTGCAAGAATGTAAGAACACCAATGTTATGTACTCTCACAAACCTATTGTGCCTTCTTGTATATAAATAAAATAAATAAACTTATTCAACTCACCACTGTTTTTGCAGATCAGCAAGGCCAGCGAGTAGTACTCGCATCTCAATAATAGTTTCATCCCAGAACTGCTGAAGCTCACTCACATTAAGGGATTTATTGAAGTCAAACTGCTGCAGTTGGCCCACCAGAATTCTACATTGGTCATAGAGCTCTGCCAATCTGATTTGTGGTACTTTAATTTCTGGCTTTTGATATTCTGTCTAGAAAAAAAGATGCCAGCAGTTAATGTAATATGCAGTACATTATTTATTTAAATTCACATGTACATCTGTGAAATATATAACTGCAACCCTAAGTGTTTAGCTTATGCTGGATATATTGGGTGTTAATATTTGGCCTCCAAAAGTACATCACTCGAGTAATTTTTTGGTATTAAATTAACAAACTTAGGTATACAGAGCAATGTTCTGCTACCTTACTAAATATGAAAGATTAGTGTAAATCAACAATTAGCTACACATCAACATACATGGAATCAGGAGAACACATGCAATGAGTCTGATCAATTAGCCTGCACTGCATTTGAGTAATGGGTATTACATCCATCACCGCCATTAGTAAAACTATTCACACTCTGCGTCACTATGTTATTGTTACAATATCTAAGAATGTAGAGATAACTCAATCGATAACGTTCAAGAATTGTCCGTGTATTACATCCAGGATGTAATATATTACACAAAATATCACAGGCATAATAATATATTACAAAAAATATCGTAGGCATAATAATATATTACAAAAAATATCGTAGGCATAATATATTACAAAAGATATCATAGGCATAATATATTACACAAAATATCATAGGCATAATATTTTACACAAAAAAAAGTATCCAAGGTTTTCTCACTGCAAATTGTGTACAAACTATGCATATAAGGGCATAATGCCTGCATATCTGTTACTTATCTCATGACAATGTACTATACAATACATTTAATTTAGTTGCTTTATTATGCACCTTATACACATCCAGTGAGGCTATAGGAGGACATAATAACTTGACTCTAAAATCCATTTAGCTAAGTCATGATATGTTAGTTATTCAGGTGAGGAATGAATGATTTCTGATGAAGTGATGTTCTTGAGAATGCTAAAGAGAGAGACTGAAGCTGATGCTAAATGTCTTATGCTGTAACAACCATGTAATGTATATAACATTATATATAACAGAGATACAGTATAGTATCTCTAATTATTACGTATCCCCTCTCTGTAGGTGGGTATACTAACCAGAGCCCTGACCAGAGCAGTGGTGAGGTTGGACTGAAATTGTGGGGGCTGTTGTGGGTGTTGAGCATAGTAACACACCACCTCCACCATCACACTCACGCCCACACTCTGGTTACATGCCCGCTCTGCCCATGACCACAACACCTCACGCTCCTACAAAACAGGAGACATTTCAGTTAATTCTAAGATAGAATTATTCTTAATATCCATATATGTTACAGTGTATATCATGTATATTTAATGACTACAGTAGGAATGAAATCTACAACAGAGACTTTCACTCACCAGGAGTGCGGTGGTAACGAAGGAGGAGACCTGGTGTAGGATGAAGGTCGCAGTACCAGCGGGACCCTGACGGAACACCTGCAGCAGCGGGTAGTCCTCCGGCAGGCCCCACACCGAGGTCAGCGTCACCTCTCCGTCTACGGAAACATCACAATCGTTCCTTAAACAGCTATTTTCTTTCTTGCCCTCATTGTTATGACTACCGGGACTGCAAACTCTGACTTATTTTGTGGCCTACTCTTACCATAATAAAACTATTTCAACTAACAACCTCGCAACTAAGATTCCAGTGACATAAATATGTAAATGATTATCTCACTGACGTCATTAGTGAAGTCATTAATGACTTCTGGAGTAAGCTTTGAAAATAGGCAGTCAAAGATTTTGCTGACTTATCATTTTTGGAGAAGGAAATCAGAACATATGGAAGAAATGGAGGCAGTAGAACTCACTGAGTCTCATGTCAAAGAACTCTCTGAAGAGAACCTGGAGGAGCATGTTAATGCAAGTGAAAATGAAGTGATGCTGAAGTTGAGGTAAAGGTCCTAAATTTGATTTGAAAACATTGGTAGAGATCGTCAGATACAGCAAAATGGATAAAATCTGCATAACTCCCCTAAGTAGCAGAGCCTGAAGATAAGCCTGAAGATGTTTCAGGGATGTATACCCCCAGGAAGAGCCTCCTGCACAGCACCACCTCTCAACCAACACTTGTTATCTCTCGGTGTTACTTCTCCGTGGAGCCACTACCCACCAGTACTCAACATTAAGGTGCCTGGATATATGACAGTCCAGTATCTAATGTTTAAATTTGGCCAGGCACAGTATTCTACGAAATAGATCTACTGAAATCCAGTCAATATAAACAAAATCGACAAGAATTTCTTTAAATCTAAGACTTATTAATCAGGTTTAGAAATTACATTTAAGATTCAGAAACACTTGCATCAAGTGAATAATGTAAGTGAAATTACGGTTAGCATGGTGGCATAGAGATAAAAGAGGTAGTAGTGTATTACCTTGCAGGAGGGCGGAGAGGGTGGTGGCGAGGGCGTGAGCATGGTACATGGTGTACTGTAGCGTGTGGGCAAGTGGGCGGGCGTCCTCATACCCCACCATCCACTCCAACACCTCGTCCACAACCTCCAACACCATGCTGACCATTCAAGGTTAAAATACATGAAATGTCAAAAAAATTAATACAGAATGACATATTTGCTAAAATGCTAAAGGTGTGTTTCATCAGCATGGGAAATATAGCTACTGTTAATAGTTCACTACTGCACATTGCTGTTGTTTTTGATTCAGCGACTCAAAAAAAAGTTCCAAGTAGCCCCAGGCTATGGTGAGCCCGTAGTGAACATGTCTGGCACAGGAGAAGGGCTGTAACTGTACATACACTAAGCCTCTCATCTAATGACCTCATTATGTGAAATATAATGAACTGTGTTTATCCATATCTGTAACATAATAATAAAACTAGTATATGTATCTATCTCTCTCTCTCACCTGGCATACAACTGCTGCTTCACTTCACCGGTAATGACAAAAGCATCTTGGAACTCCTGCTGGATGGATGTTCCCTGCGGGGTGGTGATCCCATCAAGAATCCTGCTGAGGTTGAAGGAGGCCAACAGGTGCCCGAAGGACCTCATCAGCTGTAGGGCGGCGCCTACCTCCACATGCCCAGGGGTGAAGTCCTCCATCTGTGTCCACCATGGGATGGAGAAGGAGATGGGGGTCAGTGAATGGGGCTAGCCTCGCCCACCTGGGGCTAGCCTCGCCCACCTGGGACTAGTCTCGCCCACCTGGGGCTAGCCTCGCCCACCTGGGACTAGTCTCGCCCACCTGGGGCTAGCCTCGCCCACCTGGGGCTAGCCTCACCCACCTGGGACTAGCCTCGCCCACCTGGGGCTAGCCTCGCCCACCTGGGACTAGTCTCGCCCACCTGGGGCTAGCCTCGCCCACCTGGGGCTAGCCTCACCCACCTGGGGCTAGCCTCACCCACCTGGCTAGCCCCCAAATGTTTGACCTCAAACTTATGACAAACAAACACTCTAAACTGTGTCAACAAAATTATTCGCACACCCTCCGTCACTATGTGATGGAGTGCGAAAAGATACGTGAATTTAGAGACAATTCTATAACCAATGTTCCAGCGATGTGTCAATATTTCATTCAAAATGATCTGCTACCAGAAATTTTAGCCAAATATCCCTAGTTTGCTAACTGTAGGTAGTAACTAAGTGATTGTAACCTATCCACCGCTGCCCACTGAATGGGGGGCGGTGTGCAGGACAAACATATAAATTTTGACACTAGCTCTCCACATATGTCAGTTGCTTAATTTAGAACCTGTACTTGAGGTCGATCTCGAACCCATTGTTGATGTGATGACTTATATTGAATTTTGTAACTAGCTCATCAAGATTGTAACTTGCTTAGCTAAATGAATTGTGGGGTTCAGTCCCTGAGCCCATTATGTGCCTCTGTAACCCTTTCCACTACCGCCCACAAGATGGGTATGGGGTGCATAATAAATGAACTAAACTAACTCTTATTGATATAGATCAAGGAATAAAAACTAAATTAGTTAAATTGGAAAATGCCAGTACAGTACTTCACTTTTCACATATTTTTGTTTTATATATATATTTTACGTAGCGTGTAGAGGCTCAAATAATCAGTTAAATATTAAATATAATAAATTCATTAAATTTGCTCTGCCAAAATTTTGTTAAATTAAAAGGTGTCGATATTGTTAACTTATTACGAGGCTTATATAATTCGTATGCAAACTAGTAAACGACACATCGTAATAAATGATCACCAAAATATAGCTGGAAAGTGAATGACAAGTTGAGCACACCACAGAAAACGGGCTTGGAGGGCCCACTCACCAGGGCCTTGACGCTCCCGGACAGTTGGGTGCTGGAGGCCAGCAGCTCCTCCACGATGTCGGTGGCGTTGTGACACGCCAAGTACTCCAGGTCCAGCACCTTGTGCTTGATCTCCTCCAGATGGGACCAGGAGGCCGGCAGGTCGGCCACAGCAGAGGCAGGAGGGAAGAGGTCGACCAGAGTGACATTGCCACACGGGTACTGGCTCCAGGAGCCACTGGACGTCTGCTTCATCAGTCCAGCCACAGTCTGATGCTGGAAGATGCTAACTTATCTTCAATCACGTCATACTGACATCATTTTATTACATGTTTCTCTTGTCCCCCCACTAAATTGTTGATAAATACGACTATACAATACTATAATTATCTATTTAATTCCCAAAAGCAAGGCTTTATACTTATTATTGAAAAGTAGTTTTAACATATGTCTTTTGAAGTCATTTGACCCCCATATGTGGTCGCCTGATGTCACCCACTGAGAGGTCAATAGCTTTTTCTTTAATCCATTTCAAGTGGCATTCTTTCTTAATGAAATATCATTTTTTTTAATCTAGTATATACTTCATATTTTGTACTCCATTTTCCTCTCATAGCTCGCTCACTCACACAGTAATACAAACACACACCGGCACTCTCATTCACTCTCCCATACTCATCCATTCTACCCACACTCTCGCACTCTCTCATAATCATGCACTCTCTCACAATCACTCATTCACTCACATACTCACTCATTCACTCTCACAGAATCACTCATTCACCCTCCCACAATCACTCATTATATCTCACAATCTCTCTCTTACTCTCATTTACTCTTACACTCCTACTCGTCCGTCTGAGGCGAGCACTCACCCAGGCAAGGGGCCGCGTGGTCATGAGGTAGGGTAGAGCCAGGAGCCGCGGGAGGACGAGGGCCGCTGCCGGTTGCACCAGAGACGCCATGATGGGACACCCACCCGCGCACCACCACCACAGGTCTCCACCACCTGTACCACCACACATATTGTATATATGCTGATAACAATGTTGATAACGCTTCAAGCTTGGTTAGTAGTTGCCTTTGTTAGAAAAGGGTTCTTGGGGGTAGTGTTGGAGGAGGTCCTGTTGAGGGTAGTGTTGGAGGAGGTCCTGTTGAGGGTAGTGTTGGAGGAGGCCCTGCTGAGGGTAGTGTTGGAGGAGGCCCTGTTGAGGGTAGTGTTGGAGGAGGTCCTGCTGAGGGTAGTGTTGGAGGAGGTCCTGCTGAGGGTAGTGTTGGAGGAGGCCATGTTGAGGGTAGTGTTGGAGGAGGTCCTGCTGAGGGTAGTGTTGGAGGAGGTCCTGCTGAGGGTAGTGTTGGAGGAGGTCCTGCTGAGGGTAGTGTTGGAGGAGGTCCTGCTGAGGGTAGTGTTGGAGGAGGCCCTGTTGAGGGTAGTGTTGGAGGAGGTCCTGCTGAGGGTAGTGTTGGAGGAGGCCCTGCTGAGGGTAGTGTTGGAGGAGGTCCTGCTGAGGGTAGTGTTGGAGGAGGTCCTGCTGAGGGTAGTGTTGGAGGAGGTCCTGCTGAGGATAGTGTTGGAGGAGGTCCTGCCGAGGGCAGTGTTAGAGATACATATATTATTTACCAGGTATATATGTCAACAAATATGTACGTCATTAAGTGCATCAGTCCTCCTACAAGAAGACTACCGGCTTGGCAGGAAACACAATACTTCACAATATTTACATCAGCCGTCAACAGTGCCTTGAGTCGCAGACCGTGATCCACCAGGTCGGATGTGATAGGATGTGACCAGCATTCGCTAGTCATATCCTAAACCCTAAATACTCAATCTCCAGAGACTTCCCTAAATTCTCTCCCAAAATATCAGCCAATGTTAGTCACTCATAACACACACACACACACACACACACACACACACACACACACACACACACACACACACACACACACACACACACACACACACACACACACACATGTTACTCACGAGCCACTCTCGACTTCACCAAGGACGTCTGCACAACACTGGATGGGTGAGTGTGTGGGACTTGGACATGTTGAAACAGTCTCAGCCACCTTGCTCAGACCACCACGGCTTCTTCCTAAGAAGCACTAACTTCGTAACTTGCTTGAGTCAGTATTTATTCAATTCCTCAAACCACATCTAGTTACACGTCTTCTGCCTGACACCCACAAGCCCTGTCAATGTCAGAGACCGTCCCAAACTGTCGCTTCCGGTGGTGACCGGAAGCCTTTCTGGAAATCCGCTCGAGGTTAGGCACCCGGATGCCCTGCCCGGCGACACATTCACAAACTAGCCATCGTGTGTACACGAGGTGCCAACCGCCAAACTGCCCCCAAATCAGTTCGCCATATTCATAAACTACTTCAACACGCTCATAAACTGCTTCTATTGCCAACGTGTTTGAGAGAACTTCTAACTAATCTCTACACAATACTCTGGGTACAAGAGACCTGCTGAGCACACTGTATAAGGAGACACGGTAGCTTCACTAACCAAGTGGTCAAGGGTAGTGTACTTACTGTTGATGTTGCTGAGGACACTGTAGGAGGCATTAAGGACCTCCACCAACTGAGGAAGTGGTGGAGGAAGCTTCACTCGCGGTTGCTCCAGCAGGTCGTATACGTTCTCCGCCACCTCCAACCTGTAAGACAGTAAAGACAAACTTCCATCTATAAACATATTCACTCGTTTGGTAAGTTTACAAGACAACTGACCAAAAGACTTCAAAGGGCATCACCAACCAGCAGACTTCAAAGTACAATGCTCTAATGCCACAGTAATGTCCATTGTATATATAAATAATCTGCGTGGAGTCATTCAGTGTTCCAGGATTATGTTGGTGATGTTGATAAGGGAGTTGGAAGGATACAATACCCAGATGACCGTCACTGACCAAGAGGAAACATGTTTGGGGCAGCACATGCCAAATGGAATTCACCTTGGATTTTATGAAATTCAGCTTGGGGCTCCAGGAATTTCATTCATAGATCTAGGGTGGTCTTATAGGCGTAGCAAAAAGGCTATAGTCACATATTATGGGTTCAGGAACTGGATACCAATTTTCAGTAAGCTAAGCAATTTACATTGTTGGTAAACTAGTTACAAACAGTTTTAATTTGACTATCAATTACAAACAGTTTTAATTTGACTATCAATTACAAACAGTTTTAATTTGACTATCAATTACAAACAGTTTTAATTTGACTATCAACGTGTCCCGCCACCCATCAGGTAGCCACCAGAGGCAAGGGTATACACACACACTCAGATCAAGAAGTGCATGAGCTGCCTACAGAAGGTAAACTTTGGATGCTCAGCAAATATTTGGGGTAATATATATAATTTAGAGAAATATAAATCTTTTGAGCATTATTGGTGGAGATGTCTCGAAATTCTAGACACTTTGCTGCATGAATGAGTTTCATTATACTGAGGCAGGTAGGCAACTATTGCAACTCTTTCCATCCATTAAAATATTTGCAACTAGTGAAAGTGTGACACACTCACACAGTGACTGGCAGTAAGTAGAGGAGAGACTTCACGTGTGTGTTGTGTATGACGTCACTCAGCTTCCAGGGCTGCTGAAAAACTGTCGCCAGGCGTACCAACATCTCCACCACCGTCGACGTCACACCTAGGGTTCAGTATGTCGGATTAACCAACTACTACTGTATTACTTCTATTACCCAAATATACCGAGCCGGATTATATTAAAAACTCAGTGGAACGGGGCAGAACGACGTCAAGGAGAAACAAAAAGTAGTGTTAGAGAAATCGATTTAGCCAAAAATCATAATTTGAAGGATATGCAGACGTTTTACATCTTAAGTTACATCTTGGAACTCTTGGCTTAAGAGTGGACGATGACATTAAGTAGTGAGAGTTACTGACCTGCCAGGGAGTGTATGGTGGTGGTGGTGGTGTTGAGGAGCGCCTGGTGGAGGTGGTCGCCGCACCCCTGGTCCTCCCTCACCATCTCTCTCGTCATCTTCACCATCACCACCGTCCTGGAACACACAAATTACCTGGAACACACTGGGTGTAATTACCTAAGTGTAATCACCTAAGTGTAGTTACAGGATGAGAGCTAAGCTCGTGGTGTCCCGTCTTCCCAGTACTCTTTGTCGTATAACACTTTGAAACTACTGACGGTCTTGGCCTCCACCACCACCTCACTTTGCTTGTTCCAACCGTCTACCACTCTGTTTGCTAAAGAAAACTTTCTAATATTTTTTTCGGCACCTTTGTTTCCTTATCTTGAATTCGTGTCCTCTTGTTCCTGAAGTTGCTGGTTTCAAGAATTCCTCTTTGTCAATTTGGTTAATTCCTGTTAGTATTTTGTAAGTGGTGATCATATCACCTCTTTTTCTTCTATCTTCTAGTTTTGGCATATTTAACGCCTCTATATCCTCTCTTCGTAACTCTTGTTTTTCAGTTCCGGAAGCCATTTTGTAGCATGCATTTGCACCTTTAAAAGTTTATTTATGTGCTTCTTGAGATGTGGGCACCACACAACTGCTACATATTCCAATTTTGGTCTCACAAAAGTCATCAACAGTTTCTTTGGTATTCCACCATCCATGTATTTAAAAGCAATTATAAAAATTGAAAGCATAGCATAAGCTCCTCGCACAATGTCTTATGTGGTCCTCTGGTGACGGTTCACTATTCACAATAACCCACCGATGAGTTGTAGTGCTTTTTCACATAATTTGCAGGTTGTGTGTTGAATATTGTCTCCTCTTCCACATGCCATAATACGGCATTTATTCACGTTAAATTCCATCTGCCAAGCGTTGATTCATACACTTAATTTGTTCAGATCACCTTGAAGGGTATCACAATAGTCTAAGTCTCAGATCTTCCCCATTAGCTTAGTATCATCAGCAAACATGTTCCTCTGAGTCTGCATTCCTTGTGATAGATTGTTTATATAGACAATGAACATTACTGATGCTTCAACTGAACCCTGTGGTACTCTACTAGTATCAGTTCTCCAGTCTGATACATTGCCTCTTATTATTGCCCCTCATTATTCTGTCAAAATTTGACAGTGTATGAGTATTTCATTTAATTTCTGCGATTCATTTGTGTTTGCAGCTTCCAATTATGTCCTCTTGTTTTACTTTCCCTGGCTTTAAAGAGGCTGTCATTGTCTGTCACTTTATTTCCTGTCTGTCACCTTGTTTCTTGTCTGTCACCTTGCTTCTTGTCTTTTTCCTCAGGCAAGATGGACAAGGACGGCATCAGCATCCGAGAGTTTGACTCTTCTATCCTCTAGCATTGTCAGATGCTAGCCTATTCCAGTAGCCTATTCTCGTAGCTGTGGCACCGATCTTCTTGCAAACCTCTATACTTTTTCCAGTTTGGTTTTTAATTTAGAACTAAGGTAAAGTCTTGAGTGTAAACACACAGTAAAGTTGTGTAGTGTTGAAAAGTCGTAGTTGTGAAAAGTCTCCGTGAACATATGCATTGTGATGTCACTATATTATGCATTCCGATATGTCTACAAATTTACATTTATCACAGCGATTTAAAAAATTATGTATGCAATGTTAAAAAATCTTAAACAGAAGATGTATAAACGAATAATAACATGGTATACAGTACTGTAATATTATATTATAAATAACACGTATTATAAAAGAAAAACTGGGAGCGTACAGGTTGTTGACGACATCCTTAAAGAATTCAAGATCCTGCTGAAGCTTCTGAATCTCCTGGTGGTTCCCGGGCGGCAGCTGAGGCAAGAGAGCATCAACTCCTTCCACGATCGATCTCTTCTTCCTCACCCTGGATCCCTCAGAGGAATTATGGGCGCCATCTTGTGGAAAGAGGTTGAGGAGGTCCGCGGAGGATTGGATCACCTCTGACAGCCTCACAATACTCCTCACGACTTGAGACGCATTCACTACATCTTGGGATCGGATCTACGAGGGGGACAAGTAAGTAATTATCAATAGAAGGTACCAAACCGGGAAGGCTATGTAGCACCATCTACGAGGGGGAGTACTGTATTGTAGGCTTTGATCAAACTAAAATTCAAAGGTTTTAATATATAAAATGGTGTAATCCCTCGTATATTTATATAACCAGCGAGGTTTGTAAGTTGAAAATATGTGTTGTTAAACGCAAATGTCAATTATGTTTAATTAGACAATGCCAACACTCTCCATGAAAGTAAAATTTAAAAAGTATTATTTTACTTTTTGTAACATGTACTGTAATTTCTTCCACCAACAAAATAAATTGTAACAACCCAGCTCAGAATATTGGAGTAAATATGTTATTAGTAAACAATTCATGAAGAACAAAAATGTTACATATCATGAACAATTCTTGTATAACAAGAGAACAATGACTTCTAAGTAGAACACCGGGACCCAGAGTTTGGGCAGAGATAATATACAATGGTTGTGAAACCCTTTGGGGCGGGTGAGCGTCTAGCAGCCTGGTGGAGGGCTGCTAGACCCTGGAGGTCCCTCACCACTCACCTGGGTCACCATTGACTGGTGGAGGGCTGCTAGACCCTGGAGGTCCCTCACCACTCACCTGGTCACCATTGACTGGTGGAGGGCTGCTAGACCCTGGAGGTCCCTCACCACTCACCTGGGTCACCATTGACTGGTGGAGGGCTGCTAGACCTTGGAGGTCCCTCACCACTCACCTGGGTCACCATTGACTGGTGGAGGGCTGCTAGACCCTGGAGGTCCCTCACCACTCACCTGGGTCACCATTGACTGGTGGAGGGCTGCTAGACCCTGGAGGTCCCTCACCACTCACCTGGGTCACCATTGACTGGTGGAGGGCTGATAGACCCTGGAGGTCCCTCACCACTCACCTGGGTCACCATTGACTGGTGGAGGGCTGATAGACCCTGGAGGTCCCTCACCACTCACCTGGGTCACCATTGACTGGTGGAGGGCTGATAGACCCTGGAGGTCCCTCACCACTCACCTGGGTCACCATTGACTGGTGGAGGGCTGATAGACCCTGGAGGTCCCTCACCACTCACCTGGGTCACCATTGACTGGTGGAGGGCTGCTAGACCCTGGAGGTCCCTCACCACTCACCTGGGTCACCATTGACTGGTGGAGGGCTGATAGACCCTGGAGGTCCATCACCACTCACCTGGGTCACCAGTGACTGGTGGAGGGCTGCTAGACCCTGGAGGTCCCTCACCACTCACCTGGGTCACCATTGACTGGTGGAGGGCTGATAGACCCTGGAGGTCCATCACCACTCACCTGGGTCACCAGTGACTGGTGGAGGGCTGCTAGACCCTGGAGGTCCCTCACCACTCACCTGGGTCACCATTGACTGGTGGAGGGCTGATAGACCCTGGAGGTCCATCACCACTCACCTGGGTCACCATTGACTGGTGGAGGGCTGCTAGACCCTGGAGGTCCCTCACCACTCACCTGGGTCACCATTGACTGGTGGAGGGCTGATAGACCCTGGAGGTCCATCACCACTCACCTGGGTCACCAGTGACTGGTGGAGGGCTGCTAGACCCTGGAGGTCCCTCACCACTCACCTGGGTCACCATTGACTGGTGGAGGGCTGCTAGACCCTGGAGGTCCCTCACCACTCACCTGGGTCACCATTGACTGGTGGAGGGCTGCTAGACCCTGGAGGTCCCTCACCACTCACCTGGGTCACCATTGACTGGTGGAGGGCTGCTAGACCCTGGAGGTCCCTCACCACTCACCTGGGTCACCATTGACTGGTGGAGGGCTGCTAGACCCTGGAGGTCCCTCACCACTCACCTGGGTCACCATTGGCTGGTGGAGGGCTGCTAGACCCTGGAGGTCCCTCACCACTCACCTGGGTCACCATTGGCTGGTGGAGGGCTGCTAGACCCTGGAGGTCCCTCACCACTCACCTGGGTCACCATTGACTGGTGGAGGGCTGCTAGACCCTGGAGGTCCCTCACCACTCACCTGGGTCACCATTGACTGGTGGAGGGCTGCTAGACCCTGGAGGTCCCTCACCACTCACCTGGGTCACCATTGACTGGTGGAGGGCTGCTAGACCCTGGAGGTCCCTCACCACTCACCTGGGTCACCATTGACTGGTGGAGGGCTGCTAGACCCTGGAGGTCCCTCACCACTCACCTGGGTCACCATTGACTGGTGGAGGGCTGCTAGACCCTGGAGGTCCCTCACCACTCACCTGGGTCACCATTGACTGGTGGAGGGCTGCTAGATCCTGGAGGTCCCTCACCACTCACCTGGGTCACCATTGACTGGTGGAGGGCTGCTAGACCCTGGAGGTCCCTCACCACTCACCTGGGTCACCATTGACTGGTGGAGGGCTGCTAGACCCTGGAGGTCCCTCACCACTCACCTGGGTCACCAGTGACTGGTGGAGGGCTGATAGACCCTGGAGGTCCCTCACCACTCACCTGGGTCACCAGTGACTGGTGGAGGGCTGCTAGTCCCTGGAGGTCCCTCACCACTCACCTGGGTCACCAGTGACTGGTGGAGGGCTGCTAGTCCCTGGAGGTCCCTCACCACTCACCTGGGTCACCAGTGACTGGTGGAGGGCTGCTAGTCCCTGGAGGTCCCTCACACCGGCCTCACCACATAACTTGGCCTCCAGCAGCAGCCAGTCGTCGCCGCTCACGCCCGGCCACGAGGCGCGCTCGCACGCCCACACATCCGGCCTCTCTCCTCTTATTACCGCCTATAATGTTACAGTGAAACAAGCGACAATAATAAGACTATGAGACCATTAGCATCTGACCCACACGGGGACAGGAAGCCTTCGGCTTGTCCAGGTCCCCTAAGGCTTCAACAAGGCTACAACCCACAATTTACTAACTCCCTAGTACATATTTACTGCATCGTGTAAAGAACAATAAGGAGTTAAGAAACGTACCTAAAGGTCTCGTCCTGTCCGGGAATCGAACCCTGGACCATTTGAAGGCGAGCCAGCTGTGTTTGTGGTGTAAGGGCCCAGATGATATATATGACCACCCACTTGGAAACAATGGCGTGATATAGAGTCCACAAACTCTACTGACTTTAAACTCTTACCACAAGCTCTATTGACCATGGCCTTAACCTTTCCACGGAGAAAGCAAACTTGTTTCCCAAAATGTCAACTTCATATTTGTAAAAATAATAATTAGCAGTTAAATTAGAAAGTAATACAAATACCTCAGAGCTCTGTTAGGGAGCACTCTCTCAGAGCTCTGTCGGGGAGCACTCTCTCAGAGCTCTGTCTGGGAGCACTCTCTCAGAGCTCTGTCTGGGAGCACTCTCTCAGAGCTCTGTCTGGGAGCACTCTCTCAGAGCTCTGTCTGGGAGCACTCTCTCAGAGCTCTGTCTGGGAGCACTCTCTCAGAGCTCTGTCTGGGAGCACTCTCTCAGAGCTCTGTCTGGGAGCACTCTCTCAGAGCTCTGTCTGGGAGCACTCTCTCAGAGCTCTGTCTGGGAGCACTCTCTCAGAGCTCTGTCTGGGAGCACTCTCTCAGAGCTCTGTCTGGGAGCACTCTCTCAGAGCTCTGTCTGGGAGCACTCTCTCAGAGCTCTGTCGGGGAGCACTCTCTCAGAGCTCTGTCGGGGAGCACTCTCTCAGAGCTCTGTCGGGGAGCACTCTCTCAGAGCTCTGTCGGGGAGCACTCTCTCAGAGCTCTGTCGGGGAGCACTCTCTCAGAGCTCTGTCGGGGAGCACTCTCTCAGAGCTCTGTCGGGGAGCAGTCTCTCAGAGCTCTGTGTGTGAGCACTCTCTCAGAGCTCTGTCTGGGAGCACTCTCTCAGAGCTCTGTGGGTGAGCACTCTCTCAGAGCTCTGTCTGGGAGCACTCTCTCAGAGCTCTGTCTGGGAGCACTCTCTCAGAGCTCTGTCTGGGAGCACTCTCTCAGAGCTCTGTCGGGGAGCACTCTCTCAGAGCTCTGTCTGGGAGCACTCTCTCAGAGCTCTGTTAGGGGAGGGCTCTGTGGGCGAGCACTGTATGAGGGAGAGTGAGTGAGTATACGCACCTGTATGAGGGAGTGATTGGTGTGAGTGAGCACCATGAGAGCGAGGGCAGGAGGGAGCTGGGGCCCAGACAACACCCGCCTCACCAGGACTGTAGAGGAAGTAGAGCATAGTGAGGTGTGAGGCACACTCATAGTGGTCCTCATCTCTGCCTAGCTGCCTTAAGGTACATGAGCTACGATTGTGTATGAATTGGCAACCAGTCTATCATGGCCATCTACAAGAACCTTGTAGCTAGTCGGAAGTGTGTATGGACTTACTGTGGGCGACCTCCGTGACGGTGGTGGTGATGGTGACGGCGGGGTGCAGGATGGTGAGCATGTTGGTGATGGGTTGTGACACCTCCGGCAGCAGGCGGGCCTTAGTGTCGTCCAGCGCCTCCCCCAGCCTGAAGGAACACTCACTTCGTACACTATTTGTCTCACACTCACTGGGACTGTACACCATCCCTGGGACCTGTCTCACACCCACTGGGACTGTACACCATCCCTGGGACCTGCCTCACAACCCCTGGGACTGTACACCATCCCTGGGACCTGCCTCACAACCCCTGGGACTGTACACCATCCCTGGGACCTGTCTCACATCCCCTGGGACTGTACACCATCCCTGGGACCTGTCTCACAATCACTGGGACTGTACACCATCCCTGGGACCTGCCTCACAACCCCTGGGACTGTACACCATCCCTGGGACCTGCCTCCCACCCACTGGGACTGTACACCATCCCTGGGACCTGTCTCACATCCCCTGGGACTGTACACCATCCCTGGGACCTGTCTCACAATCACTGGGACTGTACACCATCCCTGGGACCTGCCTCCCACCCACTGGGACTCTACACCATCCCTGGGACCTGTCTCACATCCCCTGGGACTGTACACCAACCCTGGGACCTGTCTCACAATCACTGGGACTGTACACCATCCCTGGGACCTGCCTCCCACCCACTGGGACTGTACACCATCCCTGGGACCTGCCTCCCACCCACTGGGACTCTACACCATCCCTGGGACCTGCCTCCCACCCACTGGGACTGTACACCATCCCTGGGACCTGCCTCCCACCCACTGGGACTCTACACCATCCCTGGGACCTGTCTCACATCCCCTGGGACTGTACACCATCCCTGGGACCTGTCTCACAATCACTGGGACTGTACACCATCCCTGGGACCTGCCTCACACCCACTGGGACAGTACACCATCCCTGGGACCTGCCTCACACCCACTGGGACAGTACACCATCCCTGGGACCTGCCTCACACCCACTGGGACTGTACACCATCCCTGGGACCTGCCTCACACCCACTGGGACTGTACACCATCTCTGGGACCTGCCTCACGACCCCTGGGACTCTACACCATCCCAGAAATCCACATCTCATGTTCTCCTCCCATACTTTCTATTCACATGTTTATCTATCGTGATTCTTTTATCTCTACTGACTCTGTTTTTTTCTTGAACCATCCTCCCTCCCTCCCTGTCTCCCTTCCCCCGTGTCTCTCTCCCTCCCTGTCACTCTTTCTCCCTGTCTCTTACCTCTCTCCTTCCCTCCCGCTCCCTCTCTCTCCTCCCTCCCAGCTGTGCTCCGCCACTAGTGTGATCATACCTGTGGGGTGTGAGTGTCGTGGGTTGTAAGAGGGTGGGGAGGAGGGTGGTGGCGAGGGTGAGGAGGGTGTGGGTGGCTGGGTGGCGCTGCACCTCCCCCGCCGCCCACCCTATACCCTTCCCGACCGCCCCGACGCTGGAGCCGGCCATCCGCAGTACTGCCGCCCACTGGTCGCCCGGCTCCTGCAGCAGTCACCGGAGAGGGAGATGATATGGTTAGTCTCGTCCTCTGCATCTCTGTCAGTAATGGCCTAATATATCTTGGCTTTCACTACATCTCTATTTGTTAAAGCCAAGATCTGAGTAAAATATTAGATACTACGGTAGTTAAATGTGGCGTGCAAGTTCCATAGAGTTGTGCCGGGAGCTGTCACTCGCTGTGACTCCCAACGACCTGAAAGTATTAGTATAAAAAGCTATGATTTGTTCAGATCTGAAACCTACATCTATGGACAGCACAAAAAGTCCACCAGACTGTGCGACACAGTGGTTGCCAGGATCAGGTTGGGTTACCGTTACCTGTGGCAGGTGGCTGCAGGTGACGGGTCTCCCAATCCTGAGCACTCCAGTTGCAAACTCTGTGAGCAGGAACTACGGCATGATCTCCCACACTACATCACCGAGCCCAGTTATTAGACCTTTCAGACCAGTTGGCATGAGGTACCTGGAGCTTTGCAATTACTTTATTCACTCTCGTATTCTTGAAGATATCCTCACAGCTAGTATACCCAAAATTTGCCAGTGCAGGCTACTAAACACATGGCTCTGTATGACTAACCATCCTGCGAGATGGGGACTTGTATTACCACTGCTACCTTATTCAATCTTGTGTTGATGATATCCTCAAAATGCATCCGGAGTCTGCCAGTGTAGACCGCTTATCACATGCCTCTGTATGACTAACCATCCTGTGTGATGGGGATTTTTTAGCATCACCTAGTTAGCTTTTTTGACACACTGTACTCCACTTCATATAGTCTAGGGCAGCTGCACTAATGCAGATGTACCTCATATCTTAATAAAAAAAAAAGCTGTACACACACTGCAACCTTTCATAAATCTGGGCCAGCTGCATAAACACACATGTTTTATACATAGACATACCAGACGAATTATCATGCAACACAGCTGAAGTGGAACTAGGCCTATGAAGCCCCATCTATGTTGTTAAGACTATATATATTGATCCAAACATTCAGTTCTGAATGGAGAAAAATCGCTCTCTCAAAGATCGGGATGCACTAGCTATACAAATCTCTTATTTTTATTCACTCTTGTGTTCTTGAGGATATCCTCATAATGCATCCAGAGTTAGCGAGTGCAGGCTACTGATCACATGGCCATGTATGACTAACCATCCTGCGAGATGGAGTCTTTTTCATATCACATACACACTATGTAACCCTATGTGTGTCACTCTTGACACACTATGTAACCCTTAATATTCCTTAGGGTAGCTGCATAAATGTCCATGCACTTCCCAATTTACAAACAAAAACAACAAATCCCCGTCTCTCTCTCTCTACATACATACATATAAATTGCTAACCACCATACCCAGGATAATAACATTTCATTCACCTGGACCATCAGAGCCTCTAGCCGCCGACCACAAACAGCAGGCAGCAGCTCTACCTTCTGGGCCACCAACACCCCTTAGAAAGGAATGTTTGCAGAGGCGCCTATCTGCTGCCCAACATGCCATAGTGGCAGCCAGGAAAGGCCTAATGTTACGGTTGGGCAGCAGATAGGTGTCTCGTCAACCTGTTTCCACCTGGAGCTGTGAGTGAGAGAACAGTTGACATACACATGGATAACACTGCACTTGTATCTATCAGGGCACTCACTATCATCAATAGGCGCCGTCCTGTTGTTTTCCTTAATAAACACTGCAGTGTGAAACCCACCATTCCTTTCTGAGTCTATTACGTCTAGGAAAGGTAGCTTACCTTGACTTTCTATCTTGTAAGTAAACCTTAGCTCGGAACTTTGCTCGAATGCATCCTTACGTTTTAGTTCAATATCGGATACCTGCACGAATATGTCATCTAATATGGCATCACCACGTCGATGCCTATATGTCACCCACTCTCTCACACACGGCTCCGGTTGTAAGCAGATTGACGAGGAACTGGGTAGAGTAAGGCAGGTCCTAGTTAATAATGGATACGCTAACAGACATGTCGAAGACATCGATTAAAAGGTGAGCCGCCATGCCACCTCTGACCAAACACCACTGCCGGTCCCTCATATTAAAATATTCTACAGGAATTCATTTTCCATAATCCACTAAACGGAAGAAGGAGTTCACAAAGACATTATTGATAGAAACGTGAACCCTACTGACACCAACAGCGATACTGAATTAATAATTGACTATAAGAGGAAGAAGACAGCCAACCCTCTCATGATAAACTCTCCTCACACCCAGCGAAATGACTGACAAGACACGAATGTCGTCTATGCCTTCATATGCCCACCTGAGCACGGTCAACCATCACGACCTTAATATATAGACAAGACAACAATTTCTTTCAAGGCGTATGACGATGTACAAACAACAAGGGTCCCACCAAGGAACATGTGGTCTCCAAGGTTGGGACTTGTATTAGTACATCATCTGCATACCCCACTTGTTGCGTCCCTTCCGGAACATCAATATTTTCAATGGCGTTCATAAGTATATTGAATAGTGTGGGGCTTAAGACTCCTCCTTGGGGGGTCCCACTCACAGAATGAGTGGCGCTGTCCAATAAACTCGCTCCTCGGGGCAAAATATAAAAAAATATGTGGTCTCCCCACACAACAGATCATCACCAGAGATATCCTGACATACAACACCAAAATAATCGATAGATACAACGACAACAGAAGACTAGACACTGGCGAGGCACATCTTGGGCAAACCCAGCCATCGGTCAGCAAACTCCCGGTTACACTCTGCCATCTTCGAGAACGACAGGCACCATCCAACATCCTGTCTCAGTCATCACGGGAACACTGGAGGCTGGTGAGCTGCAGTGAGCCTGGTGCTCCAGAGCCAGATGCTTCACCTCACTCTCCAGGATATATTCCGCTCCACTCACTGAATTGTACCCACTTGTACTCCACTTGAAAGTGTTGACTGGTCCCTCAACTGCATCGCTTAGCAGAAGCGATCCCCGCCAAACCTCAGCTGTTTATGAATAAAAAACGGTTTACACACGACTCACAACTGATTTCGTTCGAACACTTCAGGAACAAGTGCTTCACTGACGAATTTTGTTCGAACCACAACGCTGTAAATGCGTCACCCACGTACTACAAATACAAATAATCGCCAACAGAACCTAAACACCTAACCTAACCAATGCCAAAATATGCTAATATAATCATATTATTTATATTTGAGAAAATTCCTGTTTTGAATGAACAGCATCTTAAAATTGATGAATGCGTCTTTGGGGTCGTTTGCTGGATGGAATGGACTTGATCTGTGGACGGTTTGTTACAAGACAGTCTACATATACGTCTACAAGAAAGACTGCTACAAATATATATTATATTATATTATATATATATATATATATATATATATATATATATATATATATATGTCGTACCTAGTAGCCAGAACGCACTTCTCTGCCTACTATGCAAGGCCCGATTTGCCTAATAAGCCAAGTTTTCATGAATTAATTATTTTTCGACTACCTAACCTACCTAACCTAACCTAACCTAACTTTTTCGGCTACCTAACCTAAACTAACCTAACCTATAAAGATAGGTTAGGTTAGGTAGGGTTGGTTAGGTTCGGTCATATATCTACGTTAATTGTAACTCCAATAAAAAAAATGACCTCATACATAATGAAATGGGTAGCTTTATCTATTCATAAGAAAAAAATAGAGAAAATATATTAATTCAGGAAAACTTGGCTTATTAGGCAAATCAGGCCTTGCATATTAGGCTGAGAAGTGCGTTCTGGCTACTAGGTATATATATATATATATATATATATATATATATATATATATATATATATATATATATATATATATATATATATATATATATAATTACCCAAACACTAACCACTTCCACTCAGAGAACAGTCTCAGAAGAGCTTACCTCCTCAGCAGCCAGCAGGGAGAGGTTGTATGGGGAGAGGAGCAGCATAGCCGAGTGGACGGCGTGGAGGGCCGAGGTGTTGGTGCTGGAGGTGTTGGTACTGGAGGCGGAGGTGTTGCTACTGGAGGCGCTTGAGGAGGAGGTGCTCAAGCTCTGCACGAGGCTCAGCAGTTTACTCAAGCTGCCGACAGGTGACACGAAAGAGAACCGGTTATTTATCAAGAGAAAGCGCTTAGCCAGTATGACTAAATAGCACTTGGAAGCGATATGGGAACAGATTAAATGTATGAATGTATAGATTCCTTGCACTGATGTCACGTGTGCCAATACTGTCTGTACATGTTGTGGCTGTTAACAGACAACCGGCACTGGCTCCTGATTTAAACAGCATCAAGTGAATACAGTACTTTATCAGTGCTCGTAGCTATGACAATTGCAAGTGTACATGTTGCAACACCGACTTAGCTCTTTACAGCATCTCTATAACAATGATAAGCAACTTAGTATTATAACCCATTGGTACGGAAATCAGTGAAGAAACGATAATAGGTAACTAGCAAAGTGCTCTGACTCCTCAAGTCTAGCAGGGACTACATCACCACCGGAGGCTCAGACACTAGCTGCCCCGGTATTCTGGGCCTTGACCAATATCACCGAGGTGGCATAACGAGTCTCCGCAAGACTGCCTCCCACCAGGGGTCAGTACATGAAGGTGAAGTGAGGATATTTACATTTAGGTAATTAGGAATTAGATTATTTACTTATCTTAAGCTGTTAAAGGATTTCCTAATTTTATCAGTGTTAGTACAGTATTTATTACGATTCTGATACTTGTACAAGTGTATATACAAATAATATTTCTATACTTGTTACAGTTATTGTAGTGCTGTTAACTAGTTCATAGGTCTGTCACTTTCTATATTACGTCAATACGTCAATTTTTTATTTGTTAGTCACTGTAAATACAGTGTTACATACATTATTTGGTTTTCCCTGTACCCCCTATGTTGTCTCCACTGTGGCTGTTGTATCCTGGACACTCCCCTGTACCCTCTATGTTGTCTCCACTGTGACTGCTGTATCCTGGACACTTCCCTGTGCCCTCTATGTTGTCTCCACTGTGACTGCTGTATCCTGGACACTTCCCTGTACCCCCTATGTTGTCTCCACTGTGGCTGTTGTATCCTGGACACTCCCCTGTACCCCCTATGTTGTCTCCACTGTGACTGTTGTATCCTGGACACTCCCCTGTACCCCCTATGTTGTCTCCACTGTGACTGTTGTATCCTGGACACTTCCCTGTACCCCCTATGTTGTCTCCACTGTGACTGTTGTATCCTGGACACTTCCCTGTACCCCCTATGTTGTCTCCACTGTGACTGTTGTATCCTGGACACTTCCCTGTACCCTCTATGTTGTCTCCACTGTGACTGTTGTATCCTGGACACTCCCCTGTACCTCCTATGTTGTCTCCATTGTGACTGTTGTATCCTGGACACTCCCCTGTACCCCTTATGTTGTCTCCATTGTGACTGTTGTATCCTGGACACTTCCCTGTACCCCCTATGTTGTCTCCAATGTGACTGTTGTATCCTGGACACTTCCCTGTACCCCCTATGTTGTCTCCATTGTGACTGTTGTATCCTGGACACTTCCCTGTACCCCCTATGTTGTCTCCACTGTGACTGTTGTATCCTGGACACTCCCCTGTACCCCCTATGTTGTCTCCATTGTGACTGTTGTATCCTGGACACTTCCCTGTACCCCCTATGTTGTCTCCACTGTGACTGTTGTATCCTGGACACTTCCCTGTACCTCTATGTTGTCTCCACTGTGACTGTTGTATCCTGGACACTCCCCTGTACCCTCTATGTTGTCTCCACTGTGACTGTTGTATCCTGGACACTTCCCTGTACCCCCTATGTTGTCTCCACTGTGACTGCTGTATCCTGGACACTTCCCTGTACCTCCTATGTTGTCTCCACTGTGACTGTTGTATCCTGGACACTTCCCTGTACCCTCTATGTTGTCTCCACTGTGACTGCTGTATCCTGGACACTCCCCTGTACCCACTATGTTGTCTCCACTATGTTGTTGTATCCTGGACACTTCCCTGTACCCTCTATGTTGTCTCCACTGTGACTGCTGTATCCTGGACACTTCCCTGTACCTCTATGTTGTCTCCCTGACCTTCAGTACAGTTTGGGGGCTTGTCTTATGCTGACCGGGATGCTAATCAGTTCCTGGATGAGTGCGTGTCTTAATAATTTGTTTTACCGGGGACATAAGGCCTGTGTACATATATATACTTTAGGCTTGTATCAAACCCCCCAAAGGTCGTTCCACTGATCTTCCCCAGGATGCAACCCCACAACAGTTAACTCCGAAGTACCTATTTACTGCTAAGTGAACTGGGCATTGGGAAACGTACCCGACTATATGTGTCCCGCGCGTGAATCGAACTCGGGATTCCCAGTCGACTGGAGAAGGAAGCCCAGGATGCTATAAGCCAGTTGGAACTGTACTACAGTCAGTGAAGGACTGTCAAGGGGCCGTGAAGAACACGCAGAGACCTGACTGACCTGTCATGATCCCAGGCGGAGGCGGTGAGTGTGTTGATGGCGGCGGTGAGAGGGCGGAGGGCGGTGGAGAGGGTGTTGAGGGTGGAGGCGAGGGGCGCTAGGGCCTCCAGGCGGCCCAGGGAGGCCAGGAGGCTGCCCACCTGGCGCACCACCTGCTCTGCCTCGTAGCCTCCGATGGCCTCAAGGACCTCCGACACCTGTGGCAGGGACGGACACCAGTATATAAACTACACCAAACACGGACATACATCACACAATAATGGCTGCTTATAATCCACATTAACCCATAACAAGCCAGTCTTCTTGACCACAATGGCATGAGCTTAAATAACGAAATTAGGTTCTGAACTAACCTTGGCTAAGAGTGGTCCAGGATCCAGCGAGTCTGTGAAGACGCGGGTGATGTTGGCGGCCTGGTCGAGCGGCAGCTGGCACAAGGTGGCGGAGATGTTGTCCACCTGCGACCTCTCCCACGTCACCAGGAACTGACTCAGCTGCTCCGGCGAGCACACCACCCCCTTCAGGTCGCGGTACCCCACCAGGGACAGTATCTGGTGAAGGCGGCCGGGAAGACAACGATCAGAGACTATCCAGCGAGGGCAGGGAAATGAATGATTAGTGAAGGGAATGAGGTCCAGGCGAGGAAACGTGGCCAAACAACGACACGGATAACTTCAAAAGAAAGTTATACGAACTTTCCAGGATACGAACCCATGACATAGCGCTCGCGGAACGCCAGGCGAGTGTCTTACCACTACACCACGGAGACTGCATAAAAGTTTGGAAAAGTTAATTTCGCAGATCCCAAGAGGCTCTGGGAAAAGCCTGTGGGGGCCGGGCAGGAGCACCCATACCAGACTGCCTGTTTGGGGGATGGCTGACCAACAACTATTGAGAAGAGTTTAATGGTGTTTGTTCGTATATGTTGCTATGAACTGGGTCTCCGTGTACGAAATCTTTGAATCCTTACCCGAAAAACTGCTGGACTGGTCAGTGTGAAAGTCGCTCTTAGGACGAGGTACCATATGTCTGACAATGTCTTGTGCTCAGTCCTATTGTCATGGTAGGTTGAGTCCCAGAGCCCTGAGGGCCAAGCTAAGTATGTTGTAGTTGTTACGTCTTGCTGATGACTAGCAACTACACAAATGAATATGATTACAGGAGCCCACCCTGCCCACGCTGCCAGTGGGACGCCACGGTGAAACGACGCTACACTGCACTAGTGGAGCACACAACACATCGCCTGAGAAATCATCAGACACGTAAACATAACCTCTCCACAATGTCGGTGGAAAGATCCATGGTCTCGCCCCTATACTTCCCAGCCCTGTCAAGCCGTCGGAGGAACACGTGAACGTCCGCCATGTCTTCCCTGCTCGCAAACTCGCCAACCAGAGACGTAACGAGAACAATTGAGGTTCATTCCATTCCACAGTGTGGCCGACGGTACATTACCGGCGGACATATCACGTAACACGGCCAGACGAGGCCACCCATCACCCAGATCACACCCCACGCCCTCACTCTGTGTATCACTAAGTGAAGGCTACACCAAGCTATCCATTCTATTAAAAATTACACAATAAATATTACGAAATATATAGGAATTTCATTCAATTCACTCTCTACTTAAACTGTGTAGAGTTCTTTTTCACAGACATTGATTCATAGTAGGATGAAGGAGTTGAAAACGGGTTGTGTGGCTCACCCTGGAGACGTTGAGGGTGGCGCCGAGGATGGCAGAGACCAGCTGTGGCTGCAGGTGGTGGACGGTGGTCAGCTCCACACTCAGCTCAGCCGGGGACCTCAACACGTCCCTCACCTGTAGCCCACTCTCTGTCCAATAACAATATTAATACAAATAAGAAGAAGAAGAACAAGAACAATGATTTTAATTTATTTATAATAAATATTATACAGGGTTTAATAACAATGCATATTAGAATATGTTTATATTTTGTAGAAGGGAATTTATGAGAACGACGTCATGTATGCGTGGGTGGGTTAGGTGGGTAGCTTGGGGTCCAGCGTTCTAGTACCCTGTTGTTCCCTGCTGTGACAAGTGACGCGATTAATGCGCACAACTCCTGCCAAAGGTAAACATTAAGCTGTGGGTGAGTCACATATGTGAGTCATATATAAGATAACAATGCGTTTTTGGAATAATATATTGTCCTGAGGTCTGAGAATAAGAGTGAAAGCTTGCTGAGTATATTATTTCTGGCGCTGTAGTGAGGGAGAGAGTGAAGGTGAAAGGTGAGAGACAGTGAGAGTGAGTGAGGGAGAACCACCTACCCATGAGGTTGACGAGAGTGGGGTTGGTGAGGAGTTGAGCCACCTGGGCCAGACGGTCGAGGCTGGTGGGCAGGTTGGTCAGCAGCTCCGCCACCCCGCCTCCATCACCGCCCCACCACACAGACGAGTTAAGAAAGGCGTTGATCCTGGTGGGGAAGAAGGCCGTCAGTGTTGCCGTGAGACGCTGGTGCTCAAGTGCTCTCAGAGCACAAGCTGAGCAGTGTGTCAGGCCGTCAGTGTGGTGAGACGCGGCCCTTCAACCGGTCCCTGACTCAACCTGGTCATATATATAACAGACCCTTGTAACGCCACCACCATGTGGAGGGGAACCCCGTAATTAAAGCCGGTATTGTAAACATTGTCACTAGGCTCATCATGCAGGAAAATGGACACTTACGATACACTTAAGCAGTATTTAATACCAGGATTCGTCAATCAGCTGATAAAACGTAAATAATTAAAATGAATTTGCAAACAACAATAAAATAAAGTCTCATTATTTAATGGATATACAAGACTCCCGGAAAGACCGGGGGGGGGGTTGGGGGGGAAATGTTGACGACAATAATGCCAGATATATGGGGGGGGCGGGGGGTGGTGGGGGGGGGGCGTACAGGGAGAGTGGCGGGAGACTCACGGGGCGCCAGGATAGTGGTCGACGAGGTCGTCTTCTCCCTCCTGGTGGCAGGTGTTGTGCAGGTTACACACGAACGACTGCAAGGTTGCCAGCGGTGACCCCGACCACAGCAAGCGTGACCGGAAGTGACCTGCCACGTGAGACCTAATGTTATCGACGTCATCGGTGACGTCACACTCAACACACAAACACACACACACACACTACGTCACTAACACCGCCAAGACGTCATAATGTGCATGAAGAAATCACATTAACGTGACATATCAATGAGAAACTCAGTAGGAGACATGACGAGGATTCGAACCTGCACACTGGGTACTCTTGAAGCACACGCCTTAAACCACTGGACCACAATATACTATAAAGCAATGTAACCTGGGATTCAACTGAATGGCTGTTACTGATTTCCTCATTGATATATCACAGGTAATGCGAGTTTTTTGTGCATTTAAGAGAGCGATGGTGGCAACTCCTACACCACACCAGAGTGTATGCCAGTATTTTTTTTTTACCATATATGTGGCCAGACATTTACAATGCTAACCAGCATATATATATTTTCTTCTGTCCTCCATGGACAGGGTTAGAGATGTGTTAAACATATAGTTCAAGGGTTTATTGAACACTCAACCACAGAAGGTGATTCGGTGCTTTTAAAATGCTAAGCTAACCTACATGCGTAAATACATTGATACACAGATTTACATCTGCCCTACATAAAGTGTTCGATGTGTCTTTTACATAGTGTCATTAATGTACATTTACAAAGGTGAAATGTAATTCTGATCAGCTTCCATGTATACTTTATACACATACATATATATACACACACACACATATACATATATACATACATATGTACACACACACATGCATTCACATACATTTGTCTCTTTTACTCTGACAGAGTGAGATAACTGATAGAGAAACTAGTGTGCAATTAAGCACTTACTCACTGAAGGTGATGAAGGTGCTTTTACAAGCTCAGGTTATATAGTTACATCACATACAAACATTGTATAATTGATACATTACATGGTCAATCATGGATACAAGTCCAATATATCATCAAGTGTTCCAGTACTCATATAGTAATTACACAGTTCAGCATACCTCAGCCCAGGAGGGCGAAAGTCAGGTAATGTGTGGATGACAAAACCTTACTAGTGTCAGTCATATGACAGAGTACGAGAAAGACGTGACACTCTCATCCTGTAACACTGAGGTAAAACACACACACACACACACACACACACACACACACACACACACACACACACACACACACACACACACACACACACACACACACACACACAGTACGGGGGTCAGTAACATAGGAGAGACAATAAGCACTTACAGACATGCTGGTGTTTGAGGGGCACGGTGGTCTTGAGGGCGGCCAGCAGGACGAAGGGCGCCACGGCCAGCAACACCGCCCCCACCACCCATGGCTGTACACACACAACGTACACAATCATTATATATATCTACTATCCTCACCTTCGGGCACGTATTTATAAATATATATGTGGACACATAACTCAAATTAAAGCTGATTAAGAAAGTAGAAAATAGATAATGTAGGAAAATGAGAGCGGGAAAGAGAAAATGTAAAGATGGGGGGGACTGACCCAGTGGCGGAGGTAGAAGAGATAGTGTCGCCAGGAGGAAGATCTCAGCTGGGCGGCTACGGTGCTCCTCCCCATCTCCGGCTCTCACACCCGCCTCCACCTGTGCTCTATACCTGCCAACACAAGTACAATATATAGATATATATATGCTGTTGCTGCATTTGCTAAAGGTTAAGACATTTAAGAGCACAGTCGCCAGAGTGTATGTTTTGTTATACTTGTCTATAAGAAGAAGTTTAACTTTCCTGTGTGATAATTTTCATGAAACAATATTATGTAGTAATAATTGGAGGGCATACTTGTAAATCTCCGAGGCCGTCGATGACACCAAGCAGGTCTGTGTTGACGGTACAGAAGGTGTCTCACCAGAGTGACGACTGTGTGAGGGGCAATGATCAGTGTTACTACCTATTTAAGCGATCTCCTCTATATTTGCGATAGAAATAAAGGGTAATAATAACATAACCCAAAGTGGTTTTGCTTTTAAAATTGATGGAACGGAGAGATAAAAAGAGACAAAATCCACAAAAAATTATAATTTACAGATCATGTTAATTTTGCCCGCGTTCCACACCATATAATAATTATAATAATAATTTTTATTTAGGTAAAGTTACATACATAAAGAGATTTTACAAAGTTTGTTGGCTTTATAGATAAGAGCTAGTACATACAATGCCTAAAGCCACTATTACGCAAAGCGTTTCGGGCAGGCAAAGATCTCACAGATATCTCTCAAAGATATCGTTCGACATAATTTCTACACATAATGCTAGGAGGCTTGAATGAAAAAGTAGGAGGCAACATGTCCACAATGTGACAATTCTACACATATGACTTTCAGCACACATACGACCATGCACAAATACAGGTAAAGCCACCACAGACAACCATACACACACAATAATACTGTCTCATACTGGACAACAGCCAAGCAAGCAGTCTCATGCAGTGTAAATACATTCACAAAATCCCTGACGCGTCCTAATGACATTTTTGGCCTGGTGTTGGGCTTAAAAATGTATCAACCTCTGGGGGGGGTATTAAAGACCCCCCCCCCTACAAGAGCTTATACTTACCAATCAGCAAGTAAGTAAACTTACCAATCAGGGAGTAAGTAAACTTACCAATCAGCAAGTAAGTAAACTTACCAATCAGCAAGTAAGTAAACTTACCAATCAGGGAGTAAGTAAACTTACCAATCAGCAAGTAAGTAAACTTACCAATCAGCAAGTAAGTAAACTTACCAATCAGGGAGTAAGTAAACTTACCAATCAGGGAGTAAGTAAACTTACCAATCAGCAAGTAAGAAACCTTACCAATCAGCAAGTAAGAAACCTTACCAATCAGCAATAAGTAAACTTACCAATCAGCGAGTAAAAGTCAGTAAACAAGGTACACCTCTCAACATATCTTATGAGGCTATTGACTTATCACAAGGTCATGTCACTGGTGACGTCATGAGGGGCCTCTTAATACTTCCCTGAACTGTAAGAATTTAACTTTCGTTAGCTGTTTTACGATATAAATTTCACAATACCGTGGAAGATATACAATTATGTGAGTGCAACTCAAACTCGCATATTATCAATATTCCAAGTAGTGGCACAGTAGTAAGGTAATAAATTCTTTGTTCTTAGAAGTGTTCCAATTGCTGCTGCCGTATATTTTCTTAATTATGAGTAGCAGCTAAAAATTAATTCCCTTCTTCAAAGAATTAGTTCTTCAGAAAGTATTCATAGCCGCCAGAGACAACATTCATTGTGGGAGCCGCAGTTACTAGTGACCTTGTAGGCAAGAAAATAGGAACATACTACCTGTGTTAGAATATATAACATCATCAGGAGACTGTGACTGGTGATGTTATACTTAATAAAGTATTGTTGTGGTGCGCTCATGATAGAAAATGGACATAATAACCTGGCGACAGAAAATGGGTATTTACGCTAACCGTGGCCACAGAAAATGGACGCTAACGTTGACCGTGAGGAAATATATTAAGACTAGATATAAATAGCACAAATCGGGAGTCATTCTGCTCCTCGTGCATGTACATGTTCATGACTCACTTTTGTTTACGGCAGATACTACAGTGTATACATGCTTTATGTACACACATATCACTTGTACTCTTTACTACAATATGTTTAACTTTGAACTACAGCCTGTGAACACTTTTTGCACACTTAACACTTTATGTGCACTGTGAACACCTTATGCACACTGTAAAAATTTATACATACTGTATATGATTGATGTTCAATGTACACTTTATGCACACAGTACATTTTAAACACAGTGTGTTCAGTATATGAACACTGTCTACACTATAGGCAATTATAAGTTGAATTTAGTTCACTATAAATTGTAGCTCACAATTGAATCCCTATTTGACACTATATTTTTATTTTTCTATGACATATATCGTCGCCCTTGCCAAATTTGACTATCATTGTAAAACAATTTCCAATTTTTTTTTTAGTATTCTAATATCAATTCCATGTGTCTGTGATTGCAATAATATATATAGTTTGTCTTGAAATGAAATACGGATTAAAGCTTAAGAAAATATTTTTTCTGTTCTTCTTGTAAATTAATGAGTTTATGTATATTATATTATATTATATTATATTATATTATATTTAGCACTTATGAGCTAAAACGGAGGAAAGGGTCCTGAAAGATATTGTTAATAGAAACGTTATCCCTACAGACAAAAATCAGAGGATACAACTGACGATTTACTATAAAACCAGAAAAACGGCCAGCCTACTCATGAGAAACTCTCCAGACACAAAACAGAACGCTTTAAAAGAGACTAACGTCGTCTATGCCTTCAAATGCCCACTTGGGGACTGTAAGCTCCAAAAAACCCAGTATATAGGCAAGACAACAACATCTCTTTCTAGGCGTTTAACGATGCATAAGCAACAGGGCTCCATTAAGGAACATATAATCTCTTCCCATAACCAAACCATCGCCAGAGAAATCCTAGTAAACAACACAGAAATCATCGATAGATACAGCGATAGCAGGCGGCTTGACGTTTGCGAGGCACTACACATCAAGAAGTCAACACCAGCAATCAACAGCCAATTATTGCACAACTATATTCTACCCACCTCAAGACTCCGCTCCAATATAGAAGCATCAAGAAATATGGACCAATAGGCTTTCTACAAACACTTCTATTCAATACCCATTGTTTTCTGTTCTGTCTTGTGTTGATACTTTTAATACCCTATTAATATCCCCTGTTCTGTCTTGTGTTAATGCCACATCATCCTTCCCACCTCACTCAAATGTAGATATAATATCAGAGAGACGTAAGTTCTAATCAGTTGTGTATTTGTGAAGTCTTTGAAAATGTAATAAGTTTTACGAAACGCGCCCGTGTCGCGTCAGACTAGAAATAAAAAATGAATTTTGGAGAAGTGATTTTTTATTTACCTCCAACAGCTAAGCGTAATGTACGAAAGATTGAGAAAATTCGTGTTAGAATTATTAATCTTACTTTTTCGGTCATATTTAATAATATATGTCTACAGGAAAGACTGCTACCAAAATATACTAATATATATATATATATATATATGTCGTACCTAGTAGCCAGAACGCACTTCTCAGCCTACTATACAAGGCCCGATTTGCCTAATAAGCCAAGTTTTCATGAATTATTTGTTTTTCGACTACCTAACCTACCTAACCTTACCTAACCTAACTTTTTCGGCTACCTAACTTAACCTAACCTATAAAGATAGGTTAGGTTAGGTTAGGTAGGGTTGGTTAGGTTCGGTCATATATCTACGTTAATTTTAACTCCAATAAAAAAAAATTGACCTCATATAGAATGAAATGGGTAGCTTTATCATTTCATAAGAAAAAAATTAGAGAAAATATATTACTTCAGGAAAACTTGGCTTATTAGGCAAATCGGGCCATGCATAGTAGGCTGAGAAGTGCGTTCTGGCTACTAGGTACGATATATATATATATATATATATATATATATATATATATATATATATATATATATATATATATATATATATGTCGTACCTAATAGCCAGAACGCACTTCTCAGCCTACTATTCAAGGCCCGATTTGCCTAATAAGCCAAGTTTTCATGAATTAATGTTTTTTCGTCTACCTAACCTACCTAACCTAACCTAACCTAGCTTTTTTTGGCTACCTAACCTAACCTTACCTATAAATATAGGTTAGGTTAGGTTAGGTAGGGTTGGTTAGGTTCGGTCATATATCTACGTTAATTTTAACTCCAATAAAAAAAAATTGACCTCATACATAGAGAAAAGGGTTGCTTTATCATTTCATAAGAAAAAAATTATAGTAAATATATTAATTCAGGAAAACTTGGCTTATTAGGCAAATCGGGCCTTGAATAGTAGGCTGAGAAGTGAGTTCTGGCTACTAGGTACGACATATATATATATATATATATATATATATATATATATATTATACCTTGAATGGTGCCCAAGTCATAAATCACTTAAGAATTCCAAGACCTGCCCAGGATTCGAACCTGTATTACAGGGCTCAACCCCCCCCCCCCTGGTGCACACAGTACCATAACCATTTCACCAGCAATTTTAGGCAATCGTTGGTATAGTGTCACAGTACTGTGTACGCCAGGGGGGGGGCGGGGGCGAGCACTGGTAATGCAGGTTCTAATCCTGGTGGAGTCAGAGTTCTTAAGTGATATATATATCAGTTACTTCAGGCACGGCATGGAATTTAAATTTGTCTTTGTTTTAGTGTTTGTTGTTGGTTGTCTTGGCATTAAGACACGTCGTCTATATTATTGTTATTTGTTTAAATATTTAAAGCGTTGGCAAGACTATTGAACCCCAATGTGTGTCACGGCCAGAGTTGAGGGTTGGTATTGGTCGGTATTGACTGTCGGTGACCACTGTGCACGCATGCGCACTCACACACACACACACACACACACACACACACACACACACACACACACACACACACACACACACACACACACACACACACACACACACACACAAGTAAGGAGGCATTTAGGGTGCTTTACACTGCCTACGTGAGGCCAGTCTTAGAGTATGCCGCCTCATCA